AAGAGTATTTAAGGCAATTATGTTTGATGATTATTGCACCAATTTTCAGCTTTTTCAGTTTTTCATTGTATCTAACTTACTTTTTTGTCAAACCCCTCACAATAACTCAGACATATGAATATAACAGAAGATAACAGAAAAACTACCGTCTTACCAATATTTTAATATATCTCTTCAAATACCATATATAGTTGGGTCATATTTTAACATTTTGCTTTGAAAAGTGCTTTTCCGCCATCGGGATATACCTTTTCTTAATACACTACAGAATTTTTTCATAGAACTTGTTTCTAGTACCACAGGACAATATTGGGACCAGTGATCCAGATCATATCAAACATAGAGACAAACAATAAACTGCTTTGGTTGTGACATTTGTAGTAATTTGTGACACTAAAAATTATAATTGATTAATTATATATCATATCTTATAAGGACTATTATCATATATATGATGACCAGTATATCAATTAATATACATTTTAGGGCAAACTAGCCATTCACATTAACAAATATTATAATACTACCCTGGGGTACAGGATCAAAGATTTTTCTGAACCACTTGTTGACATGTGACAATGTTGAATAAATTATATCTGCTATTTATATTTGCTACTGCATTAGTAACACGGTAGAATGCAAAGAAGCTTTTGTCAACATTCTTTCTTGAATAAAGAAGTCAGTAACCAGACAAGTATTTACCATTTTCTTGAAATTTTATTTCATTTTTTTTTCATTTACCATCTAGAGGCAAGTGGCTTTAACTTCGTTTATCAACAAGTTTTTGTCTGTCATTAACATTGAAAGGTTGCAAATCTGTGCATGGACAATGCAGCCGTTGGAGATTGATCAACCAGGTTTCTCCATGCATCTAACAGATTGTTACAATCTTCAATTATGAAATCAAATGTAAAAACATTAATCGGGAAATAGCATCGATTGATACCTTTAAAGCAGCCTTGGCGACAGGTCCATCGAGGGCTAACTCTTTCAAGTCTTCAGCCAACGATGTGGTGGCATCTTTAATATCCATCGTGTTTTTCAGCCCAACATTATAACTAACATAAGTCGTTAAATAAGAATTGGAATAAATTTAATCCTGACAAAGCTTAAGGATCGCGTTTCATCAGTTGCAAAAATGTGACAATTTGTTAGCTTCACTTGACAACACAATCCGCCATGATGCTCTTTTTGAACTCTCGTGCAGGTACGCGTTAACGCGAGAACCGTGAATATATCAAAGCACACAAATGATCATACAACGCTGGTCTAACACCACCAAATAATTTCCTTCACTATGAGAAGTATCGTTCAAACCTCTAGGCACCCAAGAGGTCTTTTAGTATAAATAAAAATATGTCTACATCAAAAATCTTTACAAATGTAGACTTTAATCTTTATTTTACATTTCTGTAAAATCTGACTGAAATTCAACAATTAAAACAGCTCTATTTCCATCTGGGAAAAGCACAAGCCTTTTTTGTAAAACTGACAAAGCCTCTTAAAATAAAGAACCTGATATCAAACTTCTTCAGGTATCTCCGAAATTTCACTGTTTAGTTTAGCCAAAGAAGTGGATGTCATATGACTATCACATGGCATTGAAATACTCTATAGGATGCAGGTACCTGCTTTAATTAAGATTTTTTTTCTAATATTCATTTTCACAGAAAGTAAGTGACATATTTACAGGACTTACAAAGGTAATAGCAATTTGTATGAAATTATGCAGAGTGATAAAATATGTAATGTAAATATCAGTTCCTATGCATTGTTTTCATTTGACAGCAGCACACATATCTGTATTATGCACACAAGTTGATGACATTAATTCACTACTAGTGAAAAATGAATAGCTTACAAATGAAAGGTTTGAGATTAGGTTGGGTATGAGATTAGGTACTTGTATGCTACAACATTTTTTTCTGACACATTAGTGTTTCAAAAACAATTACTCTAAAGTACTATGTTACCTTTTACAGAAGAATATTACGAACTTATATCATATTTATATATTGAAATTCAAAACCATTGGCATCCTACATGTTTACTAGCTTCCAATACATCAGTAAAATATAAATGTCAAAATTTATCATCCTCATTTGCCAAGCTGCTTTAATTCAAAGTATTTGTGGAATCTGCTTGCACAGATTGAAATTAGGAATGTGTTAAAAAAAATCACCAAATTTATGCCTTGGAAGCGAATAAATTTTTCTTCATTAGATAGGAGACACAGGATGTTTTATAATGTTCAAATTATTGTTGAGAATATATAAGTTGCTTATCACCTGAAGAAAGTAGTGCTGAAAGTGAATATTTTTGTAAAAAAATAGCGAAATGTAAAGACTTCCATACAAATTACTATATTTGTATTATCTGACCAAAAACAATAGAAGATGGTTCAGGTAATTGGCTAATGAGAAACTACAGAAACTATAACAGGACTCTTTAAAAAAAAAAGAACGATTTTAGAAATAAAGATTAAAGCATTTCTGGGATATAATGAGCCTTTAACCTTAATTTCTATCACCATTATAAACTAACATAACAAAATGAAGTCTGCTGTATGAATATAAGAAATTTGTGCAAACAAAAACAAAAAAAACAACAACCCAAAAACAGTAAACAGTAAATAACAAATTTACACATTGATCAAATTATCTTTAGAATGCTCACATTTTATGCCTTGGTATTATTATGTCTGACATATGTTAGCATTTAATCTCTTATGATTAGACAATTCTACAAAATGTTGATATTGATCAACTCCTAATAATAAGATTGACATACATATAGGACATGTTTTGTGATCTATAATTACATTATGAAAAATATACACACTCGTGCTGTGAAGATGGAAATGTTACTTAGAAGAATTCAAGGCCACACTTTTTTCACATGAGGTGTTTATAAATCTAGAAGCACATCCTACCACTTTGGATATTTGCTGATTTAAGTTATAAATTTGTACACATATCTGCTAAAGGATGTTACTTAGTATCCTCATAAAACAAGAGCTGTCGATAGGACAGCAACGCTCGACTATTCTTAGTGCTTGATAGTAAAAAAGGCCTTGATAATGTAAAATTTTCTAAGTAAGGAAAAGGGTTAACATTTTCTTTAAATCCATATTACAGTAAAGGCCTTGGAGAGAGTCCTATTATGCTCTCAAAGAAGACTATAAAATTTCAACTTGTTTCAAAGCCATATGTCAATGGACTTTGAAAATATTTGAGATATTACAAAAACTTTGACGTAAATTCTAAGTCGAAAAAGGGGCATAATTGTGTCAAAATGCTTGATAAAGTTACCCCCTCTTGTCTACAGATTGGGGTCATGATGATGAACAAGTGTGCAAAGTTTCAAAGCAATATGTCAATGGACTTTGAAATTATTTGAGGTATTACAAAAACTTTAACGTAAATTCTAAGTTGAAAAGGGGGCATAATTCTGTCAAAATGCTTGATACAGTTACCTTCCCCTGTCTACAGGTTGGGGTCATGATTATACAATTAATGGGTAGTCCAACTTATTGTACTGCGCAAGGAGATATTGTGCTATTTTTGTGTCTGGGCAATATCTCGCGAGATTCTGCCCCAGAACGAAAATATCTCAGAATCAAGCTTTGGCATGTCAATATATTTTGACTAAATTAATGGGCTGACCTATCTTACCTGCAGACAGGAATGTTTAATCTGAAAGTTAAACAGCTATTTTGGTGACTATGAAAAATACAAACAACACTAACATAATTTGATGGGTGTAAGTTTTTTATTTGATATTTTTTTCAGGCATTCATTACATTTCATTTAATAATAACAATCAACAAAAAAGGAAAAGAAAACAAATGCAAATGCTTCAATAATTATGATCCCCTCAAAAAAGTGTTAACTAAACATGTCATTCTTTCTACTTTAACCATTTAAATACATTTAGTTTAAACATTATATTGCATAAAATATTGAAATTTAAAAGTTTAAACAATAATTGATATCTGGAATATAATTAAAATTTGCTGACCATTTAAGGGATTTCAATTTCAAAATCAAAATAAAACAGCCAACATTACTGCAATACACAGAGATTGCATCAATCATAGTATATCTTTAAAAAAAAAATCTTCTCTTTTTTTTTCTTGTAGGTACTCAATGTATGAACAGTTTTCAGGAATCTGCCAATGAAAGCTAGGTGAACACAACACTATACATTAATAGCGCAAACCAACAATGACTTTGTGTATCATTATCTCAAATAACAAGCTAAATCTGGATGAACGCAATACCTTTACAGATAGGAATGTTCTTATTTGGTTTACTGACTACAACTAAATAATTCAAACTATGACAGAATAGTCTTTTAATATTGTCAAGTAATTAAATGAATTGTTTGCTTTCTGTAAGCCAGAATAATACAAATTTCTGATTAAACTAGTGATGACATGACCCTTCATAAGTGACATATTAAGCCAGTATTTCAAAACTTATTACACATAAAGAGACTATGCTGAAAATCAACAGTACCCCAGCAGATTTATTCTACATTTATTACCTCTGTTACGTAACTTACAGTAATTTTTTTTTTCTGATAAAATCCAACATTACTTAAAGTGACATGCTCATATTTTCATTGTCAAGTTGAACTAAATTGACAACATATTTCAAAAGATTGACTGTTATAATGGTGATTGACCAACAATTGATATTGGAAAACGTTTTTGGATAGAATATATATCCTGTCTAAAATATAAAAAGACTGTCCCACTCTTTATAAATTGACCATTTCAGGTAAATTCTGATAGATATTTAGATAATTTTTTGGGGCCACATGTGTAATTTATGCCAAGTAAATTATGAAATAGAAAGGAATTCTGACAAAATGTAAACTTGTTCTGACTTTTACCTGTTTACTCACTATATACCCTTGTAAAGATAATTTATTGCATTTAGAAAATCCCAGGATACAGACAGTACATTGTATACAGTGATTGTTTCAGCAACAGATTAACCCAAATAATTAGCTATATTATGCATAAATTAACATTGCATTTACATTTAAACATATTTCATCAATATTTGCATTTACACATATCTAAACAATACTAACATTTATATATATATATTTCATTATTATATACAGGTAAACAATCTGTTTAATTCCTAATCTAATATTATCTCACATATATTTTCTTTCATTTAAACCATAATAAACATTTATTCAAGTGTCATTGGCCTATTTTGTTCTAACACAAAGCAAAGTAAAGTTAAAATATTCATGTTGTAAAAAATTGCTGGCAGAGCTAGAGAACAGCAATCAATTAATTAAGCCAACTACCAATCCCTCGACAATTTTTTATGGTTAACTTAGTAATAAATAGGACCAAAATTATTTTTACGATTACATAGACTTTTGGAAAGGAAAAAAAAACAAAGAAGAACTGCTATTTCCCTTATCATGAAAATCTCATACAATTCTTACCTAAATACATAACACATCAGAATATACATGACATAAAATGACAATTCATCTATCTGCACAAACAACTAATTTGGTCCAAAAATATAGAGCATTAAAAAACTACATCATCATTCAGCCTTACAAATTGTGACAGTAAACTGTTTTATGTCAAAGATGGACCGTGAATCTAAAAGTCAGTCACCTCTTATTTAATTACAATGTATACGGAATTTAACCTGCCACTGTCTTAAAGGTGGAAAACAATAAAATTTCATTTTCGTCACAAACAAATAGAAAGTATTATACAGTAACCTATTATTTTTTTCTTGTGAGTAATATCACACTTCTAGATACTTCTTTACTATTGACTGGTGCAAGAAAACATAATCAAGAGGTAAGTAAATCAAGTCAGTTGCAGGTGCATTACGATGTGAGAACATGGAGATCTGTTTAATGAGATGCTTTTAATTAAATTTAACAAACATATTCATATACATGTATTAGAAAATACAAATGAGCCGCGCCATGACAAAACCAACATAGTGCATTTGCGACTAGCATGGATCCAGACCAGCCTGCACATCTGCGCAGTCTGATCAGGATCCATGCAGTCGCAAACGCACTATGTTGGTTTTGTCTTGGCGCTGCTAAAATATATTTTTCACAGTGGTAAGTTATAATCATTCTATGTTAAATAATAAGTCAATCTATTAATGCACAATACCCTGGTCCTAACAAATGGTTATGAGCTGTTAAAGAACTTTACAGAAACAATAGATTTTTTATTATACCTACATGTACTAGCATTTACTATAACAATATCTGAAAATTAATAAAAGAAAATCTGAAGTCTGAAATCTACACAAAAATTCCGCAATTTTGATTTTCCCTTATGAAAAAAAATCGATAGAATTCTGTAGTATGGAAACAACTACAGTTAGTTTTAAAATTTGCTCATGTATGTGTACACAATAGAATAATTCCAATACATTAATTGACATAAATTATATTTGTTAGTTGAAAGATGATGAACTAATAGCTAAACATTTCCAACTTTCTCTGTGAAATCAGACAGACAACTCATAGCTAAGCTTTTATTTTCTTGCCACGTGATTATAAACATTTGACAGCAGAAGCAAAAATACATATGAACAGTAAAATAGTTTGAAATACTTCCATTATGTAGATACAGTAAAATCTCTGCAGAACAACAACCTATGGGAGACAAAGATTTTGGTCGTAGATGTAAATATTCTTGTAAATAGGTAATTGCTCTTCACAGGGTCATTCTGCAGAGGTGACACTGTATCCTTTTTTCAAGCAGAGTTGATTAATTTTATGGTCATGAGTTCAGAGACTTTTAGCATTTCAAATAATCTCAGTAAAATCTCACAGACTATCTAGTGTATAATGCAACAATGACTTATAGTAAACCAGTTTGTCTTAATGTTAATACTTATCCTCATATACAATGATGAAAATTTCTAGCAAAAATTATGTGATGACATACTGGGACTGTGCTTATGAGTATTAAACTATTTACACATCTTACTAAAGTAACACTAGGGACACTTTTTTTTAGATATATCTGTGTCAAAACAATATTTTTAATGCTTTAGCTCAAAGTTTCATTACTGTCCAAAGAAAATAACAATAGAATGTATATTTTTTCTTCCTGTATGGTAACATGATACAATTATGTTTTAAATGAAGCATAAGCTACATGTTTATACTTATTTACTAGTGTAAGACTTTCATACAAATAAAAATCAAATCAAACCATAGTAAGTAGAAATATGAGGTCAGAGAAAAAATTGCAACAAATCATGGAACTTTGCCATTTACTTACACCTTATCTTAGTAATTGATTACACAGTGTACAACCTTAATGGATCATCTACCTTTTTGCTCCCCTCCCCTAGCTCATAAAATGAGGTAAAAATAACTCACAACCAAAGCAATTACCTTCATTTTACTACAAAATAAAATTGAATAACTGAAAATGAAAGCTTGTAAATATAGAAATAAATCTTTCAATAGAGTATATTACTATATGAAATGTCCAGTAATGTTTGGTTACATGTTTTGTTTCAAAGTTTAAGGTATACACAGTGTACTCATGTCAGGGCTAGATTTAAAACGACAGTTGAAGTAATTTTCTTTAAAAAAATGTTTTTCCATAAAATCTCCAAGCATTTACTGCAAATACTAATGAAACATCAGTATTTTTTACTTGTATAAAGGTAAAAAAATATGCTCCACTCAGCTAGTGTTTGTAAGCTAATTGAGTGGTTTTAAATCTATTTACCCTCATAACAATATAATATTTTATAAGATACTGCTGCAACACTGAATCAAAGATAACATTTAATCTTCCTAAAAATAAGACTTTTACCATAAAAGATCATTTTAAACCTAGTCTTACATGTGTTATATATTACTACAGCTTCTAAAATACAACCAAATAAATGCATGCATATCCTCAACACAGTGGTTTTGTATTGCATCTCTATACAATTATCACAGATGATAATCACACTTTAAAATCTTATACTTAAGACCTTAAAGTCTAAAATTATATTCAAAATTATGAACATCTCAGTTCTGATTCCGAGGCTGCTAATGTAACAATAGTTTATTGAAGATCTTTGATTCTGTTTCAAGCCAGTTTTAATGAATATTCTTATTTTGTCTAAACATAATTTATTTATGTTCCAGTATGATTAGATGAACCATTATGTAGCCTGCTTTCTTAAACTAACAAGATACAAGGAAATATGTTCCTGATCACAGTATCCTTCAGTTGGGCAGAAATATTTTAACTAGCAGGCCAATGCTACTTATATGAAAGCAAAAATCTTTATTTCATAACACCAAGTACACTTTGACAGCATAACAAAAAATACCACTTAAAACATATTTGATTCTATAGTTACTAAACAGCCTCTGTACCAAAACTTTAGACATACCTAATATCAGGAAATATTTAATGATTCTATCCACCCAAACTATAGCATATTTGTTCAACTTCATAGAAGTAAGAAAGTTTAAGCACTAATCACAATTTACAACAAATCTAGTATCAACATAACAGTACCATTTAACAAGTTTAAACAAAATTCTGCTCATGTTAAATTGACTAAAGATTTGTGAAATTTACATTCATTCAACTGGATGGTATGAAGTTATTCCTAAATAGACACATGGGAGATGACACTGCCATTAAAATACCAAGAAAAATGAGAGCATCTAATATAACATCATTAAATTATCATAAATAAAAGTGAATTGTAGCAAGTTATGCTAAAATTTAAAATTTATCTGACATATGGATCAATTTATAACATTTTAATTTTAACAATGGTTAAACAATTCTTGTGTGAATGCTTTCACTCAGAATAGTCAATATAATGTTCCCTATTTCAATACTAGAATTTCTTTAAAAAAACCATTTTAAACAAACATGTTTATTTTAACTTCCAGGGAGATTTACTAAGTGCAAGTTTGATTAGAACAAACTTGTAAGTTGTATTACCAAGTCATCCACATTTTTTTCTGAAGAATCTAACATTTACATGAATTAAATCTTTTTCAAAACATTTTTTTTTTCAAGCTAGAATTAATTTTTGTTCTAGTCTATTAATTACTGGGTAAGACCATTATCTCCTCAATTTGTTGTTGTTGTAACTATCGAGACAACCATCAAGATGAGGCTCCGCTATCCACGACAGATGTGTCCAGCCATTCAGATGTTGTTTCTGCACCTTAAATATACATGCAGATAATATAACAGATTAAGTAGGAACTTGAATATTTTTATTCCTATCAAAACCTTGAAATTAATAGTTTTTCCATATCAAACATATCATTCCTGAAATGATGTTCATTTTTTTTAATTAAATTATGTAATTATGCAATGTCTCAAATGGGTATAATGAAACAGTCTCAACATTTTCATCATAGATTTTTCTTTAACTTCTGGGTACCAGTATGTTTAGTTATAACCATTCAGGTACTCACATTTAAGCACTATAGTCATTGTTCATATCTATAGCAAATTTATTTTATAATGACAAGATCTGTCTGCCGACAGCATCATGCTGAACTTTTCTCAGTGCTAGAAAGTATAATAAAAGTGAAGTAAAAAAGTGCTTGAAATACCTATGTTTTAAAAAGTCTAAGAGAATGTTTTTAGTGGTTTTTCAGAAAAAGGAAAATATTACAAATAATAAGAGTTGTCAGTAGAACAGTGCAAATGACTACTTTTAGTGTTTCATAGTAAAACAAGAGCCATGATGATGCGAGACTCACTAAATTGGACTATTACTGTACATTAACAAGACTCTTGGACATTAACAAAAGAATTTTACTAAGATCACATAAGGGCTTATTTCATTCAAAATATACGCCAAAGCTATAAGCCTTGGACAGTGACCAAGATTTAAATCTTATGCGAATACCTGTAATAGTTCTGACATTTTAATAGTAATCATATATGCCATAAAATTCTAAGTGAATAGCATTGAAAGTTTCTGAGAAAATGGACCCTAACTATATACACCAAGAGGATTATGGTAACACCTCCACTTTTTTTCCTGAAAAATGCCATACATGCACCATTTCTTACTCACGTTCACGTTCTTACTCACCATTTTGAGTATATGTTTCAGTATTGCCACCATTATTTAGAATGTCACCATTTGCAGTGGTTAACTGATTGCCAGATGAACTGCCTGCTTCTTCGTCTATCAAGCTTGCTAGTTCCTGTCTCAATCCATTAAATGTAAGGTTGGTATGAAAGTCTGGTTTATTATTGCTCCCAATGAGTGAAGTGTCTTCAATGGAAGACATACTTTCTACAATATCCGACTCATTCACTGTATTCCAAGGTTCAGCATCACCATTTTCCTTATCAGTCCAATTTCGCTTTTCTTGATTACCTTTTACTACATTTTTATCAGTTTCAGTATCACAAACATTATCTTCAGTTGCTACGCAATCAACAAACTCTCCATTTATATCATCATCTTTGTTAATTTCAACATCACAGGAGTCATCTGATAAACTTGGCATATCAAGTTCTGACAAACTCTTCAGTTCTGATCTTTGCACTTCTTCAGAATCACATTTGTATTTTGACAACTCTACATCTTGACTAGAACCTGTACTATCTCCACCTACAGTAGTCTTTGAGCAAGTGTCACATTCAGATTTTACATCGCTTTCATCAAAATCTATATGTTGTGTTTTCTTTTGATATTTAATGTCTTTTTTAAGCACTGAGTTTTCAATATCTTCAGCATCAGGAATGTTTTCTTCTGGCAATTTATCACATTTTTTGGAGTTACTTGTTACACTTTCTTCCCCTATAAAATCTTTTCCACTCTTACCCTCTTCCTCTGTCAGTGCTTTTTCTGTATTTCTCTTAGCAAGTTGGTCATTTTCATTCAATTCAACTTCTTTACCATCAGTACAATTTTCAGTACATTCATTACACTGATATTCAGATTTTCTTGCGGAATCATTAGCAGTTTTATCAAGTGATTCTGTATCAACTGTAACAACAATCTTGGAAAATTCATGACCTGTTTCACCACTTGCATTATTATTTGCACTATGTTCATCTTCAACCGGCTCCTTTTCTAAATTACTTTCTGCATTAGATTGGTCACTGACATTGTCTATTTTAGTATTTCCTGTTTCCACATTATTGTCAACAATTTGTTGAATGTATGAAACAAGTGTTTGGTCTTCAATAACCCTTTGTAAAGAGCCAGGACTTGTCTTATCAGCTGTGGTGTGCATATCTACTGATAGAGGAATGGCTGTGTTTAAAGATGGCAAATCTACAGTTGGTAATGGTGGCACAAGTTGAGGTATCACTTGTGAAGTAGAAGTATCCATACCACGTCCTACAGGGGGATGTACCTGTGTTGGAGAATTTATCACATCAGCTGCTGAAGAACTGAACTTTGGAAATTTAAAACCACTTGAGGGATCACCACCTTTTGTAGTTAATCCTGTAGGGCTTGTAACACGTGTCACTGAAAATATTTTTTTGGCAGTTGCTTTAGGGTTTGGACAATATTGTGGACTGAGTAAATCAGACCCAGCAGGAGGTGCTAACTGTATAGTCTGTACGGGTGGAGATGCTTCAAGAATAAACTTCCCTCCTAGTTCAGGAGAATCTAGTTCATGTTCTGGACATATAGGCGTTAATGGTAGGAACAGAAGTTTTGGTCTATGTATACCATCACCAGATGGAATGTAATCATGTGATTCTTCAAGGGATATGTCGCAAGCAGCTTCTTGTAGTTTCCGTGCATTTTCTTGGTTTTTTATCTCAATTTGTCTTTGTTCTTCTTCTCGTTTGTGCATAAGATCTCGATTTCTCTCAAGTAAAGTACTTATATCTTTTTGCAATCTTTTTTGTTGGTCTGCATAATCTTTAACACCCTGTAAAAATGCAGTCAACAATTAATGATTGAACTAGAAAAACTTCCAGCCAATGTAAAATAAATTGCAGAAAAGAAATAAAATTTTTAGGGTACATATGACTGGAATCTGTATAAAAAGTTGAATGTTCCATGAAAGAAATACTATTTGCCTTGTTTTCTTATCATAATAAAAATAATATTTTATAAGATAAACATAGATGTCCATCGTTTTTACTACACAATTTTATCAAAGTGAAACTTACTTCGACAATCCACTACATGTATATCAAACAAATTTATAAATACATACTGATTCTTTCTTGGTGTCTCTGTCAACATCAAGCCTTGTGATACTCTCATTAACTTTAAGGGCCAAAGATAGGGCCATCAGACCAGCTGTTTTAATATCATTCTCCTGTAAATCTAATCTCACTAGTCTTGTATTATCTGCTATCACTTCAGCTAGGGCAACAGCTCCTTATTAAGAAAATAAAATATTAAGGCTGGATTTATCTATTCTGTTAAAAACCATTCTTGGAAAACAATTTTAAAGTACATTTAATTACCTATATTTGTCTTGTCATTAAACTGATTTTTTTCTCACAATGATAACAATTTCATATACTATATGCATATAACATACACAGGTCAAGTCAAGACTGTTGACTTCAACATGTCCACATGAGCTTGACATTGCTGAAATGGACATACAGATCTTCGGACATTTCACTACAAACCACTGCTAAATGGTTAAAATCATGCCTAAAATAGCAGCATAATATTTTCTTCCAGAACATTTTATTCTGTTAACATAAAATATTCATACAAGTGTATTAAATGACAGAGACATTTTATGGTACAACACTTTTGAGAATCGACCTTATAATCAAGAGAACAATATAATTTCACAATTAATGAATTTCAGAGAAATATTTCATTAGATATAGCTTTATACCCTTTCAGAAGAGTTTATTGATTTTCAACACAAAGAGCAACAATTATTAATACCTTCACAAGATACTTTAGTTCCAGACAAACCAAGCTTTAAGAGACCTTTGGATTTTAACAGCCCATCTTTGAGAATATGAATGCCTTCATTTGTGATGGGATTATGTCCAAGATTCAATGTTTCAAGGTGTTCTGCTGAGGTCTGAAATACAAATAAGAAATGCATACCTGACCAAATTCATGTAAAGATGTAGTCAAATTGCTAATTGTTTAAAAGGCCAACAATTATGCATTGGAAATACTTTTATTTTTCTTTCTCAAAAACTTTGTATTTCGCGTCAATGGCCAATTACCTGTATTATTTTGGCAACTAGTATAGTACAGAAGACAAAATACTACTTCATTTACATTTTGCTACTTTCACCAGACATTATTTTCATTCAACTTTCTTCAAGTGAGAAGGATCTAACATCACTAAAACCATAAATGAAGCATTTGCTCTTTCTAATGAAAGAAAAATTCATTGTTTAGAGGCATAGTGTGTGGGTGCCTTTTAACACTTGTTAAAGTAAAATGTCTCACAATCTTAGAACCATTACATTACAGTGGGTTTGTACATCCACTAATAAGTAATTATGTTATGTTGTTTACATTTCTACAAACTGGAAATATACTATTATATTCTACTAGTTTGGTATTGTCAGACACCAGTTTCAAGGATTTCAATATTAAATGACAGCAGCAAATAGCATTAGTACATGTATAGTAAAGTTTCACAGATAAATATACAGGCTTGGTGCTATATTGCATGCATGAGCAAGAAGTTATCACCACTAGAGTTACATATATTAAACTTACCAGAGCTTTATTAACGGCAGACATGCCCTGGAATGTAATCTGATTGTTCCACAGAACAAGTGTAAGTAGCCCTGTATCTAAACACTGCTCTGATAAACCATCACAAATATGACCCACACCTACATCCTGCAAGTAAACAGTAAAATACTGTCAAATCTACCTGGTTTTTTTCCGTCAGTATTTATTTTCACACAGAATTTCAACCATTTATTGACTTCTTAGTATATAGTTTGATCTTTATTTAGATTAATACTCTGTTGGTCAGAAGCCAAATTTTCCTGTTATCATGCCAAAAACAAACACCCAAGGTGTTCTTCAATACATTATGGTGCAGACATAGGCTGTGAAGAACCACTTGTCTTCCATAAATGAGCTAAATAACCAAGCACTGAAAAAGGAAAATTGTCTTTCTCAAAGGGGTAAGGAGCAAAGTAAGAAGTAAGCAATATAATCCACTTGCCCATAACAGTTTCAACAGGCATACTGTAAGCCTCATCAACATTTCAAAATAATGGACATGTATCACAAAGTCAACTCTGGAAAAAAAGACAGAGTTTTACCTGAAGATGATTGTTCCTGAGATCAAGAAGCTCCAATTTATGGTTGTATTTCAGCAGGTTACCAATCTGTACACCATCTGTTGGCATGAACTTGTTGTCACCAATAAACAACTCTTTCAATATCTCATTCATCTTCACTGCAGCAACTAAAATTTAAACCAGTCAAATATATTATAGAGAACTTCCAAAACATTTCTAATGCTTCATTGCTATAGTTATGATTGCATTTATTAACTATTTTACCCCTTCAAATAAACCTGAACTGACTGTCTATACACTTATGTTCAACTGGGTCCTTTTCTAATTTAATTTAAACAAAAAAAAGATTTAAAATTATTTTTCAATTTTTTATTAGAAACCAGTCTAGAAAAGATAAATGTATATATTTATTACCAAGAATAACAAGTGCTCTGCCTGCCAGACCAGCATTTTGTAAATGCAGTCGTTGTAGGAAGCAACCCATACGTAAAGCACGACCCATAATTGGAATTACCCTTTCATTCAGGTCACAGTTACGAGCATCTATGAATGTCAAGCATGGGGTCTAAAACAGACAAATGTATAATCATTAATAACATATATCTCAGAATTAATGTAATATTTTTTACAATGTATATAAAAGTTTACTATTTAGTTTTAGATTTACTAAGCTCCCTTGATTACACAGAAGAAAATAAAACAACCTGTTTTCCTACAATTAATCGGAATAATAACATTTGATTAGGATGCCTTTGTAAAGGCCTTTTAAGGATTTCTATAAATTACACTTGTATGTGCTGTATGTGCTGTTCTATATACTTACATATCAATGTCATTTTAAAAGGTCTACTAGGAATAAAACTAAACAAAACTTTTTTTTAGTTTCTTTTTTTCAATTAAAAACTAAAGTTATGATCTAATGTTTGAATATATACATGCACCTAACCATGCTAAAATGATTGTAATTAAACTCCTTTTAGAAATGTAGTCTGAACAGACTGGTAAATGATTATTTATACATGTTACTCTGTTACACTGGATCATCATATATGCAATTGTGAGCCCAGTAACACCATTGTCTCAATAGTACTGATGATAAGGAAATGAGGTTTTTGCTAAACTTTAGCATACAAGGGCCATTAAATTCATTTGTAGAATAGGGTGATTTGCGATATTAAAGTTTTGTTTCATTGAGCCGTTCAAGGTATGGCATGCATCCAAACACTTTTTAAAACATCTACACACTTTGAAATGACTTATGAAGCTCAACTTTAGGTATATGTTGAAGTCACTGGTAGATTGCTATTCCCATACTTAAAAACTCTGTCTGTCTAGCATTTACTAAGTCACACACCAGGTAATAGGTCAGGACTGTATGGAGGTTGTTCTGAAACATCTAGCTCAGATTCTTTCAAGAACTTGTGTACTGTGGTGGGTTCACACCAGTATGTAATCAAGCAGTAATTTTATTCTATGGACACCACTGTGTCCATTTTTCGGACAAAAAACAACCTTATTTTAGGCTTAGACTCAAGCTTAAAATGGTAGATCCAGGTTTCATTACTTCATAACTGTGTTTTGCAATTAATTGTGATGCCAGCATATACCAGAGGCCCAGGCTGCACTGACATTTTGAAGACCAAGACATTTACACAATATATATTATAGATATTGACAAATGATTGTCTGTTAAGTACACCTACCCTTCTTACAAGTTTAGAGCAAGACATCCATCCTCTAGGACCAATACCTTTGTTGAAAGAAATGTTTAGTTTACAGGCTGACTCATAGTATTCTACCATCTCAAATAATGCAACAGCCATCTAAAAATAACAATTTGTAAGATGAAAACTAAGGAAACTAAAACCTTCATTTAATTGTCTTAACTATTTTAAACTGTCTTCAGGGTCTTATATATATCTACTTATGTTGTAATGAAAAATTGTTATTATTCATTTAATGCTCTTATTAGATGATACAAATACAAAATGGACTGTAACTGCATCCTTATTCAATATCAAAAGTTTACAGCATTCTGCATAAGTTTCATATGCACAATTACTAACTATAAATTAAATGACCACAGGGGTTCATTTATAGTGACAGTATGTTCACTTTTACACTGTCAAGCTGGGATAAATTAGTTGAATATTTCAAGAGTGATTGATAATGACAAAAGTTTACAATAAAATATAAATGACTTCCCCATTCTTTTTATAAACTGAAAACTAACAATAATTTTGGAAGGATATCTATAGATAATATTTATGTGGGTCAGGGTGGTTACTGATTATTCAAGTGACATTTATTAAGAAATTGAAAACAAAAATGACAGATTTTGAATTTTAGCTGAACAATTATTATTTACTCTTAAATATGCCTAACATCACTTTAAGCTGTATTGTTTTTTTAACTTTGTCTTATCAAGAACTCTTTTACAACAAATATAAAGCCTTTCTGTAGGAACAGCACAAGTACCTCATCGTCTAGATGTGTAGCCTCTACATCAACGCAACGAAATCTCACATGTTTAAATATTTCTTCCAAACTCTCCACTTGCTTTAAATCTAACCGTTCTCCTGCAAGTTAGAATATTTATACTGACTTTTGCATCATCAACAACAGTGAAAAGTTATCAAAAAAGTCATTATTTGGTTAGAAAAATAGTCCAACAGCTCAAACTTAAACTGATTGTCAGACAACTGTTGCTTGCATAATTTAAAACTACATGTATCTTAATAAATGAATAATGTTTCTTGTGTCAGAGAGAAAATCTCTGATAAGTTTAAGGCTGTTATTTGTATTTAACTTGACATTAACATAAGAATTAAATTAAAAAAATCTTGGAAATTTGAGAGAAAACTATAGAATTACCTTTCAAACTGAGGATTTCATATCTTTCACCAACATTTTCTATACACTGTAAATAGTATAAAATTTTGCAAATAAATAACTGGGAACATTCTAAAACAGCAGCAAACAATTATTCAACATACATGTACATTAATTTCATAAAAGTAATTACCTATCATTAGAAATCACTGCTTAAACAGAAAGCTTTTCTGTTAAAAAAATTGTCTCATATGAATACCATTAAATGAAATAATTTGTAAACCTGTAGTTGTTGCAAGACTTTATTCAATGGTTTAGAGTTGTGCTTCTCACATCCTCTCTTGTAAGCTTTTAGTAAATCCTCTGTTCTCCAGTCAGGAACTAAATAAAATCAACAATTGAGCATTTAGTATTTTATCCCAAATAAATCTTTTCTACCTATGACAAATATGTATCACCCTATCAGTAGGAAAAATACGAAATAAATGATTTATCATTATACATTTATGCACCAATACTTTATCAAATCCTGGCATTTTGGATTAAGTTCTTCCTAATAAATTTCACAAATCGGAACATTTTATAGTACAATGTCCATGTATTACTCTTAGTAATACTGTCCAACAATACAAATCTCACAAAGGCTTTTGATTCACCATCAGATATTTGTTACATTAACAGATGTTCAGCTGTCTGAACTAAAAAAGACAATGAGCCTGGGAAAATAGTTTGTAATATGTAGATCAACATAGCAAAAATCGCCACTTGTTCAGATTGACTGGAACCATATACATGTATGTAAAATGTTTCAGAACTATTTCATATAACTTTTTATGCTTCATATATTACTTTGTTTTCACAACTGTAGACAAATGTTTTGTATATATGACCACTATGGAATGTTAGACAATTGTCTATCTCCCATTTAGTTAAACCCCTGCTGTGGACCAAGACTTTAAAAAAATGAAAGTTTAAAATAGATAAAAACAAGGGTGAGACAGGCTAAATCTGGATTACAGCCTTATTGAACACAAGCATTTCAAAGAAAATAATCCTGAGGAAGAATGAGTATTTGTAGTAGTTGTTTGAATTTGTTTCAAAGCAAGAGAATGGGAATTTCAAGTTGGTTAAGTTAGTGTTTTGAAAGAAGTCTGGAAAGGGAATGACGACCTTATTTTATCTTGAAGCATAATAAGGTGCTTATCTATTTATCTTTGCTCTAGACTCCTCCACTCCAGAGAATCATGCATCGCCAAGACACTTGATGTATGATTTAGTCCTGTTTGACCTAGTGGGCAGCACAACACTGCACAAACTGGATCTGGTCAATGAGAGATCCAGTGTATGGTGACCAGACACAGAAACTGTTGTGACAAATTTTATATAGGCTACTTCAGAGTGGTTCATAGAGGACTTTGATGTTTTTCGCAGGATACCTAGTGTTAGGTGTGCTTTGTACACTACTGACCAGCCAAGGAATATCCTTTTTTTCTTTTTGCGAGTACAATGAACAAACTAAATTTCAATAGTGTGAAACAGGAACAATGTTAACTTGAAACTTAAATTCAGTATTTAAATCTTTTTACATTTATATCCAAAGTATTTCTTTGACAATTAGCATTACATGACTACAAAGTGATGTTTATTAACATGTGTGCCAGTCTGTAATTTAAATTAAGTAAATTAGATTGTTTTTTTGAAGTAGGCCTTTAATTACATACATGTGTATTACATGATTTAAGGATGACTAATGCAGGGATAGAAAAATCTTTTTAGAGCCACTCATCCAGAACAAGTAGTGTCATATTTCAACTTGTCCTGCATTTTTTATTTTGTTAAATGTAAACAAACTGATAAAGAGAATTCTAGCAATTGGCGAATTTCAGCTCGTCTCAGTACAATTTTGTACTCATCCTTCCTCCATCTCTACTAGTGAATACGACTGGACAAATTTATTATGCAATTTTGGATCCATAGCATGATGGCTAATGTCAAAGGCAGCAATTGCCAACAAATATTCACATTTATATTTGTGACTTTTGCTGTTTGTGACTTAAATCCACATGGTTGGTATATATTGTGAAACAAGACTGCATTTGAGAAAAATGCTATGCCACCGCATGGTTCAAATTTCATAGCTGTACATCAAAGGACAAGAAAGTAGGTCACATCATCAAAATCTAGGTCAAAGTTCAATTTTACAACTAAAATTGTGTACATGGTCAAAATGGCATTGCTGTACATCAAAGGACAAGTAAGTATCTATGTACATAATGAAAATCAATGACCCCCGGGGCGGAACCAATTTTGACCCCAGGGCTATAATTTGAACAATCTTGCTAGAGGTTCACTACACAATGTTTCATGCAAAATATCTTAACTCTTTCCTTTGTAAATTTAGAGAAGATGATTTTTTAAGTTTTAACTATATACATATAAGATAAACCTATGGCTCCCAGGGGCGGGGCTAATTTTGACACAAGAGGCAAAATTTGAACATCTTTGGTAGAGTACCTTTAGATGATATTATTTAACAAATATTAAAGCTCTAAGCCTTGTACCTTCAGGCAATAAGATTTTTTTAATTCTTACTATATGTATATATTGAAATCAATTACCCCCAGGGCGGGGGCAATTTTGACCCCAGGGCTATAATTTGAACAATCTTGCTAGAGGTTTACAACACAATGTTTCATGCAAAATATCTAACCTCTAGCACTTGTCAATTGCTAGAAGATTTTTTTTTTTAATGTTTACTATATACATATAAGGAAAACCAATGACCCCTGGGGTGGGGCCAATTTTGACCCCAGGGCTATAATTTGAACAATCTGGGTAGAGGTCTACCAGACAATGCCTTATGCAAAATTTCTAAGCTCTAGGCCTTTTGGGTCTTTTAAGTTTTTACTATATGTACCTATAGCGAAAATCAATGACCCCCGGGCGGGGCCGATTTTGACCCCAGGGCTTTTATTTGAACAATCTTGGTAAGGGTCTACCAGATGATGCCTTATGCAAAATATCTAAGCTATAGGCCTTTTGGGTTTTTACAAGAAGGTATTTTAAGTTTTTACTATATGTATATAGTGAAAATCAATTACCCCCGGGGCGGGGCCAATTTTGACCCCAAGGCTATAATTTGAACAATCTTGTTAGAGGTCTACCAGACAATGCCTTATGCAAAATATCTAAGCTCTAGGCCTTTTGGGTCTTTACAAGAAGATTTTTTAAATTTATTCTTATAATTCCTTTTGGTTGCCATGGCAACCAGATTTCTGCATGGAATGAAATTCTTTGAACAAGTTTGGAAGCCCTTCACCCAAGGAACAATCCTGCCAAGTTTGGTTGAAATTGGACTAGTGGTTTTTCACAAGAAGATTTTTTAAGTTCACTATATAATCTATATAACACACACACAAACACACACACACACACACACAGATGAATCGCTATATGCCACCGCATCACAGATGCTGCGGTGGCATAAAAATCAGTTGCAACCATGAAATATGCAGATTTTCCCGCTCATTACTGTAGAGTTACTCATACATGCCATAATTTTTAGACTCATGTCCGGGACACTTTTCATTTGGAGGTGGGGCATTGATCAGCTGATCAATGCCCCACCTCCAAATGAAAAGTGTCCCGGAAATGAGTCTAAAAATTATGGCATGTATGTTTTAATGGATCAAAATTATTGCCGATAATTGTTTTTTGGAAGGGGCACATAGATTAGTGTCACGATTGCAATGCTGTTAGGGGATTATCATTCATAATTACATGTAGCGTTCTAGACTAGATTATAAAGACTTGACAATAAAATTATATAAAAATTTATGTAAAATTTCTTGCTTCATTGAAAGTAGATTATTTCAGATTTTTTTTAACTGGGACATAATTCATCTCCCGGACACCTCCGGGACAGACACCTTATTTCCGGACGTTATGGCACGTATGAGTTACTAAACATCTTTCGTCAAAGGAAACATAAGATGAATAAACTTGTGCATGTATACAAGACTTATAAATAAAAAGCATGTAAATTAGTGTAATATTGTAAACGTGAACAGTATTCACACACCATCTTTCCATGGATCTGGAGGATCCAAGTATCCTTTTACTATAGTTGAGTCAACTGGAAAGAATACATTTCTTTTCATTTTTTTGCCAGGTTTTTTATTTTCAGTGTCTGAACAGCCATTTGATATCACAGCTTTATCACCCACATTCGCATCAGTATTAGTCTGAACAACAGGAACTTGATCATCTTTACATGAGTCTTCATTGGGTAATTCAACTACTTGTTTGTTTACTTCCTGTTTTGGTGTTGATGATGGGGAGTATTCTTGCTCTGAAATTTCATTATTTATTTGGTCATTTTCACATGAAGATTTAGGTGACACAGCTGAAATAACAGCTGCATCCATTTTATAAAATATAATCTGTAACAATTTCTAAATTATGGACTCATTGAAAAGCATTAAAACTGAAGAATAACGTATTTTTATGACATTTTTCCAAAAGTGCCACTCGTCAGCCTCCATATTATTATTCGGTCATGCGCAGTCACAAGTTTTAAGACATTTGAAACGCTCTATACGATTGGCCCATAAACCCATTCTCACGACTGTTAGCCAATGAAAATTGACGTACTTCCAACTAATAGGGAATGTTTAGCGGAAAATACGAAATACCGGAAGTTCACCAAAACCGAAACAAAAAATTTAATTGTAAGTAGACTTTGTTAAACTGCTTTTTTCTTGAGCTAATAATGCTGTGCTCCATCATGATATCATTCAGTCTGTTCTTTCTGTTCTTAGCTTGCAGAGGTTTTAGAGTTTAAGGGAATCGGGATCAGCTCGGCCCATAAATTTGGCTTAAACTACCGGTGCTAAGCTTTCCCTGTAACCATGTTTTTCATACCATACATCAGGTATCTTCCTACTACATCATACTGCTTTAAAATCGTTTTCGATCACTCTAAGCAGGTATACATTGTATACATTTAAGAAACAGCTTTAAGATACAAGGGAATCCGGGAACCAGTCCCTAGCTCTTATTGAATAGACCCCTTGGTTCTTTTACATGCCCAGTGTATAGCACTGATACATGCGAGGATTACCTGGATTTCTTACCAGTACACCTCTAGGTAGGTGGGAAACACTGAAAGTGTCTCTGAAAAATCCCAAGGGTGTAACCCAGGATCGAACCCGGGACCTCAGGAGTGATAGTCAGTGGTTTAACCAACTGAGCTATCGCGCCACCTCTATCCAATGTATTATATTACGGTAGTCGGTGTAAACTATTGTTATTAGAGCTTACATGTATATGAATCCGACTTATAAATAAAATTTACTTGACTTGAACATTTTAACTGGAATATATTTGCAAGTGCTAAAAGTTCATCTAAAAATCATACAGCATAATATGATACATACAATATACAATCAAACTTGTATCAAATTTAGGTTTCTGAAAAACCGCCAGAGATGTTTGCCTGTCCCTTTTTCATTGCCAACATTCTGATTTGAGTATGGCAAGTGCCGAACTCAGCAGCGATAAATCTAGAACAATGTCGAGAATCTAGCATATGAATGGTAACATGATTGACAAAGATAATTAAAAATAAATAAATAAAGACACCATCTTTACAGTTTGACGTAAGATTAATCTGACAATAAATGTAATCAATTATTGCAATGTTCAATTTACACCAACTAAATTCAATAACGAGTGTGTTTTTTATGATAAAAACACCAACCACATTAATTCTTTAATCATAATTTTCGCAAAAACACCAAAAAACACTAGATATCTATCCGTAAATTACTGTTTGCAGGCTTATTCTTAACTTTACCATTTATCAAAAGTTTACAAATCGTTTTTTCTTTCAGATGCTTGTATTTGTACCTATATGCAAGTTTGTTTCGCGATAAAAGTTGGCCATTGTATTATGTGTCAAAAACTGAACATTGGATTTAATTAAGTAGGGTGACCGCTGGCTGCATATCACAGATCTGTTAAATAGTGTTAAATACATGTTGCATTTAAAAAGGAAAATACACTAGTTACCGGTCAGACTTCAGCTGACAAGTGTATACAAATTGGCTGCTGTGCAGGTGTGACCGCACATTATCAGGGCAAAATCAATTGTCCTTATTGCCCAGGTTGTCCCACACCCTGTAAGGACAAGTGGAAATTTTCAAGAATTAACTATGTAAATATCATACGGACAAGTTAACTTAAGAAATGCTTCAGATAAAAACGGACAAGTAAGTCAAAATCAAGATTTTGCCAGCCCTGACATTCAGATTTGACTGTATTTCACTATTTGTAAACTTGTAGATTAAGGTACCTTCATGTAAATGTACTGTATGTTATGATTTTTTCATACTGTTTTTGGAAACCATACAGAATAAAGTAAATTTTAAATGATTGTTTTAAAGTGGGGCACATCGTCATTAATCTGGGGCGAGTAAGTTGTTGTGGGGGCGAATTGTTATCAATTCTTTTTTACATATATTTGAAGAGATTATAATACAGAGGGAAAAGAAGCTCTAAAAATAGCACATTTTCACTACTAGACCCACAAACAAGGGGTCAAAACAAGATGAGAATTTTGTTTTGAATTAACATATTTTTATGCTCACTGAAAAATTTCGGGGGAGCATATAGTCGCTGGGTTGTCCGTAAATCCCGAATTCAAGTCCGGCCCATAACTTTGTTATTTGAAGTCAGATTTTACAACTATTTCACAGAAATGATCACCATATTGAGACGATGTGTCGCGCACAACATTTGGGTCGCTGCCTTGAAAGTCAAGGGCACAGTATAAGCTTGAAGCAAAATCGTGTCCGGCCCATAACTTCGTTACTTGAAGTTGGATTTTACAATTATTTCACAAAAATGATCACCATATTGAGATGATGTGTTGCGCGCAACCTTTGGGTTGCTACCTTGAAGGTCAAGGTCACAGAATGACCTTGCAGCAAAATCATGTCCGGCCCATAACTTCGTTATTTGAAGTTGGATTTTACAACTATTTCACAGAAATGATCACATATTGAGACGACCTGTGGCGCGCAAGGTGGTAGATAGATCTCATTGAGTAGAAGTGCAGTGCAAAGAACAGTAACTCTGCCTTGCCTTAGTTTGGAATTATCACACTTTGAACTTTGTCTGGGACATAACTCTGAAACTACAAAAGATGTACTTTTCTGTGTCCAAAACCTTGTCAGGGAGCATCACCCGGTTCAACTGGCTCTTGTTTATACAAGCATCAGCAGAAATAGAAAATATATATCTTTATGTAGAACAATGTATTTGATAAAAAAAGAAGATATATAATGAACTTTACATAAGTAACTCTACTTTTTCTGTCTTTCAGTCTGTTTAAGTAAGATTGGGTATAAACATTTAGAAATATGCCAAGAGCTAAGGCAGCAGGAGGGACTGCAGGTCAGATTTTATTTTATGATATTTATTATAATGGAAAGCTTTGTTAAATGGATGTGGTAAAGGTGATATAAATAGTTGATTGTGCCATTATTTACCAGGTTTTACTAAAATAAACAGAAAAGCCACACTCATAGATACTTAATGTCACTGTTGCAAACATTTTGGCTAATATAAGTACATAATTTATTTAATGTTTTACTAAAATCTTGGAACTAGCCAGGTGTCCTTTGTTATGGACAACATAAAGATATATTTTTAGTCGTCATACTAGTAGTGTATGGAATGTTTTCCTTTTAAAACAAGTTAATTATGTTTAACAGCTTTAACACTTAAATTTGAAGCGCTTGTAACATTATTAAATATATGTAATTTATTTTTTCAAATTGTCAAGTTTTGTATATGGTATGTTTTATCAACCAGCCAAAAAACCAAGGGCACCCAAAGCACACAAGCTAGCTGAGAAATTTCCAAATGGAGAACTTCTGCGAGATTTATGTAAAAAGAACTGGAGACTTGGGGATGTCATTGGGCAGGGAGGTTTTGGACTTATATATTTAGGTGGTTACATTTGATTTTAAATATATATATTTGGCACTTAAGTTAATTTCTTGATTTCCCAACTAGCGCAATATTAATTCACTCTTTTTTTCTTTTTTTTTAAAGAATTGCAAGTTATAAAAGTTTTTCAAATGCAGGATTTTTGTGTTTCTTAAAATTTTTTATCAACACTTACCTAGCTGTCTCTGAGAAATTATCAGTTGAAATATTATGGGATGATATTTTTAGAAATCATAAAACTTTATATAATTTATATACATATACTATTTCTAGCGTCTGACAAAGACTGTGCTAAAGTAGGCCCAGATGCAGAATATGTTGTTAAAATTGTGAGTAGACATTCAAATAGAATATTGTTTTAATTGTGATAGAGCTATCAGTAGTTACGTAACATATCACAATGATAATATTTATTAAGAATCTGAAGCTGTAAGACTTTATCCTTATTTAAAAAATTATAATGAAATTATTCTAAATGAAAAGTGCAGTCATTCTCATAAAAAAAAAATCACTTTTTTTCTATCAGTCTTGATTTCAAACAATGCTAAAAAAATTGTGTCTTATAAATATTTTAATGCCCTGTTCATGTTGTTTTAATAGGAGCCAATTGCCAATGGACCACTATTCTGTGAGCTTCATTTCTATCAGAGAGTTGCCAAACCAGATCTGAGTAAGTTAATTTTGAATATCATATTATTTGTAATATTTTACAGAGATTAATTTATTCACCAAAAACTTATTTCCTTGCTTTTATTTATATTTCAATATCCAAATCTAATCCCAATGTACAAATATATTTTACAATTACATATATGTCGATTATAAGCATAATGGATGGATCACTGTTGTGTAGGGTAATGCACTGTAAAATTATTAATAGTAAAAGTTTGTCTGTACCCCAGGATAAGATGAAATTTGTACCCAAGGATTACATGAAAAAACATCTTTTGGCCTTTGTGACTGTATTATAAATTTGACTTAAGTTATAAATGGAAAAGAATTTAATTTGAAAAAGAAATAAAGTGTATTCAACAAAGAAAAATGTTGCCCTTCAGGCTATGCCATGTAATATAGACTATCTTAGAGGAAAGTATATTGAAAAATATCTGTATTTATGTTTTCTTTTATTTCTCTTCTAACAAAATTCAGAAAGGTACATTGCATAAAATCTTAGTTAAAGAAAAATATTAAAATGAATCTAGTATATGTTTTAAGTTTTAGTTCTTTAAAACCTTTGAAATATCAGAAATTTTCAGATTTGGAAACTTTATTTTCTGTGCAGTGATTTATATAAAAAAGACCTTTGTAAATGTTAGTTACCATAAAGACAGTATTTGCTTATAAACTGTTATCATGAAAATAAATTAAAGACGTTTTCGGGAGTTTTCATATAGACATATAGGCAAAATTAAAACTGTTCAATAGAATTTCTTTAAACTTGGCATGTTGTTAGAATATCATAACAGAAACATTTAAAGCGAAAAAAAAATTGGGGTCACTACAGTATATGAAAACTCCCGAAAACGTCCTTAAATAGTTTTGGTGAGAAGTAGGCTTAATGTAGATAAAAATTTCCATTTAGATACAATCCATTTGTGTGGTATTAGGCATGTAAAAAGATTAACCTTTAAATTAAAAAGTTTATACTTAGATTCATGTTAAGTAGATAAATTAATTCTCATTTGATTGTTTATTTTTCAGTTGAGGATTGGATAAAGAGTAGGAAATTAAAATATCTAGGTGTACCCAGATATGTAGCAAGTGGTCAGCATGACTATAAAGGTGTAACCTATAGATTTATGGTAATGGAAAGATTTAGCACAGATTTACAAAAGGTGTTTGAAGAAGCTGGTAAAGTCTTCTCGAAACAGACTGTGTACGCACTAGCTCTGAGAATGGTAAGTTGATAAAGGGGTGCTACAGTGCAAGTGCTGTACTTGCCATGATTACTTATTCTGTATCAGAGTGGTCTTTTTCTTTGCTGGTCTGTTTCAAAGAATAAGTCAAGCTATTCTGATCACTGTGTTATCGTTGTTGTTGTTGTCTTTGATATGCAAAAGCTTTTTATATTGCCCATTATTGAAACTTTTATGTTGCCCATTATTTGAACATTTTAAAACTTATCAACATGAAATTTGAAACATTGATACTTGCTTATCATGACAAGGTGCATCTTTTATCTGCTCAATAGCTTGAGAAGGTATAAACCTAGGTAAGTAATATTTGATAGGAACATTGATTATGGCCAGTAAATGACACATAGATTTTGAGGTCATAAGGTGAAGATCAGCGACACTGTGTAAAATCTATTTCTGAACAACAACTTGAGAAGGAAGAAGCTTAAGCTTATATAACATGGTAGAACTATTGCCCATGGCCAGTAGATGACCCCAATTCACTTTAAGGTCATCAGGTCATGGGCACAGTGACAGATGATGAGAAATCATTGGTTTATCTTATAATCAAATTTATAACAAGAGATTCCACAGTTATATGTTTCTGTAATTTATTAGTTATAAATGTTATACTATATATATAGGAGTGTCCATGGCAGGGTTGTTATGTCCTTTGACTTATAACCTCTTACACCACAGTGTTGTGGGGGTTGGAATCCTGTCAGAGACTAAGATCTATGTGAGGATTGTATCCAGCTAGCTTACGGAATGTCTGTGGTTCTACTCATATGCCCTTTGTGTCTGAAATTATGCTAGGAGGGGCACTTGAAGTTTTCCTCCACCAGTAAAGCTGGAAAGTTGCAATAAGACCTTTATAGTATTGATGCGAATTAAAACCTAACCAAAAAATACAATTTTTATGTATATTTATTATAAATAATGATATAAATGATACAAAACACTTGATTTATATAAAATATGTATACATATGTAAATATGCCATTGTGGCCACATTTCTAGTTATTTCATAGTAAATCTTTCTTTTCTACAATTAGTATTTAGGTACATGTGGTTGTCTGTTCTGACAGTTAATTTATACATTCATAAAGAATTTTTAGCTTAAATTATTTTGTTGATACACATGCAGAAAATTTAACACCTGAGGCAAAAATTAAACTGTAAAACTTCATATAACTCTATAGTGCTGTGAGAGTATACGCCAGTTACATAGCTGCTGGTCTTACTATGGCATTGTCAATTATTGTAGATAGATGCCCTGGAATACCTTCATGAAAATCACTATATACATGCTGACATCAAAGCCTCCAACTGTCTCCTTGGTTACAAGAAGGGAAAAACAGATGCAGATACCGTAATTATGTTGTTTTTTTTTCTAGATGTTTAAAGTGACTTAAGAATTTAGATAGAATTTCTTTAATACAATATCCAGGACGTGTAACTTTGCTTGTGTGATATCAAATGTGTGAAATGAAAAGCTCTAATTAGTGTTACGCTATTTTCTTGAGGATTTTGACATGATTGCAGTACATTATAATACATTAATAATGTTATATGCAATTTATAATTTTTAATCAAGAAAACATTCAATCAGTTTTGCTAATTAACTATCACTATTTCATGATACCTATAATATTTTGATAGATACATCTAGTTGACTTTGGTCTAGCAGCAAAATATGCCCCAGGTGGTACACACAGGGATTACAAGGAAGATCCTAGAAAAGCCCATGATGGTACTGTTGAGTTCACATCCATAGATGCTCATAAAGGTGTAGGTAAGTGTAGTTGTACACTGCCTTTGTCTTGTTATATTTTTATGCCCCCTCCATGTAATGGCCGGGGCATATAGTGTTACCCTGTTCCGTCACTCCGTCCTTCCGTCCTTCTGTCATTCCGTCATCATCAGTTTCCGTTCATTATCTTAAGAACGGTTGCACACATTCAACTCAAATTTGACATATGGATATGTCATGAGAAAATACAGGTCAAGTTCGAATTTGGTCATGGTTCGATGATTTTTGGCAGAGTTATGCCCCTTTTACTTTGAAAATAATATGAAATTTCAGTTTCTGTTCATTATCTCCCCAACGGTACAACACATTCAACTCAAACTTGACATATGGATATGTCATGAGAAAATACAGGTCAAGTTCGAATTTGGTCATGGTTCGATGATTTTTGGCGGAGTTATGCCCCTTTTACTTTGAAAATAATATGAAACTTTCAGTTTCTGTTCATTATCTCCCCAACGGTACAACATATTCAACTCAAACTTGACATATAGATATGTTATGAGAAAATACAGGTCAAGTTCGAATTTGGTTGTGGTTCGATGATTTTTGGCAGAGTTATGCCCCTTTTACTATGAAAATAATATGAAATTTTCAGTTTCCGTTCATTATCTCCCCAAAGGTACAACACATTCAACTCAAACTTGACATATGGATGTGTCAAAGGAATGTGCAGGTCAAGTTCAAATTTGGTCATGGTTCAATGATTTTTGGCAGAGTTATGCCCCTTTCACTTTGAAAGTAATATGAAATTTTCAGTTTCCGTTTATTATCTCCCCAATGGTACAACACATTCAACTCAAATTTGACATATGGATATGTTTTTGGAATGCCCAGGCCAAGTTCGAGTTTGGTCATGGTTCAATGATTTTTTGCAGAGTAATGCCCCTTTCACTTTGAAAATAATATGAAATTTACAGTTTCTGTTCATTATCTATGCTATTTTTAAAAGGTTTAGACTGAATAATTTCAGTGCCTTGAACATTGTATGAAAATGGTTTGTGTTAACATTGAAAAGTTTTAAGGGCTTTGAACTTAAAATGAAAAAAATAATTATAGCACCATCTGAAATTTTGGCTGCATGCGGGGGCATCCGTGGCATGATGACACATTTCTAGTTCTTTTTAGGTTCACTAAAAGCAGGGTTTTCATTGATTACAGATTGGTGATCTACATCATCGGTTGAAAAGCTGTTCAAGTCAGCTGTATTTTCAGCTGGTAGATTAAAATATTACTCAATCGGTGGTTTTCGTTGGCACATCTGTTGCCTCATATAAACATGAAAAATGTGTAAAAGGCTTTTTATAGACCAATACAAAGGTCATTGGCTTGAATGGATAAGAAATATTTATTTACTTGCCAGTATACTGTGTCAAAACTCCCCAATGTTTAGTCTAGTCAGACATTGCTTGACATTACCAATTTATTGTTATGTTTTGTTTATAAGGTAAAAATTCCTTGGTAAATACCTATGATAATTATATAATACAATTAAACACTTTTTCCTTTCAAAAACGGATATGAATGATAAAGAAAAAAAGAGAAAGAAAAAATGTTAACCCTGCACTGGTGTTTGAACCCACAACCCTTAGTTTCAATGCAGTTGACAGAACCTGGTTCTGCTCAGGTGCCTGTTTAAAAGACTGACATATTAAAAGTGTCAAAATTCAAACAACTAATAAATGCAGTTAAATTGAATAAATTCTTAAGATACATGATAGAGTTGAAATGTTTTTTTACAGAATTATTTGCCTTTTATTTGAAATTTGCTTCTACTGTTTTATATTTTGTTTTATGATAGATGGGGCAAGGAGGTCTGACATGGAGATCCTTGGATTTTGTTTATTACAATGGCTATGTAGTAAACTACCTTGGGAAGATAAACTAGGAGATAAAAACTATGTTAGGGATGCTAAAATCAAGTATGATTATTTTATCTTTGCTATAATGAAACAGCAATAGTCTGTATAAATGTTTTATATAAATTTTGATAATAAAAAACTCTTCCCTGTAATGACCGCTGGTATTTTAAGTCACACAAAGGGTTTTAAAACCAGTCTAGATAATATATTTGGCTTGATTGTAAAAACATAAAAACCTTATTCTGTTTTATAAGCCACTTAAAAAGAACCCCGAAATATAAAAATAAATTAAATTTACCTATACATGTAATTTATATTGAATATTATTTTCGGATCTTATATTTTCTACTATAGATACATGAATGATATTCAAGGTTTAATGAAGAAATGTTTTCCCAGTGGAAATGCCCCAGGTAAATAAAAGTTGTTTAATTACTTTTATAAAATACTCTGTGGCATCTTTAAATGGTCATTCTTCAATAATGACTGGCCAAATCTATTCAGGAGATTCTTCAGTAGAAAATAGGAAAAAAACTTTTAATGACTTTCACATGAAACTAGGGATTGATCTATTCCAAACTTGGTCTGTGGCATTTTTAGATGACCAAAAAGTTTGCTAAAATAAATTAAGTTGGCAGTATTTAAAGTGGAATTATGCTCATCAAAGGGTATATTGTGAGTGAAAAGGCAAAAGTCTAGTTTACATATTGCCATAATTCCTATACTTTGCATTAACAATAAGGAGTCACATGGTCCAAGGAAGTTTCTATAAAAATTCATCAAAATCCCCAGAAGCACTAGGTTTAGAACTTAGATATTTAGCACGAAGCATTTTCAATGGACCTCTGTTTCTCTAACAAGTTTGTTGAAATCATAGCCTGTGTGGTCAAAATGACACATATTTTATGCAGAGGTATATAGGGAAAACTGAGAAAAACTTCATATTTACAACTGCAAGGCCTAGAGCTTGGATGTTTTGTATGATGCATAGCCTAATGGTTCTCTACCAAGTTTGTTTTGATCATGGCTCTCAGGATCAAAAGACAATTTTTTTTAACATTTACAATTTCATTATTGTTTAAGCTGTAGCCTTCAAATTTGGATGTTATACATTCATTTTACATGCTTCATATGGATCTGAATTTTATTCAGTATTGATATTTAAGGTCAATGGTTTAATTTTCAATCTTCATATCATTATCATTTGTTATGCAGTGACCTTTTCCTTTTAATATTATATACATATTGTAATTGTCTTTCACATGCTGAAATATTTACCTTCAGTTTTATTTAACATTGATCATTGTTAGGTAATGTGTAAATGTAAGCTAATGTTTGTTTCCACTATTATTTAGTGCTATACAATGCCATGCCGTGACATTGCACTTTTCACAAATATTTTATTCAAAAACTAAAAAGCTGGTATGTTAAACATTACATAAGGTATACCTTTAAAGCTGTATGACTCCATATGGGCCAAAATGAAAGAAAATCAAATTTGAGAGAAAAAGTTACTGAAATTTTAAGAAAAGTAAAAAGATAAAGTAATAAATTTCATGTTATGTGCAATTAATGATAGACTTTGCAGTATTTTTCACCATACATGTATTTCTACTGCGTGACTAATGCAGTTAGGCCTCTTTTTGCACATTTTGACCTGTTTATGGTAATTATCTATCATGGACTGTAAAGGCTGTAAGCAGTGTGTGAATTACTTTTTTCGTCCACTTCACAATATTTTACACTTTAATACATTTACATATACTTAAAAATTTGCATTGAATAGATGCAGGCTGCTTTGAACATAATTTAAAATATTCATGTATATAAGTTTCTTTTAATAACTTGCCTCTTCAGTTGTTAATTAATTTCCTGTTACAGTTGAAATAACAACATACCTTACAATGGTACAGAAAATGAGTTATGATGAGAAGCCTAATTACAATAAAATGAGAGAAATCTTCCAGAAAGGTCTCAATAGTTTAGGGATTAAGGACCAGTGGAAACTGGCCCTCCCTCTTGGTGGTGCTTCAGGAAAAGCCTCACCTAAGGTAAGATACATAATTAAGAATATCTTTCAAATTTCTTAGTTATTGATGTGGAAAATCTCATGCTACATTTGTGATTTTATATTTCAGACTTAATTGTCAGTTTGAAACCTTTGAGAAGTTCTGACATTTGTTTCTTGTTACATTATGTTATTTGTTAAAAATATGGCAGGTATATGGCTTTGTACAAATGGTTGTAATCTTAGTGGCTAGTTTTATATTTTAAACAAGCATTTATACATGGCAGCTGACACCCACAGTTCAGAACCATAACATAATATTGGAATTTTTTTGTAACATTTTCAGTAAGTTCATCTTATTGCTTATTATGAAAATTTGATTTTCTTTTTTGGCTTTTGAAAATTTATACTGGCTTAAATAAATGTCATTTGGATTTCTCATATACTCATGCAAGCATTTATTTTTCTAAAATTTATAATACAACAGAAACTTTATTTATTATTTGGGGAAAAACAAAATTAATTTATAAATTGCTAGCAGCAGTGCTTGTTGACACTATGAACATCACGATTATCCAATGAAAAGCAAAGTTACAAATGGGCAGTATAATAAAAAGTAAAATGCCATTCATTTAAATTTGTGTCTGACATAAAATGTGTTATTTCTAAGTTATTTGACACCATTGTTCAGTCATCATGCAAGAATCCTGTTGCTAATTGAATGCTTAGCTATCAGTATAGGCATTGAAATGATAGCAGTTCACTTTTCTGGTTACTGTTCCGGTATATGAAGGTATTTCAGAATTTTTCGTTCCCATATAGCTATAATGGTAACAAAGTCATTAACAACTGCCATTTTAAAAATATTGATAGATAGTAATTGTCATCATGTAGCAGGGAAATCAATAAAACATATTTCATCATTTATTTTTTTGACTCTCTAATTAATATAAACCTTTTCATTTCAGAAAGCTGTAAAAAGAACACTAAAAGATTCCGATATAGATTCACCTGTGATAAAGATGAAGGCCAAGGCTGCATCCCCTAGACCCGGCACTCCCAAAGCTGGTTCACGACCTGGAACTCCTAGAACAACTGCACAGAAAGCTACACCTAAAGCAGTGGCACAGAAAAAACCTTCAACTCCAAAACAAACAGCCAGGGCCACATCTGCTGCAAGGAAAGCTACCAGCATTAAAACAGAAGCAAAGTCACCACGTGGGCGATCACCAGCAGCAGTAAAGGCCCGTGCAGTTGGTGCTAAAGCAATAGCAGGAACCTTGTCACCTTTAGCTTCACCTGATAGAGGGAGGGCATTGAATGGAACAGCAAGGAGCAGAGTGAAACAAAGAGTTCAGTCACCTGCAGGTAGGGATTTACCATGTTCATAATACATTTAAAATGGACATGCTCATTGTAAAACTTACATTCTAACACTATCAGAATTTTTTCTTTATAAACAAAGAAGGCCCAAAGCGTGCATTATTCTACAACAATGCACTCACCGTTCTTTTTATCTCCCTGTGTATTTTCACATTGAGAGCCCATTTTGTTTGAAAAATCTGATAAATAAAAACAATTTTTTCTCGAATTTTGTTGCGAAAACTATCTAGATTGAAAGAAAATGGTCAAACTAAGAAAATGAATCAGAACACCAATATCTTTAATTCAGTCATTAACGCTGTACAGATGTTTAAAGTGTTGTTTACGTGACGTCACAATGTAGCGCCAAACATCACGTGCAAAACAAAACTAGAACGCTATTTTCATGTCGCAAACGAGTTAAGTTTTACATTTATTTCAATTTTAATAATTTGTATTTCGCTTGAAATAAAATAAACAAACAAAGTTTTATCAACGTTTTCAAAATTCGTTATTCTGAAAATGTTTCTACCTGTAGATTTAATGACAGTTTTGTTTCAACCCACTGGAACAGCCTTTATTTAACCACCAAAAATAAAGTCCAACTTAATAATAATAATATTTTTTCTTGACATGTTAGAATGGAAATTGATATTAAACCTCGTGCATTATTGTATAATAATGCACGTTTTTCGTTTAAATGCTTTGTAATTAATCACTCAGGCCTATCGGCCTTCGTGATTATATTACTACACATTTGAACCCAAACCGTGCATTATTCTACAACAATGCACTCAAAATTGATATCTATTTCCTAATTGAATATCAAATACACATGTATAATTCACAAAAATATGCAAAAGTTATATTTATACATTTTTAGTTTGATTATTCGAAGGATATGAGAGCTATTGTAGTCGACCGGCGTCAGCGTCTGCGTTGGTTTAAGTTTTTTGTAAAGTCAAATATCTCAATTATTGCTTGAGATATTCAATTGAAACTTACAATACTTATTTATAGTAACAATGTACATCAGATTGACAAGTTGGATAACTCTGCCTACAATATTCACAGAATTATGCCCCTTTTTAGTCCCCTACCGGTTTAACCGGAGGGGACTTTAGGTTTACCCTCCGTCCGTCTGTCTGTCCGTCAGTCCACAAAACTGGATCCCGCGATAACGCAAAAAGTACTAAAAATATTTTTATGAAACTTGGTATATGGATAGATGGCAGTATGGAGATTATGCACGTCTTTCTCTTTTGTTCCTATGTTGAAAATTCTGGTTGCTATGGCAACAAATATTCTGAAAATATGGCAAATTAAACACATGAACTTGATCCAGTGATAACTTAAAAAGTACTGAAAATACTTTTATGAAACTTGATATATGGGTAGATGGCAGTCTGGAGATTATGCACATCTTTTTCGTTTCTTCCTATATTGAAAATTCTGGTTGCTATGGCAACAAATAGTCTGAAAATATGGCAAACTTAACACATAAACTGGATCCAGTGATAATTCAAAAAGTAATGAAAATATTTTTATGAAACTTGAAATATGGGTAGATGGCAGTCTGGAGATTATGCACATCTTTTTGTGCCCCCACGTTAGTGGCGGGCATTTAGATTTACCCTTGTCCTTCCGTCCGTCCGCCCGTCCGTTCACTTTTGTGTCGCACGTAACTCAAAAAGTATATGACCTAGAGTCATGAAACTTTACAGGAATGTTGATCAGCATGTGTAGTTGTGCACCTGGGTATTTTTGTGTGGATATTTTTAGTATTTTCAGAGTTATTGCCCTTGATTTAGTAAAATTTTGCAATTTTCAACTTGTGTCGCACGTAACTCAAAAAGTATTTGACCTAGAGTCATGAAACTTTACAGGAATGTTGATCAGCATGTGTAGTTGTGCACCTGGGTATTTTCGTCTGGATATTTTTTGTATTTTTAGAGTTATTGCCCTTTACTTAGTAAAATTTTGCAATTTTCAACATGTGTCGCACGTAACTCAAAAAGTATTTGACCTAGAGTCATGTAACTTTACAGGAATAGTGATCAGCATGTGCAGTTGTGCACCAGGTGTTTTCGTCTGGATTTATTTAGTATTTTTAGAGCTATTGCCCTTCACTTAGAAAATTTTTGCAATTTTCAACTTGTGTCGCAAGTTACTCAAAAAGGATTTGACATATTCATTAAACCTTATGGGCAGGTTGCTCAGCATATTTAGATTTGCACCTGGGGTTTCGCTTGTGGATTTATCCAGTATTTGTAGAGTTATTTCCCTTGACTTAGTAAAAAGATTGACAGAACAGTGGCGCGGTGGGGGCACCCGTGTCCTATGGACACATTTCTAGTTTTTTTTACTTCCTATGTTGAAAATTCTGGTTGCTATGGCAACAAATAGCCTGAATTTCAAGATTTCTGATTTAAATTTTTCAGCGTTTTTACTATAAGTTCTTTATTTCATAAGGTGTTTACTTCAAACTTTAAATATAAGTTTCTGGTCATCAACCACATCATATGTGTCAAGGTTCACAACTCTAGCACAAAAATTATCAGTATTACCTCCCTTGAACATAGAATTTTTATGAAAAAATATTGTCTTTTTTACATAACTTCTTTATTTCCTAATGTATCTACTTCAACTTCATATATATGTTTCTTATTATCACTCAACATTTTTGAGGAGGTTAAATACTCTAGCAAGACTATTTCCAGAATTATGTCCCCCTTGAACTTAGATTTTTTTCAAGAAATTGGTATTTTTAACTCCAACTTCTTCATTTCTTTTAGGATTTACTTTAAAATCCCACATCGTAATAATATGACAGGGTTGAATAAACATAATTTCCTTACTAGGGCAGAGAAACTTAACACATTACTGTGATATAGACAAACTTAGAACTCAAAAGATTTAAGTTCATTCATGTCATTCATTCACTGGTAAAATTGAACGGCCAATGGCCCATCAGAATGTTGCTGGGGTTCTAACCGGTAGGGGACTTATGGATTGCTTGCAATACTATGATGATTGCTAGTTAACTTAGAAATTTTGGTTAAAGTTTTTTGTAAAGTAAAGTCAAATATCTCAAGCAATAATTGAGATATTTAACTTTACAAAAAAACTTTAACCAAAATTTCTAAGTTATAAAGGGGCATAATTCTGTAAATATTATAGGCAGAGTTATCCAACTTGTCAGTCTGATGTACATTGTTACTATAAATAATATTTATAGTAACAATGTACATCAGACTGACAAGTTGGATAACTCTGCCTATAATATAGGCAGAGTTATCCAACTTGTCAGTCTGATGTACATTGTTACTATAAATAATATTTATAGTAACAATGTACATCAGACTGACAAGTTGGATAACTCTGCCTATAATATTTACAGAATTATGCCCCTTTATAACTTAGAAATTTTGGTTAAAGTTTTTTTGTAAAGTTAAATATCTCAATTATTGCTTGAGATATTCAATTGAAATTTACAATACTTTTTTAGCTCGACTATTCGATAAGAATAAGTAGAGCTATTGCAGTCACCCGAGCGTCGGCGTCGGCGTAACCACTTATGTTAAAGTTTTTGTAATAGTTCAAATATTTTCAAAGTCCATAGACATATGGCTTTGAAACTTTGCACACTTGTTCACCATCATGACCCCAACCTGTAGACAGGAGGAGGTAACTCTATCAAGCATTTTGACAGAATTATGCTCCTTTTTCGACTTAGAATTTACGTTAAAGTTTTTGTAATAGTTCAAATATTTTCAAAGTCCATTGACATATGGCTTTGAAACTTTACACACTTGTTCACCATCATGACCCCAACCTGTAGACAGGAGGAGGTAACTCTATCAAGCATTTTGACAGAATTATGCCCCTTTTTCGACTTAGAATTTACGTTAAAGTTTTTGTAATAGTTCAAATATTTTCAAAGTCCATTGACATATGGCTTTGAAACTTTGCACACTTGTTCACCATCATGACCCCAACCTGGAAACAGGAGGAGGTAACTCTATCAAGCATTTTTGACAGAATTATGCCCCTTTTTCGACTTAGAATTTACGTTAAAGTTTTTGTAATAGTTCAAATATTTTCAAAGTCCATTGACATATGGCTTTGAAACTTTGCACACTTGTTCACCATCATGACCCCAACCTGTAAACAGGAGGAGGTAACTCTATCAAGCATTTTGACAGAATTATGCCCTTTTTCGACTTAGAATTTACGTTAAAGTTTTTGTAATAGTTCAAATATTTTCAAAGTCCATTGACATATGGCTTTGAAACTTTGCACACTTGTTCACCATCATGACCCCAACCTGTAAAACAGGAGGAGGTAACTCTATCAAGCATTTTGACAGAATTATGCCCCTTTTTCGACTTAGAATTTACGTTAAAGTTTTTGTAATAGTTCAAATATTTTCAAAGTCCATTGACTATGGCTTTGAAATTTTGCACACTTGTTCACCATCATGACTCCAACCTGTAAACAGGAGGAGGTAACTATCAAGCACTAAGAATAGTCGAGCGTTGCTGTCCTACCGACAGCTCTTGTTATAGTAACAATGTACATCAGTTTGCAAAATTGCATAACTCTGTCTGCAATATTTGCAGAATTATTTGCCACTTTGAAACTTAGAAAATTTGGTTAAAGGTCTTCAAAGATATTTACTTGAAACTTTACACATGTACTTAGGGTCATAATTGGAGAGTCATAATTGTATGTCACTGACCAAGTTCCATAACTCTACTCGCATTTAGGCTGATTCATCCCCCCTTTATACTTTGTCTCTTGGTTAATGTTTACATGCAAGTTTTACATATCTCAATAACTATTAAAGATATTTATTTAAAACTTCACATATGCATTTAGATCATAATTGTAGGTCAATGACCAAGATCCATAATTCTATCTTGCATTAAGGCTGATTTTTCTCACCTTTTTCAACTTAGAAATTCATGGTAAAGTTTTGCTTGTAAGCTGTTATCTCCATAACTACTGAAGAGTTTGTGCCTTTTTTGGGACATTTTTATGCATTCATAATAATAAAGCAGTGATTTACTTGATAAAACATCTTAATAACAAGTCTTTGTACCTTTTCGGTCAATTTTATGTATTCATAGGTAATTAGCATTATTATACTCAATAAAACACCCTTGTGACAATTTTTGAATAGTCGAGCCAATACTGTCCTCCGACAGTTCTTGTTTATATTTATTCATATGTTCAAAGTTGCTTTTCTCAGATAGCAAGAAAGATTTCTGGAGAAGTTTCTTACTTATGATGCCTTTAAGTAGGGTGTAAAACTATATTGTAAGAAATTTTCTGATTGTGTTGAAAATCAAAATGATTGTTACTCTACCTGAATTGTATTTTATTATAAGTTTTACATGTATAGAACTTATTATTTTTACTGTACTTGGAGTATGGAAAAGTGATTGGAAGCCCTCTTCCCCATTCATTGATTTTATTGGCAAATGGTCACACTAGACTGTTATTCATTGGTTAAAGGGCACACAGCCCATTTCTGAGACTTCACCCATTGGTTTGTTTAGATCAGGTGAACACAGGATGATAATAATAAAACTATAGACCAGTAAAACACTGCCGTGCACCATTCTTTGAACTGTGTATTAGTACTGTATTATTGTCTTTAATCCATTTATTTACTGTTGTCTGCATTATTGTATATTTTTATGCTGAATGTTTCAGTGTTTTCAGTATTTCTACATCTGATAACATTACTGTATAAAATGTTCAATACAATACAACAACCTATACACAACAAATTTGTTAACAATAAAATTCTTTTATTAATTTGGACTACTGCTGGTCATTACAGTATTTACTAAATGCATTGTACTTTTAGACTCACTGTAAATTTAATATCATTGAGCACCAAGGGCCAAATAACATAACTTTGGCTTACCCATGTATTTATGCCCCTTTTCAACTGATATTTTTAATTTGCCAGTTTCATGGCATAATGTTTGCAGCATTATTAATAACTTCAACAACCTAGTTAGTAGTAAAATTACATAACTATGTACTTCAACTTAAAATTTAAGATTTGAAGTAGAGGTACCATGCATGGAGTGCAACCCAAGGTCATAGAGGCTGAAGATATTTGAGCCGCATCACAACAAAACCAACATAGTGCGTTTGCGACCAGCATGGATCCTGATCAGACTGCGCGAATGCCCAGGCTGATCTGGATCCATGCTGGTCACAAATGCACTATGTTGGTTTTGTCGTGACGCGGCTCATTTCTACCTTCATTGTGATATGCTTGCACTTTATCAAGTTTCGACATGACTTTCCTAAACTAAGCGAATTTCATCAACGATACCAGATACATGATCATATTAGGGGCTGAAATAGGCATAGTTTGACAAGTTAGCAGGATAGTGGTTTTATGACAAGTTAACCGTACTAATATTATGAAACTTAAACAAAGAGACAGAAGTGTAAAATTTAGGACCATCATGACCATCTTATATAAAAATTTATAAGGTGCAGAACTTTATTCATTTATTTTTAATTTTAGCAGATTCTCCTGCACCAAAGAAAAGGAAAGTTGTCAGACGGAAAGATGTTCAAATGTCAGAAATAGCTGTGCAGACATCTCCCGGACTTAAGAAAAACAGATGACTACTAAATTGTAGTCTCAGTTAAGATAGGGACCAACACTGTTTACATGTTTCTCCTGTGAAACAAACTTAAAGCTGTACAAACCCAGCTTACTGACTAATCAATTAATGTTAACAATTAGAACGATTCAGTTATATTTTGATCTTATATTTCTTGTTTATATTTTAAGGAATTAACAGGGATATATACATAAAAATTGACCTGTTTACAATGAACATGTTACTAACATTATGAAAAAGAAATGGTGATTAAAATCATTTGTTTGTGTTATACATGTAAGCATTTGCTTAATATGGAAAGATTTGATAGATTTCATGTTTTGAATGCATGTGTTTAGATACTGACAAATAAAGAGATTACTTCAGCAATTTTTTATTTTAAATGTCAAATAGTTACATTATTTTAAGTTTTTAACAATGTTTTAGCATACTCATTTTGACATTTCTTTATTAATTTTATATAAAAAAAATACAGTAAACTTATTAACACTTTATCATTGAAAAAGATGGACATAAAAAATGGTTAGGTTCAACAAATAAAATGCATTTGACACAGGTATATTTTACTGGAATGGGACAGTGCTCTTCAAATTACAGTTTTAAGCTTACCGTACTAAATATTTTCTATTTCATCAATTACTAAAGCAGAAAATAATTGTATATTTTGATACTACTTGTAACCACCAGTCAAATTTCTTATATTTTTGGAATATTATAAAATAAATTACAGTTTTTTTTCTTATCATGTTTTTGTTACTTTGGCTTACTAATAAACTGATCTATTTGCCATCTTGAATAATAAAGTATAAACTTAATATCAATATTCTTCCTTTATTCTGATGTAAATTGACCATTCATTCATAAATAAATAAAACTTATGCCATAAATCATACATACCTGATTATTGAGATATGAAAGGTTTTGTTAATTATGATGATAAGGAATTTAGTGGCATTGCACATTGTTACAACCAAAAATTTGGAAAACATTTTTTTTTTTTTTTGAGGGGCATGGGATTGATTTTTTTTGGGGGGGGGGGGGGTTAAATCAAGTCAAATAATGGCTTAGCAAGATTCTTTGAATATGCTTAAAAACATTAACTTCAAAGTCTTGATTTTTTTCAAAATTTGTTAGAAAATATTATATAAAACCACATTTTTTTCTATACACAAGGATATGATTTTTTTACATGAAATAATATTACTGTCTTCACCAACTTTTCTAGTGTTTTTTCTTTCTTTTGTATGTGTGTTATGCCACCATATTTCCTTTTATCAAAGAATATTATCATTAACTTTCATATGATTTATGGCATAATTTTTTCTCTACCACTGAATGGTCTTCCATTAATTGAGATGTACATCTATCTCCTTTACCTGTCCACATAGCATCAATACTACACCAATCTTATTTCAGAGAAATCATGTAAGGATAGTGCCAGATTTGGTTATCATTTTTTTGTTTTCAACTTTTATATTTTAGAGATATATATCTCACTTAATAAGTTAGATACATGCAATGAAATCATATTTCAACTAGTCTTGTCAATCTTTTAAATATATTTTCAGCAGTGCCATAATAGATTTAATACAGCCTATTACTCAACTACATTGTAACAGAAGTCAATAAATTACCAACATGATTTTAATTTGTTTACTCTACATTTATTTACTATCACAATGACTTGAGCTGCTCAACGTTATCTATGACAGCCTGAGGCTCAGATTTATATTGCAAGAAAAGTCCTTGAACTTGAGCTAAGCTAATTTTGGCATTTTCATCCTGTGCAGATTTAGAGAATTTTTCAGCCATGGCCTGCGACTCTTCAGGATAAAACCGGAGGTACATTTGCTGTAGCTGGTAATCTGTTGCGTAATCAATCTTCTCTTTTACATCAACTCTTCCTGGCCTTATCAATGCTGGATCCAGTCTGAAAATAAAAATCATATTTCCTTTAATACTGGAAATTTCAGCTAGCTATATTTACAAATATTTCATCTGAATTCTTGTTCATTGAAACAGCAAAACTTGTATTAAAACAAATAACAAATATAATGTAAAGGATTTAACTGCCACTGCACTGAATGTTTTTCAGCTAACCCCATTGTACATATTTATTGTTAATGAAATATAAACTTAGAGTGTATATATCGCATAATACTAATTTCTCCCTTGGTTAAACAATTCCAATGAATACTGGACATGTAAAATTCCCAAAACAAAACTAGTCAAAACAATGCATTTTCCCAACTTGTTCTTTACCAAAGCAGGGGAAAACTATTACAGTAAAATAATATACCCACATAAACAAGATAAAGTTATGCCCTTAGTAAATGCACTATTTGATCCTTAATGAACTAACCTTTCAACATAGTTTGTGGTCATGAAGATAATTCTAGCTTCAGCAGATGCAACACCATCTAGTGCATTAAGGAGACCGGATAATGTGAGTCGGCTCAAACCCTGATAAGCCACATTACCTGAAAACAATAAATGAGCTGCGTCATGACAAAACCAACATAATGCGTTTGCGACCAGCATGGATCCAGACCAGCCTGCGCATCAGCGCAGTCTAATCAGGATCCATGCTGTTTGCTATCAGTTTTACTACTTGTAATAGGGTTTGTAAGCGTGGATCCTGATCAGACTGCGCGGATGCGCAGGCTAGTCTGGATCCATGCTGGTCGCAAACCCATTGTATTTGTTTTGTCATGACGTGGCTCAAATAAATATTTTTTAATTAATCTTTGATTTATTAGGTCACATGATATAATGTAATTATTTGGAGAAAACAAAATATTATTATATTTTAGCATGAAACTGTTTCGACTACAGATACATGTACACAATGAAGCAGATATAAGAGTATAGGAAATAATAGGTGTTGTACAATTGTGAGATGATAAATCCTGGATAGCTTTTCATATTATATGCACATACATAAAATAGTCTAGCTAAAAACGGCTTGGCTTTTAGATGGGTTTAAAATTACTCTCATTACTTAAATAATATTCATTCTATTTGTTTCAAGTCTCATTTTTGCATATATTTTTGTCAAGATGAAACTTACTTTCTGCTGATATATCTCTGCTGACAAAGGCAGCATCAATATCCTCTAAGAGTATAATACTTTGTTCTGGTGCCATGGTGAGTAGATGATTCAATCTATCATCAGATAGGCCACGCTCAGACAGGTTCAACACACAAATACAGTAGTCAAGTTCCCCTACAATAGTAAAACATTTAAAACCTTTTTCTGCTTACAGGTGAATTCATTGAAAGTAGTAGATAGGAAAATTGAAAGAGGATTTTTCAAATTCTAATTATCTTCAGATAACTAAAAAGATAATAATGCCAAGCTTTATCAACAACTTTTTGCTTTATACGAGTAATGGTCTATAAAACATTCATGTATTTGGAGTCAGTAAGTTTTTTGATTCAATAAGTTATTCTCCCACTGATGGACAAAAAAGTATAAAAAGTATAAGGTAATGTTTTCAAAGTTTGAATGATATTTGGAATACAATTTCCCTAATTCCCTATATTATCAAATGCTGCATCATACAATACTACTTGTTGCCCTTAACCCTTTACCACATATATACGCAAAACAACGCACTTTCGACCCACCCCCCTTTTTTAGGCCTCAAATAGTAAAAAAATGTCCTATTTGGGCCCCAAACATAAGTTAGGGGGGTTTGAAGGGGGGCGGAGTCCCCCTCATCGCCAAGAAAATTTTGGACTTGTGAGAGGCTAAAAATGACCCCAGGTCGATCATAATGTAACGTTTAACCAACGCTGAAAAGCCTTTGACTCTATCTCAATCCCTTGAGCAGTTGCAGCACTTTGAAATAAATTTTGATGGAAAAAACCGAGGCAAAATAGTGATTTTTGGCAATTTTGAGATGTCCCCTCGTTGCCATGGTAACAGGAAATTTAAGACTGAGCATGTCGTTACAAAGGCAATGGTCCAGTCAACATTTGTGCCAAGTTTGATTAGTATTGAAGCATTTTTCATAGTTTCATGGCAGTTTGAACTTGTAACAGGAGGCTTTTCAGTGAAAACGGCCATTTTTCACAATATGCTCATGGGGAAAGGGTTAATATTGTAAACTCTTAATGTTGCAATCAGATATTGGTTTCATTTCATTGAATTTATACGGCCGAACTGAAGAAAACTGAACTACCTATGAAAGTATGAATTTTTTTTAAATTTCAATCTTGACCTATGACGAGGGCAGCAATAAGATTTGCTTCATGAAATGCATTGTACATATAACATTATTAAAATAAAATCAATTAATTTCACAAACATTACCTGCTAATGCATTTATGTAACTGCTTTTCCCACATCCAGGTGGTCCATACAACAAATATCCTCTTCTGTATGGAATACCTCTATCCATATACCATCTGGGATTACCTATAAATTCCTTAATATCTGTCAATATTTTATTGGACACAGCTTTATCAAGCACGACTGAATCTATAGGACGCTTTCGTCTTGGATAACCGAATGGTCTCCATTCTGGACCAACAGCAGTATACATAACTGTTCTTCCCTCCTGTGTTTGTAAAGCAAGACTCCGTGCCTCTTCTAAAATTTCAAAATATACATCTCTTTTACGGCCAATTGAAGTTAAAGTCACTGTCTCAAATGGAACCCCTCTGTTAATGTCAACCATTTGTTTTTCACGATTTCTATCAACCCTTATCCAATAATTTTTATATCGGAAAAAGTGACTTCCAGGACTCGGTATAAAGTCATACTTTGTTGTTATTCTACCTGAATCTGATTGATGAAATGATGTTTCTACACTGAGATGCTGTGTCTTAGTTCCACGAACTGAAATCCACTGTAACAACCAGTAGTAACTTTTGTCTTTACTTGGTACCTCTAATGTTATCATACAGTGACGTCTAAATACGATCATACCCATCTGTGCAGACTTTCTACCAACTGCAGCAGCCATGCCTACTCCAAACAACCCTGCCCCTGCACCAAAGTAGGGATTGTCTTTAAGATAGTCTATTAAGGCTGTTATTCCCATCTTGTTTTGTTAATCACTGAAAAAGAAGTTTCTGATAACTAAAGGTGCTATAGAACATCAAAAATTATTCTTAGAATACATTGTTTATTGAAATACAGTACTGTCCATGCACAATACACATAACCAAACACTTAGTGCATCTTTTGACTTTGATGCTGAAAGGTGTCAATTTTGATCAGGCATTATTTTCTAAAGTTTATAGTACTGTTTATTCCAAAGACAAAAGTTCAAGTGAATATTATACTTTTTAACATTTTCTTAGCAAAGCTTATCACTAATTTTATCTATAAACTGTTTAACCATTACCCTGCTGGAACAGAAAAAGATTAAGCATTTGTCACCAGTATCTGGTCAGGCATTATAATGTTGTTTTATTTACTTCAAATTTATGTCTTGATATCCTTAAAATTGATAATGGGCAATTTTCCATTTAAGAAATTCAACTGATAAAGGGTTAAATATACTTTTCTCAGAGCCTGACAGTATGATAAAAACAACGTAAAAGAGTGCATAATTCTGCAAAAGTACATTACAGAATAACCAGTCATTAATATTGAACAAGTATTTCCATTCTAAAATGAATACATGTATCTGTGATAGGTTTTGAGAAAATTAAGAAAATACAGGGAAGTCAAAGGCTGGAACTGCGAAGGCTTTGGCTTGCTCGGCTAGACGACATATGTATATTTAAAAGGAAATCAAATTTCATATTAGACTGTGATCTTGACCTAATAAAATAAAATTTAATACGGGGAAGTCAAAGTCCGGGCCCGCAAAGCGGGCCCGGGGTTTGGCTTGCCCGGCTATAGACTACACGTGTATATTTAAAAGAAAATTCAAATAAAAAACAATTAAAAAATATATAGAGTTCTATACCTATCAATGAAATTTTCAGTGTCAGTTCTAGATAGGCGCTGCCATTTACAATGTAACTCAATGATAAAAGGCGGTGTCTTCCGATAACGTAACATATCTCAACTTTTCGGATTAATAATAATCGTCGAGTGTTCCGAGTGAAAACGGAAGTGGGTACATATAATACCGAATGACACCTTTAAAACGGAAAAATGAAAGGATTTTTTACCGACTTCCCCGTTCATAGGCAGGGCCAAAACACCATTTTTGGGGAAGGAGCCGCAGCCTTTTTCTTGGGGAAAATATTCATGATTTTGGCATACTTTGGGAAAAGGGGTCTCAAATTTAACACAAATTTTTAACAAGGTCTTCAAAAAAAAGCAAACACTGGAAATAAAATAAGCGTAAACCTTAATTCAACACCATCATTTACTTATTCATTTGGGAATTTAAGGGATTCATGGAAAATGTTGGTTGGAAGGCTTATTCGGCTATAAGAGGTTTGCCCTGATAGCTTCCTAATCATATAGGGTCATTTTCAGGCCATTGTAATGGCCTACTAGTTAAACTGACTATTTCTGAAGTTATATCTGATGTTTTGAGTTCAATTGGTTAGGTAATCCCATATTTTCAATACCTATATTTCAATGAACTATTAAGTCAGCTGCTTATGGTTTTATCTAGTAAAAAATAAATAAATTTGACTTTAAAAAATTTAACATAAAAAAATATTTTTTTTTTTTTTGGTTGGCAATAAGATTTTTTTGGTTAGTTGCGATTTTTGTGGGGCGGGAGGGGAAACATAGGCCTGATAAAGTCACGAAATCGTGTTGCAATTACAAAATATGCAGACCTATAAATAATCCAAACAAAAGCCATTCATTAGTGATGAATTAGAGTCTATCGTATAAATGAAACACAATCATATATTCTATATAATTATTAGACTGCTAAAATATCTGGATTTAAGTAATGATAACATTGAAAAATTCGCTAATGGGCGCAGCCATCTTAAATTCTTAGTGATTCAGACGCTTAGAACGCGCACCTGCTTTGAGTCATGGTAACAGATAGTGGCACATGACAGAATTAACCAATGAACTGTCTAGTTTTGGCTTCAATATGGCGGATATATGTCAACATCAGACTATTGACATTCTACTGTAATTGGAGTAAAGATAGATTTCACTGCTTTTAATGGAAAATCTCAAGAATGTTTAAAATCAAGTATGTAACTGTGAGTGCGTCCACAATTTAATTAATCGACCCTTTAGAATAACTCGCACTGACATCCTGATCATAATTCAGATGCTGAGAAATATTTGATTGTTAAAGCTGGGACGGAAGATATATAATTATAGGTATCTTTCTGTCCCAGGTTAAAGTAAGTTTAATAAGTTTGAAAGTAACAGACATTTTTCATTGGAACCATGAAATGGTAGATTTCTATTTACTTCTTTAGTATAAAGTGAAAAACACTGTGACACGGATAATTTTGTAATTTGTCTAATCCCAGAATAGTTTACAGTAAGGGCTTAGTTGACTTGATGTTGCAGGGATAGACTGAAGGTAAAAACTTGGCTTATTCTTACAATGCCCCTGGCATGACAAAAATTCGGTCAACAGAAAGTGACTGGATCTTTCAAATGAGCAACATTCCTGATTAATGAATATTGCATGGATTGCATGCTCTCTTCAGTGAATGAAGATAGTATCATTGGCATTCCCTTGAATATTGCAGACCAGACCATAGGCTTAGTTGTCATGTTTTATAAGATATATCTTACGGCATAGCCTAGTTGCAATTAGTATCCCAATGTTTTTTTTCTCTACTTTGGGAATGGTGCCGGTGCCAGACTGATTGGGAAAAAATGTGTTATACTGACTTAAATTGGTGAAAAAATGAAATTTTTTCAGCTACAAATAAGATAAGTCATCATGAATAAAGATAGCTAACAGCTTCCACTGTCCAGGTAGAACTATTGAGTGATGATTTATATGAATATGTTGGATTTAAATGATTTCAGAGAAATCACTGGGCCTTGTAAAAATTTCAAACAGTCATTTTGGGAATTTAAACATAGGAAATGGGGAATTTTAATGTCTATTTTCTATTGGGAACAGTACCGTTTTAGGGTAGTAGTTATATAAAGAAAGAAAACACTGTATCCTGTCACATGGCCAAGCCCCACATACATTAACCAGACATGTGCACCCCTCAACAGACAAAAACTGGTTTCCTCTTGACTACAAATTTACAGTTATTAAAAATCACATTCTTTCTCACAGCATTTTGTTTTAGAACTTACTCCTAAGCCACATATAATATGTATATTAAAATAAGAATAAAAAACTATAATTCTTACAAGTATTTTATCTATGTCATTGGCTCCGATAATTCTGTGAAATATTAAGTTTGGAATGCATGTTATGTTTAAAAAGAAGCAACATTTTCAGCATTTTTAAGTTATTGTGAAAGAATAGCTTTTCAAACCACTGCTTTTAATTGTTTTAACTATCAAATTATATGTTTTCATTTAAAATAAGGCCAAGTGCGTATGGTTGCTGAGTGTGAATCACTTACTACCACTATGAGCTTGAATTCTGTTACCGATTTTGAATTCCTTCAAGTCAGAAAGTTCTTTTTTAGCTTGCATGTAGTTTGTCAGTGATTCTGTCCAGTAGTCTATTTGTGCCTAAAATGAAGTAGAGGGGTATCAGGGCTTTTTTACCTTCTTTAGCAGGCGCCAGTATTGGGCTGCTTCCCCAAAGAAATATTCTTTAAAATCATGCAGTTTTCCCCAAAAATTCAATTTACATCAAGTTTTTCCTTCCCCTTTTGCAAATATACCATGATATTTTGCCCAAAATTAAGGGCAGGGCTGCTTCCCCATCCTGTGAAAAAAAGCCCTGGGTATTTAATTTACAGTCTTTACCTACCCCACACAGTCACACCAACAAGAACTTATATCAAGTTACAGAACCATCATGTCAAAGATTTCATATGATGTCTATTTGTAACAGGAGGTAATTATTTTTCTTTAATACAAAGAATAAAAGTGACTAAAAGCTGATTGTATTAATTCCAATAAGGGTCTGTTATTCTTGAATATTTAGAAATTTCTCCCCACTTTCTTACTTTTTGTTAGTTTGAATGTTCACATAGATTTATCAATTAAAGGATTTGTGTCATCAGTTATTGTGTATTACAATATGGGCATGTTAATATATTTCATATTTACTTGAAAATAGGAGTGTCTAAAATTGTAATACTGTTTTTACTGCAAAAGAGAGTACATGCATTTCAGTTTTCCATGTTTACCTGGACTTGAATCATCCTGGAAATGCCTTTGTGACGGTCACCTGACTTCTGGGGCAATCCTGGATGTCCAGGAAAAAATGAAATGTGTTAATCTTGGGGCTCTGCAAAGAGGCTTCCTAAAAATAATGTAACAATCTGACATGTTAGACAACATAAAAATGTTTAATTGTAATACAAGTAATAAAAAAGGCTCTTGTGTATAAGGCTATACATTTTTTGTTTATGGATTGCAAAATAATTGTTTTTATAATGATTAAAATACCTAGAATGAAAGAAAGTTGTCAGTATATCAAGTACTTAAAGGGATTCCACTGAGGTTTTTGACACAACTGGACTACAAATATTTTTTCAAGATTATTGTTCCATTAAGTTCCATATGATGTAGGTCTAGACCAATAACTTGTGTAGCAAATCTCAGATTATTATTTGCTCTCTCCAATTTCATTTAGAATGATTATTTTAATTGTGGAAAATGGCACAAAATTAAAGTGTTGCAACGTTTTTTTCACTAAAATTGGACTCGGAATAGCACGAAAAAAATTCGATTTTCAGCTTATTTCTGAGTATATTTTTTAAAATGATCTTTTGCATACCTTATTGTCTTAAGTGTCCAAGCTGATCCATGAAGAAATTCATTTTTATGTATTTAGGCTTTTGGAGATCAGTGGAAATAATGAATGGGGAATGCATGAAAGAACGCCAAAGCTACGTAAAACAGAAGCAGAATATTTTGTTCCAGTCAGAATATTTTATTCGGTTTAGTTACAATGTTCATGTATAATAAATCACATAGACAGGGCCAAAATACCATTTTGGGGAAGGGGCCTCAGCCTTTTACTTGGGGAAAATATGCGTGATTTTGGCATACTTCAAGAAAAGGGGTCTCAAATTAAACACAAACTTTTAACAAGTTCTTCAAAAGAGAAAAGCAGAAAGCACTGGGAAATACTTATAAGGGAGTAAAAGACCTTAATTCAACACCATCATTTAATTTTATTCTTAGTTCTATGGGAAATGTCAAAAGACTGGGGAATTTTGAGGACCAAACAGGGGAAAAAAAGAGGCTAGTTTGGTTTGGGAAGCAGCCTATATTCGGCCTCTACAAAGAAGGGTTTTTTGCCCTGAATAGATATTCTATGTTACAAATCTTTCAAGAAACAAACATAAGGGTAAAAAACATCATTTTTTAAATTTTTACTGTTCTTCAAATCATAAAATATATTTCATCAGATACAGCTTTATACTTTAATGTCTATAAGATGTGATTATTTGCAAATGTTAAGTACTTTAATCTATCCTTGTGTACATTACAGAACAATGTAATCTGGTGATTTTTTTTATAATGTCCCAAAACAATTTAAACTTTGCTACTCTTGTCAAAATGTAAATATTGAGAGCTGTTTTCATAAAAATCTGGAGTGTTACTAAAACATTCTTACGAGTGATGATAAAAGATATGCTTAATAAAGATGTATACAATGCTTAAAGATATGCTAAATCATATGAAGATGTATACAGTGTTTATCACCAAACATAAATACGAAGTTGAAGACTTCAGTCCTTCACACATGAAGTCATTATTCATACTGTGATAGGCATGTCATAATCTTGTAAAGGCATTTTATTGTATTGCCTTTTTGGAATTTTTTGATTGACACATAATGGCTGTTTTTCTATTTACATTTTTTTTGTTTATCTATAGTTTGTTTTGCATTCAGTTGGCACCCTGTCAAATATATAGATAATTTTAAATTTATGGGAATGTTTAACATATTTTTTCATTAAGTACATTTAATTTGTACTTAAAAACATAATTTTCTTTGGAATAATATGGTATGACTTTCTTATATTTACACAGGGTTATAAAGGTAAATTGTATTATGCTAATTTTGTAAATATTTATTTTAAAAATACTATGAATGTTTTGAAGTTTTCAAACAAACAAAAGTATGTTTGCTAAGCTGTAAGATGTTGACATTTAACAGATAGAGTAAAGACTTCATTTACATTAGATGGTGATACAATATTGATCTACAATTGATACATATTGCATAGCAGGCTATAGTGGCTTTTAATAAAAAAGTTTTAAAATTATTGATACTTTGATTTTTTTTTCCATATATATGAGTGCACATTAATTTAGTTGTATAATACAAACAATTTTATTTTTGTGTATTTAAGCTCACATAAGGTGAGCTTTTGTGATGGCCAGTTGTCAATTATTATACGCAATAACTCCTAAACCATATGATAAATCTGACCAAACTTCTTTAGATAGTGGGGATTAGCCCTCAGTAAAGGTGGTAAAAGTCTGAAGTAGGTCAAAAGAGTTTAAAATATTATTTTAAATATACTTTGAAAATTAAATAATCTTCTATCAAAAATATTTGTCTCATTAACTACAATGCCTTGCAATGATCGTCACTTGTTTACCTGGACTCCTGTAGGAAAACACATTTAAAATTTCTTGCGTTAAACTATTGCCTAGAGCTTCAATATGTAAATCTGTTTGGTACATGTATGTTGCACCATGCTACTTTGGTCCAAAATGCCCTGCCCCTATGTCTGTTGCCTACTTCTACATTGAAGAATTATCAGCATTTCTAGCTATGGATCTCCAACCACTGTGGTCCTCTTGTTTTAGACTTCTGACAATTTCTTCTGTTTTATTTTGCATTAATTACATAACATGATAATTGATATTATATTTTTGCACTATTTTGTATCCCCTTTCTAATAATTGTTTGTTATCAAGATATTTTTATACAAAACAAGTATTAAATTTCAATAAAACCTTTATTTCACAAATGTATCTACCTCCTACTAATCATGTTTATTAAATACTTCTAAATCTTAATTTGAATAATAGGTCTTTGTCAAAATTTGGTAAAATACAAATTCACCATTAAATGAGAGGGGATTAAAGTTAAGGTTTTAATGTCAGCATATAAAATAATCCTGATATATATTTTGAAGGGTTTAACATATTTTAAGATGTTTTTTTTTTACTTACAGTTACATGTGTGTGTAGTTACTGTGAATATGGTGCAGTTTATTCAAGGGACATAAAAATACACCATCAAGTATGAGTACACCATTTTCTCCTGTGAATAATACCCCTCGAAGTATGAAGAGTGAGAGTGGGGTAGAGTCACATCCTGTAACTGTATCACAGTCAAAGAAAGGGATGAGCAAGGAAGAAGAGGAAGAAATCATGAAAGAAGTGGTATGTAGGATTTATATTTACTTTTAGTTGTGATAATAAAAGTTCTTTGACTTTTCTTCAAAATTGTCAAGAAGTACAAATAATATATTAAACTTAATTATTTTGCAACATGTGATTCATATGTTTATTTCATTTAGTTAATAAATGAAATCAATTCAGCTTTTTTCTTATGATGTAAGGTTGTTTATATAAAAACTAAATATATTTAGGCCATCCTTAAAAAAATGTTTGTTTGCAGTAACGCGACCGACTCACAAAATTTGCCTCTACTCAAATTTTTTTTCGTGGTCTGGATAAAAAATTTTTTTTTTTTAAACCAAAAAATTATGCCTTGTGCTTTAAGGTTAATAGAAGAAATAAAATGTAGTTCTTATTAAATTAGAATTCAGTTATCAATTTATTAATTGTTACCAGATTATCAAAGCATATATTGTCCAGCATTTTGAAATTCCATGTTTATTTGGGAGTACAGTTCAAAAAAAAAAAAAAAAAAAATTGACCTACCTACCCACCTTAAAAATTCTGGGTCGGGTTACTTCAAACAAACATTTTTTTAAGGACGGCCTTATTATGAACATTTTAAAAGAAAAATCTATTTTAATTCTTATTTTTGTATATGAACATGTTACTTACTGATTCTACGATTGTTACATGTTACTGAAATGATTATACGAATGTCAGTGGTTCTATTTATGTGCCCATTCATGCCTGAAATAATGCACAGAAAGGCATCTGATGTTTTCCTTCTCCATTAAAGCTGGAAAATTGTCTGTGCTTGGCTTGTGGAAAGTGAACCCCCCATAAAAAGAAATTTAATAAAAAATGATAAAATGATTATACATACAGACCAGACAGAAACATTTTCTTAGAAAGAATTATAAATTATCTAAGTGAATAATAATAGGAGTCCTCTAGATAATTAGATAATGAGTTATTTATGTTACAGCATGAAAATATACATACATTATACATCGTACATTTTCATGTTTCTTTTACAGTGTTCAAACAATGGAATAAGTTACAATAAAATTACAAATGGAGGTGATCACTCAAACAATGTAGACTTACTGGAGATATTTTTTCTTGGTTATCCGAAAATGATTGGACTTAACTACTTTCCTAACTTACATAAACTAGTGATTATTAACCAGCCTGCTTTACAGAAAATTGAAGGACTCGCACATGTGCCAAAATTAGCAGAACTGTGGATTTGTGAATGTGATATAAAGGTATAAGTATACAATTGATTATTTTGATTTTAATCTATGTTGAATATTATACTTCATAATTTCATGATAAAAAAGTTACCCTATTGGAACTGAAAGTGGATGATGTTTACCATCCCTATAGAGCCAGGCCAGTCTGCTTATAGGTGTAGTCAGTCCAGACTCTGTTGGCTGACCATATCCTTCAATGATTATTCGTGCTTAATTTGGAAGAGACCATAGCATCTTAATTTTGGGGAAAAATATTGCTAAAATTGCTATTTGGGAAGTAAATAAGCTGATGTATGTCAGATTGTTTGGAAAACTGCATGATTTAAATGGGAAGAGGCGTCTGTTACATTAAGTGAAAAATCACTGTCTTTATATTTCAAAATTTGTAATGGACAGTTCCAAAAATGGCAGCAGGACAAAAGTTCATTAAAAAAATCAACTGGGGGTTAAATTAGTTTATTCCTTATAAAATTTAAAAGGTCTGCATTTTGATATGAATTTTGTGTATTAAATTTCACCAATCAGCAGAAAATGACCCTGTCATCCTAATTCTTAATTTTACATGTTTATTTATTATGCCACCGCAGCATCTGCGATGCGGTGGCATATAGCGATTCACCTGTGTGTATGTATGTGTGTGTGTTTGTTTGTGTGTGTGTGTGTTATATAGATTATATAGTGAACTTAAAAAATCTTCTTGTGAAAAACCACTAGTCCAATTTCAACCAAACTTGGCAGGATTGATCCTTGGGTGAAGGGCTTCCAAAGTTGTTCAAAGAATTTCATTCCATGCAGAAATCTGGTTGCCATGGCAACCAAAAGGAATTATAAGAATAAATTTAAAAAATCTTCTTGTAAAGATCCAAAAGGCCTAGAGCTTAGATATTTTGCATAAGGCATTGTTTGGTAGACCTCTACCAAGATTGTTCAAATTATAGCCCTGGGGTCAAAATCTGCCCCGCCCCGGGGGTCATTGATTTTCACTATATATACATATAGTAAAAACATAAAATACCTTCCTGTAAAGACCCTAAAGGCCTAGAGCTTAGATATTTTGCATAAGGCATTGTCTGGTAGAAATCTACCAAGATTGTTCAAATTATAGCCCTGGGGTCAAAATCGGCCCCGCCCCGGGGGTCATTGGTTTTCCTTATATGTATATAGTAAAAACTTTAAAAAAATTTCTTCTAGCAATTGACAAATGCTAGAGGTTAGATATTTTGCATGAAACATTGTGAAGTGAACTTCTAGCAAGATTGTTATACCCCCAAAAACGAAGTTTGGGGGGGTATATAGGAGTCGCCCGGTGGTCGGACGGTCGGTCGGTCGGTCCAGACGTCCGTTGCATTTTCCTTGTCCGGAGCATAACTTGAAGACTAATGATTGGAATTCAATATAACTACACACAATGGTCAAGCACATTGAGAGGAAGTGCAGTGCACAAGAACCATAACTCTATCTTGACTAATTACAGAGTTATTGCCCTTTGTTACTTTTCCTTGTCCGGGGCATAACTTGAAAACTACTGGTTGGAATTCAAAACAACTTCATACAATTGTCAAACACAATAAGGGGAAGTGCAGTGCACAAGAACCATAACTCTATCTAAAGTAATTACAGAGTTATTGCCCTTTGTTACTTTTCCCTTCCTTTCTTTTTGTCCGGACCATAACTTGAAGACTAATGGTTGGAATTCAATATAACTACATACAATGGTCAAGCACATTGAGAGGGAGTGCAGTGCAGAAGAACCATAACTCTATCTTGACTAATTACAGAGTTATTGCCTTTGTTTCTTTTCCTTGTCCGGTGCATAACTTGAATATTACTGGTTGGAATTCAAAACAACTTCATACAATTGTCAAACACAATAAGGGAAGTGCAGTGCACAAGAACCATAACTCTATCTAAAGTAATTACAGAGTTATTGCCCTTTGTTACTTTTCCATTCCTTTCTTTTGTCCGGACCATAACTTGAAGGACTAATGGTTGGAATTCAATATAACTACATACAATGGTCAAGCACATTGAGAGGAAGTGCAGTGCACAACAACCATAACTCTATCTTGACTAATTACAGAGTTATTGCCCTTTGTTTTTTTCCTTGTCCGGGGCATAACTTGAAAACTACTAGATTGAATTCAAAAACAACTTCATACAATTGTCAAACACAATAAGGGGAAGTGCAGTGCACAAGAACCATAACTCTATCTAAAGTAATTACAGAGTTATTGCCCTTTGTTACTTTTCCATTCCTTTCTTTTGTCCGGACCATAACTTGAAGACTAATTGTTGGAATTCATTATAACTTAATACAATGGTCAAGCACATTGAGAGGAAGTGCAGTGCACAAGAAACATAACTCCATCTTGACTTATTACAGAGTTATTGCCCTTTATTACTTTTCTGTGTCCGGGGCATAACTTGAAAAACTACTGGTTGGAATTCAAAACACCTTCATACAATTGTCAAACACAATAAGGGGAAGATGCAGTGCACAAGAACCATAACACTATCTAAAGTAATTACAGAGTTATTGCCCTTTGTTACTTTTCCATTGCTTTCTTTTGTCCGGACCATAACTTGAAGACTAATTGTTGGAATTCATTATAACTTAATACAATGGTCAAGCACATTGAGAGGAAGTTCAGTGCACAAGAACCATAACTCCATCTTGACTTATTACAGAGTTACTGCCCTTTGTTTACTTTTCCTTGTCCAGAGCATAATTTGAAAACTACTGTTTGAAATTCCATACAACTTCATACAGTTGTCAAGGACATTAAAAGTAAGTGCAGTGCACAAGAGCCATAACTCCATTTTGACAAAATACAGAGTTACTGCCCTTTGATACTTTTCCTTGTCCTGAAGCATAACTTTAAAACATAACTGGTTGGAATTTCAAAACAACTTCATACAATGGTCAAAACACAATAAGAGGAAGTGCAGTGCACAAGAACTATAGCTCCATCTTCAGTATTTATAGAGTTATTGCCCTTTGTTTCTTTTCCTTGTCTTTCTGGACTTATTACAGAGTAATTCAGTAAAACTTCATCAATGGCCAACCACATTGAAAGGAAATGCAACATACAAGAACCACAACTATCTTCAATTGCCCACAACCATAACTCTATATTTCAATTCTTTTACAAGGTATTCTGTTACTAAGTAACATCCTCATTTCTGAAGAAGTTTTGTGGGGGTATTAATCACATTTAGTGATAGTTCTAGTTCAAATTATAGCCCTGGGGTGAAAATTGCCCCCGCCCCGGGGTCGGGTCATTAATTGTCAATATATACATATATTAAAAAATTAAAAAAATCTTGTTGTCTGAAGGTACAAGGCCTAGAGCTTTAATATTTGTTAAATGATATCATCTATAGGTACTCTACCAAAGTTGTTTAAATTTTGCCTCTAGTGTCCAAATTAGCCCCGCCCCGGGGGCCATAGGTTTTCCTTATATGTATATAGTAAAAACTTTAAAAAATCATCTTCTCTAAATTTACAAAGACTAGAGTTAAGATATTTTTCATGAAACATTATGTAGTGAACCTCTAGCAAGATTATAGCCCTGGGGTCAAAATTGGCCTGGCCCCACCCCCAGGGGTCATTGATTTTCACTATGTACATATAGTAAAAAATTAAAAAATCTTCTTGTCTGAAGGTACAAGGCTTAGAGCTTTGATATTTGGTATATAATATCATCTATGGGTCCTCTACTAAAGTTGTTTTAATTATGCCCTAGTGTTAAAATTGCCCTACCCCAGAGGCGATAGTTTTCCTTATATGTATAAAGTAAAAACTTGAAAAATCTTCTTCTCTGAATTGAAAAATCTTCTTCTCTGAATTGACAAAGGCTAGAGGTTAAATATATGGCATGAGACTTAGCGAAGTGAACCTTTACCAAGATTTTCAAATTATAGCCCTGGGTCAAAATTGGTCCCGCCCCGGGGGTCATTGATTTTCATATGTACATATAGTAAAAAAAAAAAAAATATTTTTGTCTGAAGGTACAAGGCATAGAGCTTTGATGTTTGCTATATAATATTATCTATAGGTCCTCTACCAAAGTTATTCAAATTTTTCCCCTGGTGTCAAAATTGGCCCTGCCTGGGGGCAGTGATTCTCATTATGTACACATAGTAAAATCAGAAAATGAAACAAATCTTTTCTGAATGGGAGAAAGCTACAACTTAGATATTTGACTTGAAATGTTGTTTGGTGGACTGTTTCAAGATTGTTTTGAATTAAATCCTTGGGTCCAAAATTTTGCCTTGCCAAAGGGGACAGTGGGCCTATTTTTTGTCCTTTGATGTACGGCCCAAAGAAATTTTGACCATTTCACATTTTTGTTTTAAAAATTTGCAACTTTGGTTTTTTCATGATTTTGATTTTTTAGGGTTTGACACGGGTTCTTTGTCCCCTTTTTTGAAATTTTTAACCCCGCTATTAAATTTGGGGAACCCATCGACAGATTAAGATTTTAAGGGAACTTTGATTTTCCGTGACCTTTTGATTTTAAAAGCTTTCGTGGCCCTTTTTTATAGTCATTGGAATTAAAGGGCTGGTGAAATAATTTACAAACACCAAAACATCAAAAGACCTTAAGTTAGTAAAATTCCTTACTTTTCTTGGAAAAAATTTTATTTTAAAATTAACAACAGATTTAAACATAATTTGTAATTTAAATTTAGTTTAAAGGGAAATTTGCTTTTTAAAAATTTCTTTTAAAGAAAAAAAATCTGTTCCCTTACGAATATTTAGGGTTATTTAACGGGGATGGCAGGATTTTTAAATTTCAATTGTTTTTTCCCTTTTTAAAGGGGAAATATTTTTTCTTTGGGTTTAAAGTTTAAGGGGGCCCGGGGCAAAGGGCTTTTTCTAAAATGGTTTAAGGAAAATGTTTTAATATTTATTTTTTTTTATATTATTTATAGCCCCTTTTGTGCATCTCAATTTTTGGGACCCCCCTTAGGAAAACAGTTTATTTTATTAACCAAGGGAAACAAGATAGAAGGGTTTTAGGGAAAAAAAAAAGATTTTAATTTGGGGAACCCCAAAAAATTTTTCTGGGTAAATCATTAACCCCAATTTTTAAAATTTTAGGGTTGTTTCGTTGTTTTATATGATGTATTCCCTTGTTAACATTTAGGGTTGTTCATCGTTTTATATTGGAAAAATTTGTTTAATTTTTGAGGGTTTTAATTTACCCGTATAAAATTGAGATTGTTGTTTATTCTGAGTTGAGTTCATTGTTAATACCGTAATTGAGGTAAGTTCATTGTTAATATTGAGTTGAGTTCAATGTTGATATTGAGGCTAGTGCATTGTTAATATTGAGGTTAGTTCATTGTTGTTTATAATGAGGTAAGTTCATTGTTAATATTGAGTTGAGTTCAATGTTTATATTGAGGTTAGTTCATTGTTAATATTGAGGTTTGTTCATTGTTTATAGTGAGGTTTGTTCATTGTTAATATTGAGGTTTGTTCATTGTTAATATTGAGGTTTGTTCATTGTTAATATTGAGGTTTGTTCATTGTTTATATTGAGGTTTGTTCATTGTTAATATTGAGGTTTGTTCATTGTTTATATTGAGGTTTGTTCATTGTTAATATTGAGGTTTGTTCATTGTTTATATTGAGTTTAGTTCATTGTTAATATTGAGGTTTGTTCATTGTTAATATTGAGGTTTGTTCATTGTTTATACTGAGGTTTGTTCATTGTTAATATTGAGGTTTGTTCATTGTTAATATTGAGGTTTGTTCATTGTTAATATTGAGGTTTGTTCATTGTTTATATTGAGGTTAGTTCATTGTTAATATTGAGGTTTGTTCATTGTTTATATTAAGGTTTGTTCATTGTTTATACTGAGGTTTGTTCATTGTTAATATTGAGTTTAGTTCAATGTTTATATTGAGGTTAGTTCATTGTTAATATTGAGGTTTGTTCATTGTTTATATTGAGGTTTGTTCATTGTTAATATTGAGGTTTGTTCATTGTTAATATTGAGGTTTGTTCATTGTTTATATTAAGGTTTGTTCATTGTTTATACTGAGGTTTGTTCATTGTTAATATTGAGGTTTGTTCATTGTTAATATTGAGGTTTGTTCATTGTTTATATTGAGGTTTGTTCATTGTTAATATTGAGGTTTGTTCATTGTTTATACTGAGGTTTGTTCATTGTTTATACTGAGTTGAGTTCATGTCTTGGATTAGTCACATAGCAATATTTTTATTTTTTGTGCACTGATCTTCATGAAATTGGTAATAAATCAATTGAAGCTTCATAAAGGAAATATCTGTGAAGTTGCAATGTTAGTGTTAATGAACCTAGTCAAACTTATTTCTTTTTTCAAATTCCATGCTGTGATTTACCATCATATTTTACTTTCAATTGAATCTGTGAAAAAAAACCTTTATTTTGGGATATTGGACCCCCCCCTTCCTTTTGTAGATAGAAAAATTTATTAAATTTTTTTGTAAGGGCTTTTTCCCCCGGATTGAGATTTAGGAAATGCAGTATTGTCTTTGAAACAGACAATTACAGATTGATTTTAGTTAAGTCATGGTTACAATATAACAATGATTTGAATTAATTTAACATCATACATTGTATATACGATATATTTATTCTAATTTATAGAAAAAATATGTTAAAATTAACTAAGAAATACATGTTTATCATTTTGTTTAAACAAATTAAAAAGAAAGTGAGTTTTATTTTTCAGAACATAACAAAATTGTCAAGGTTAAAGCAGCTAAATCTGGCTGAAAACAAGATAGATAAAATAGGTAAGGATTTTATATTGTCAAAATTAATTCAAGTTCTATTACTATTGTCTGCTCTTTACTCATCCTAAGTGACTTTTGTTATACTATACATATGTTATCTTCTCTTTGTTTCAGTCTGTACAACAGTGTGTTTTTGACTGAGTCTGTTTCCATTTTACTCACAGCTCTGATTTGTTATAGAAATAAGCTTACAGGAAAGATTGATGAAAGACTAGGCCGTAGGGTTTGGTTGTACCATGCATGGATCCAGGGAGACGGGGGGTTAGAGGGTCATTACATTTCTCTCATGACCAACTATTGAAATAATAAATTGCCAAATCCTCTTTTGAATATGCATTTCCATTTGTTGAAATTTTGCGAAACCCCTCTAGTAAAAAAATCCTGTTTCCACACAAGGGTTCTACTATAAACAAGCACTTCACTTATTGCTTTCATAAATGTCTCTATTAGATTTTAATAATATTTTAAGATGCTTCAGTTTAGTTATATAAATATTGTTGTGCACACTTAAGGTCACACCTTAGATTCCAACCACAAGTTAGAAGAGTTGAATTTATCAGGCAACAGAATATCTTCACTTAGGGTAGAAATGGGTTACTTTCTCTCTGATTTTGTATTTAAAAATTTTTGGAGGAGCGTCTTTTAGAAGTGTTGTTAATGATTTGATATTTCTTTACCTTCTATAGCTATCATAAGTTAAACAAGTAAAATCATGTATATGACAAAAGTAAATGGTACTATAAATAACATCTCTGTTTCACAAGGAACTTAAGTTTAATTTTGTTAGAAAAATTTAGTTTAAATAGAAAATGTTAGTATTGGTATGGATTTGCCTCATATACATGTATGATGACTTTTCATTTTTTGATACAAAAAATCTTAAATTGTTTAATTTTACTCTTCAGGATTTAACAAATTTAATGAGAGTTCCCTCTCTTCAAAGTTTGAGTTTGAAAGACCCCCTGTATACTCCAGCACCAGTCAGCTTACTGTGTAACTATGCAACACATGTCCTGTACCACTTGCCACATCTCACCAAACTGGATACCTATGATGTGGCCGGTAAAAGTATGAGCGAGGTAGCTGAGGTAAATTATGTTGGTTTAAGGCTTTCTGTTGTACTGTAAATTCTTGATACTGATATTCCATTCTTTTATATTTGTAATTGAAAAATTACAGCCAAATGATTATATTTGAATGAGATAAAAAAAAAGATTTATAATTTAAAAAAAAAAAAAGGGAAAAGAAAAATTCTTTATTGTTTACATTGTAAGTTTTGTTTATTATGCTGTATTGCAAACACATTTAATTTTTTCATTTACATTTTCATATATTTTACTTATACCGTTATAGACTACAGTAATGAAGAAGAAAATGTACTATAACATGAGGATCAGAACAGTGTACCGAAACCTGGCACAAGTCATTGCCAAAATGGATTCTTTCCAACAACAAATGTTAAATTTCCCACATGAGAGGCTACGTTCCTTGATCAGTGCAATGAAGGAGGTAAGTGTGACTTGCTGAGTATTCTCCCTTGTTATATTTGATATTGGGCGAGTGTGAAGATTATCTTTATGGATTGGGATCACTATTGGATTGATGAAAGCTTTTTTTGCCCAATACTTTATTCTTTTTCTTTTCTATAAAAATGTCTTTTCAGCATTGTTTTCAAGATATATGAATTTGCTTTTCACATGGTCTAAAATGCTCAGTATAAATTTGCCCATGTTAAAATGATTCTAATGTTTATAAGACACACAGTTGATTGGCTTGTGACACATTTTCCAATCATGTGATTTTACTTTGTCATTTGAAACAACTTGTCATGTTAAAACATTGTCATGTTTTGTGAAGATGAAAATAATATGAAAATAATGTTTTGATAAAACTGCAATGTTGTTTTGTGACGTAAACCTGCATGTAATTACTAGAAAAATTAATGAATTAAACTTGTAACATCACTCAACAATATCTGTACAATTACATGATGTTGCTAGTAAAATCAGTAATATTTAGTGAAATTTATCCCTTACTAAGCTAAATATCTTCAATAGACTTGTCAGTATTTCAGTCTGGACAAAACCATTGATCATTTTTATGGAAAATTAAAAAAAAAAATTACTGAGTGAATAGCAAACAGTACAAACAGATCATGATCAGATGGCACATATGTGTCAGCTATTCTTGGTCTGCATTGGTTGAATAGTTATCTCGAGTCGCCGCCAGGAGGCTAAGGGTTAAAGGAGTGTGTGATATTTTGTTGTTTATTAAAGCATACCAAGATTGTCATTACGTCAAACTCTTGTTATGTAATTGGGTAGATATAATTGATTGTTCTTACAAATCTTTTAACAGAAAATACTTAACAATTTGAAACAATGAAAAATTTAAAAAAAGATTAAGAGTATTACGAAATGAATTATATTATAATTTGAAGCATTAAGTGTAGAGAAATCTTAATAAGATGATATTATCAGGAATGGTTTGTTTGATGTTCCTCTCTTTCAAATTATGGTCTGGTACAATGAAAGCCTTTATATACTCTTCCTTAACTCTTGCGTGGTCAATGCTTCCAGTTATACATACATAGCTAGTGTTGTCTCAAACTTCTGCAGTATTTTGATGTATCTGAAACTGATGCTGTTTTCAATTATGGTATTAATATGCTTGTTTGCTTTAATATTATTTTTATAATAATTTTTACCATAATTTTCCCATACAAATCAATCAAGTGGCGGCATGGCCAAGTGGTCAACGCGTCAGACTAGTAATCTCATGATCGCTAGCTGCATGGGTTCAAACCCCGTCCGGGGCAAGTCGTTGTTTCCTTGAGCAAGAAACTTTACACTAATTGCTCAGTACTGGTTGGTTCCAGGAACGGATTCAAAAAGTGTGACTATAAGCTTATAGCTTCCTACACAATCGAACTAAAAATAAATTCTTTATAAACCAAATCAATCAAGAAAAAGGCTTTGACCATGTTAATCATATAGCAACATTTGATGCAAATTATTTCCTTTTATGAAAAATTAATACTAAGTATCTAAATTTATTGTTTTAAATTGTCTTTTGCAAAAAAATTGTTATACAGTTTAAAAAAAAATCAAAAGTAGATATTTCTTGAAATTCCTTCAAATTAAACCTAGAGTATTATTGATATGAAATGATATGAAAACTGATTTACATTCCTTGCATACGATATTATATAATTATGGCATTTCTAGATTGAGAGAGATGAAGACAATCCTGTAATTGAGGACACCGTTGATCGTATAACTCCTTCTACAGGAGAAATGTCTGAGAAACAGGTGAAATACCTGATCTGCATGCGCTTTATACGTTACTCATTCTAATCATCTTTTTATAGCATGTGACTAATATTATAACCATTACAATGGCCATTGTTGATGATTAAGAATAAAGGATAAATAATGATTCCTAAAATTGACTAATTACGGTTATCCTTTCTTTTGTATATGGAGAGACGTATATTTGTTCTATCCTTGCTAGAGACTCTTCTTCAGATTTTGTTATATAGCTTTTCTGACCCTTTACATTAATGACCAGATAAGTTTTATTTATCAAAGCTAATGATGCAAGGGGACAATTACATTGGCCAATTTGTTTAGAATCTTTATTATACATTGAACATATACAACATAACATTATTCAACAAAGAAAGACTGGATTAGAAAATAGGTAAAAGATAATTTTATCACTTCTTCTCCAGAAGGACCATTTAAGTATAAATAATATATATATATTTAATAGTACAGATATTGAAAATATTAATAAGATATATGACTTGCCTTTGTAATGGTTTATCAATATTAATCACATGCATTTTAACATTTCTATACATATAACAATGTGTTTAAAGGCTTTATATATACCAATATATATATTTATACTCTTGTACACTATCCACTTGACATGTATTCTTATTTCTGCATGCATACAGGTGTTTAAAACACCCAAACACAAATAAATTTGGAACAAATCACTAACTCCATGTAAAAAGTTGTTTTTGTTAAATGTATATTTTTAATTTGTTATACAAAATAGATAACAGTAAAATATTATTATCACAGTGTGAACCTTATATCATTAAGTTCACAGTAAATATAGCTTTATTTAATGGACAGTAAATATAGCTTTATTTAATAGATAATTTTACACTGTCTTTGACCTCCTTTAATAAAACACTATTTGTTATGCTTAGGTATGCATGTTTAGTTGTTGCCAATCATTGAAATTGTAGTGAAAATCTGTTTGTGACAATTTTATGTTAAATGTTTGTTGTGTGATTTTTTTGCCTTATTGCATTTATATCACCTTTAAATTGTTTAACCCAGGTCAGAGGTCATGAACTTCATTTTAATTAGTTTGGGGAATTTAAGAGCTTTGTGTTTGGATGTTTTTAAATAGTTTATTTGTTGTTCTGTCTGATGATCTGCATGTGTTAGTTAAGTATTAAACAAATGTTGTTAGCTTACCAGTATATATCATGAAGGTAAATAACTGTGATTAGAAATAACATGATATACATGTAGTTCCTTAATATTATTATCATCAACTAAAAATCAAACTTTTAATTGTGGAAAACATATACTTAACCGGTTATCAGTTATAATTGTAATATGAAAACAGCATAAGAAATGAAATGAATATAGGTTATTGAAAGTAAGTTGTATACAGATAAACCTGTGAACAAAGGCCACCTAAGGGAGAGACAAATGAGCCGTGACACGACAAAACCAACATAATGGGTTTGCGACCAGCATGGAGTCAGACCAGTCTGCGCATCTGCACAGTCTGATCAGGATCCATGCTATTTGCTATCAGTTTCGGTACTTGTAATAGGGTTTTTAAGCGAACAGCATGGATCCTGATCAGACTGCGCAGATGCACAGGCTGGTCTGGATCCATGCTGGTCGCAAACGCATTATGTTGGTTTTGTTGTGACACGGTTCAAATCATGATCTTGAAAGACAAGTGGTCTTTATTTGGTGGTTACTTTATTTGGTTTTTGTGTAGCCTGGCTACAGAGTAACGGTAACATACTGGAATCAATTCTCCATCATCTGTCTGTTCGTACAAACTCAGGGGTACTTGTGTGAATAGGAGAACAATAGGAAACAGTATATTTTCTTTGATCCTTTTCATTTCGTTTTTACGTAAAATGACTAAAAAGATCAAAAGAAAAGTTACATAAGTACCATTTCATAAGTACATCCATCTGTCTGTCTATCCCAGAATTTGTGTGGACTACTTTTCAAAAACTACTGATACATTTTCATCCAAACTTTACTGGAGTGATCAGTACCAAGTCTTATTGTGATTACTATTAAGCTGACAGCATTTTCTAGCTAATTGAATCTTGTGAGAGTTGTGACCCTTTAATGATTTTTGTTTTTAAAGATTTTTGGACTGCTTTATATATACCACAAATGCTATTGCATTGAAACTTCAAAGCATTGATTGATACCTCAAGTACTAGTACATATTACACAAGTTTTCCTGTAGCATGATGTTATGGCCCTTGAATAAAAAAGGTTTTTTGGCCTATTAATGATTTTTGTGTTGCCAGCTACACAGAAGTTAATACTTGCTACAAAGTAGCCGTTACATTTTTGGGGTCTGTCTTTTCATTTGCGTGTCTGTTCATCAAAAAACTTATCTAGACTACTTTTCAAAAACTACTGGTGTAATTTCATCCAAATTTGACCAGAATGATAAGTACCAAGTCTAGTAGTGCATATCAGCATTTTACAGTTCAGTGATTTTTGTCAGAGTTAAGGCCTAAAATGTTTTGTTTTTTTAAAGTTTTGATCTGACTACCTCTCTTATACTACAACTTCAATTTGTGTGAAACTTTACAGGATTGATCTTGTATTAATGAAGGGTTATCAAAATGTGGTCTTTATTTGTAGAGTTATCTGTATTCAGAGGTGGTCTTTATCACAGGTTTGACTGTATACCAATACTTTATAATTTTACAAGTCTGTATATAAAAGTATGGATTGTATGCTTATTTGTTGTATGTTCTTCATTGCCTTTATTCAGACCTATTCCTGTGTTTTGTTTAGCTTCGAGTCCTTAAAAAAGTGCAACCCGTGCATGTATCTGTACTTTTGTACAAATCTTTATCAATTACATTTTAGTCCATTGTCAACATTTTAACTTTTTTGCTTTTTAATTTTTTCAAGATATTGAAAGTGGCCGTAAACTGATTATTTTAAAATAATGTTACATTTTATTATCCAATTTATGACCTGATCATATAGGATAAAATTTAGGTTCATTTAGGATGCTAATTGGTGGAGTAACTTGGTGATATTATATGTATGAAATCATTATTAACACAATACACTGATAGATATAGAAAATCCTAGAAATCTCACCATTTCTGGATAACACTTCCTAATATAATCTTGACCTTTAACTTCAGTATACAGTTTAACTTTATCAGAACTTAATTCTTAAGTAAAATAGATAATCATTGTTTTACTTTAATAATGCAGTTGTACAGGTTTTTTTAACATTGTTGGTAAATTTGATGCATACAGATTTTTATGTCTTCTTTCTATTGTTAGAACAGTGTTGTTGGTAATAAGCATTGTTATTTATATTGTTATTATGTACATAATACATCATATTTTCATTATAATAATCCATCATAATTTTGTAAAACGTTCCCAGAATGTGTATAATAGATGTATAAGTATTTTATGTTTGATTTATTGTAGTTAAATCTACAGAAGTTGAACACTACTCCAAATTACAATAGTAAAATTGGTGCAATAAAGGACCGTGTAAAAAAATGGGAGAAAAAGTGTTCCGAGTAAGTAACTGTTACATTTTCAGTAATGCCATGATTGTAAGCTCAATTACTTGAAAAGTATAGTGTCTGCATTCATATCAATGTCCTCTTTGTTTCTTACTGTCTTTTTGTCACCCCGTGCTTAGAGTAATTGCTTAGAACCTATGTTCACCATCACCAGGAAATTCTGACCTTAATTATGATTTTGATAAAATAATGCACCTTTTTTACTTTGTCTTTTTCATAGACATGCTCTTAATTGCACTTTTAATTACTAGGAATAGTCATGCATATCATCAAGTATCATTACAACTCTTTAAAAATTTTCCTTTCATTAATTGTCAAAATATTATTTAGCGATGAAGTATATCAGGTAATTTTTATTTAAAACAGAATAGAGGCATTCTACAAGGAAACTGTAGCAAGATTTCGAGAGTCAGCAAACACTCTTGTCAATAGAATGGTGTTAGAACTAGAGTCAGGTGGTAATGTGAGGTTTGAGGAAGGCTCACCTTCAGATTTATGGTATTCTTTATGTGTTGTCACCGTAATAGTTTTATTCTTTTAATGCTTAGAAGTACCTTGTATCATAGCTGAGAGACCCTTTTGTTCGAAATGTGTTTGGGATAAATCATATACTTAATGCAGCACATTTAAGAACTAGAGTGTGGTTATAAGTTACCTGTCCTGAAGTTACCACACTACCTATAGGCTAGGGAATACAAAAATCGAAAATTGAATGGCACTTTATTCATTTTTAGAATTTATGATTAAATCTACAGTTAAAAATTCAAAAATCCTATTTTCATACTCTAGATAAATTAATAGAATAAAAATGATTCTCCATAGCAGATACTCAACTCTTCATTTCTTTGGCATTCAATGTGTCAGTCAAAATATGTGCACTTACTGAACCAGTCACCTTTGGGCTGTGACTAGAAACCCCACTCTGCAAATAAACTTGAGACTTTATTGGGAGGTGCATATTGTGTACAATACACCATTTCTTAAAATTATCTAATAACTTATAAATAATATATTATCTTTATTGTTAGGTTTGGTTAGGTTTGGTTCTTTATGTGCAGAAAATGTTAATTTGTTTATCGATTCTATGTTGATATAGATTTTTTTTCCAATTTGAAAATGAAAGACAAGAAAATCAAAAGTCAGATCAAAGTTAGGTGAGTTATGTTTTATAATGTGTTATATTTCTAGGTTTACATCTTGCCATGATTTGGTCTTGTCTCGGTTCTGTGCAGCTGATTTTAGAGAGCATGGCATTGTGGGTATAAAGGTACGACGTATTATACGGTTACACAATCGTACATTACGACATAGGTTTGATGAAAAACTTATGTCAATAGTAGATGATGCTGACGGGGAATACTATATCTCAAACAGGTAAACTTAAAGCTGCCACTTACTATCAATATCGAGTGTACTGTAACAGGGTGATTACTTTATTTTGTCTACCATGTTATTCTATGAGAACAATTTTGTCTCATGTTGTCTTTTGAATAGTTATGATTTTATGTTTATGTATAAATTGTACTGTGCATTTATCCACTAAAATTTTCAGTTATTTGTTATAATAATCATGCATACTTTATAGTAAGAATGAGATTAATGCATAAAGTTGTGTTGCAATATAAGAAAACAATGAAATTAACTGAAGAAAAAAGTATGGTTTTCTTTTTTCTTTAGAAATTTAGGCTACAAGAAGTTGTTAGAATATTTGTTTTGGATGTGGGACCCATCTTTACCTGGTGGTTGTAATGAACCAGAAAGAATACTCGAGGAGGGATTCATGGATGCTGAAAATTACATGGTATATGCACTTTTAATTTTTTTAGCTCACCTGTCAGAAAGTGACAGGGTGAGCTTTTGTGATCGCTTTTCGTCCGGCGTCCGTCCGGCGTCCGTCCGAGCCAACATTTGATTATTATGAGCTTCATTCCGAAGTTAAATAAAGAACATAAACTCATAAAATTCAAATTAAGAGCTATTTTTTTGGTTTTATGAGCTTATTTTGCTTATGGACGTTGGTCCAGGTGGTGTTTATGAGCTCATTTGCCTCATAAACATCAAATTTTGGTACGGACGTCCGTAAACTTTTACTTTAAAATGACATCTCTTCATAAACCACTAAGCCAATTTCATCCAAACTTCACAGGAATGTTCCTTTGGTGGTCACCTTTGAAAATTGTTCAAAGAATTTAATTCCATGCAGAACTCTGGTTGCCATGGCAACCAAAAGAAAAAAACTTTAAATATCTTCTTCTAAAAAATCCTAAGAGCTAGAGCTTAGATATTTGGCATGAAACATCTTCTAGTGAGTGTCTACCAAGTTTGTTCAAATAAAAGCCCTAGGGTCAAAATTGGCCCCGTCCCAGGGGGTCATTGATTTTCCCTAAATGCATATAGTAAAAACTTAAAAAATCTTCTTTTAAAGAACCCAAAGAGCTAGAGCTAAGATATATAGCATGAAACATCCTCTAATGGGTGTCTATCAAGTTTGTTCAAATAAAAGCCCTGGAGTCAAAATTGGTCCCGCCCAGGGGGTCATTGATTTTCCCTATATGCATATAGTAAAAACTTAAAAATCTTCTTTTAAAGAACCCAGAAAGCTAGAGCTAAGATATTTAGCATGAAACATGTTCTAATGGATGTCTATCAAGTTTGTTCAAATAAGAGCCCTGGGGTCAAAATTGGCCCCGCCCCGGGGGTCATTGATTTTCCTTATATGTGTATTGCAAAAAGTTAAAAAATCTTCTTTGAAAAAAAACAAAAAGCTAGAGTTTATATACTAAGCTTGAAACATCATCTAGTGAGTGTCTACAAAGTTTGTTCAAATAAAAGCCCTGGGGTCAAAATTGGCCCCGCCCGGGGGGACATTGATTTTCCTTATATGTGTATAGCAAAAACTTAAAAATCTTCTTTGAAAAAACCCGAATAGCTAGAGTTTAGATATTAAGTATGAAACATTTTCTAGTAAGTGTCTACAAAGATTGTTCAAATAAAAGCCCTTGGGTCAAAACTTGCCCTGCCCCAGGTGTGTCATTGTTTTTAACTATATGTGTAAAGACAAAAACTTGACCAGCTGGACCTTAGATGTTTAGCATGAAACATCTTCTAATGGGTGTCTAGCAAGTTTGTTCAAATAAAAGCCCTGGGGTTTAAACTGGCCCCGCTCTGGGGGCCTATATACAGGTGAGCGACTTCAGGGCCATCATGGCCCTCTTGTTTTAGCTCACCTGTCAGAAAGTGACAGGGTGAGCTTTTGTGATCGCTTTTCGTCCGGCGTTCGTCCGGCGTCCGTCATCCGTCCGTCCGTAAACTTTTACTTTAAATGACATCTCCTCATAAACCACTAAGCCAATTTCATCCAAACTTCACAGGAATGTTCCTTTGGTGGTCACCTTTAAAAATTGTTCAAAGAATTTAATTCCATGCTGAACTCTGGTTACCATGGCAACCAAAAGAAAAAACTTTAAATATCTTCTTTTAAAAAACCCATAGAGCTAGCGCTTAGATATTTGGCATGAAACATCTTCTAGTGAGTGGCTACCAAGTTTGTTCAAATAAAAGCCCTGGGGTCAAAATTGGCCCCGCCCCAGGGGGTCATTGATTTTCCCTATATGCATATAGTAAAAACTTAAAAAATCTTCTTTTAAAGAACCCAAAGAGCTAGAGCTAAGATATTTAGGATGAAACATCTTCTAATGAGTGACTACCAAGGTTGTTCAAATAAAAGCCCTGAGGTCAAAATTGGCCCCGCCCCTGGGGGTCATTGATTTTCCCTATATGCATATAGTAAAACTTAAAAATCTTCTTTTAAAGAACTCAAAGAGCTAGAGCTAAGATATTTAGCAGGAAACATGTTCTAATGGGTGTCTACAAAGTTTGTTCAAATAAAAGCCCTGGGGTTAAAATTGGCCCCGACCCGGGGGTCATTGATTTTCCTTATATGTGTATAGCAAAAACTTAAAAAATCTTCTTTGAAAAAACCAAAATAGCTAGTGTTTAGATATTAAGTATGAAACATCTTCTAGTGAGTGTCTACAAAGTTTGTTCAAATAAAAGCCCTGGTGTCAAAATTGGCCCCGCCCCGGGGGTCATTGATTTTCCTTATATGTGTATGACAAAAACTTAAAAACCTTCTTTGAAAAAACCAAAATAGCTAGAGTTTAGATATTAAGTATGAAACATCTTCTAGTAAGTGTCTACAAAGTTTGTTCAAATAAAAGCCCTTGGGTCAAAACTGGCCCTGCCCAAGAGGTGTCATTTTTTTTAATTATATGTGTATAGTAAAAAAATCTTCTTTTAAAAAACCCAATGAGCTAGAGGTAAGATTTTTAACATGAAACATCTTCTTGTGGGTGTCTACTAAGTTTGTACAAATAAAAGCCCTTGGGTTAAAATTGGTTCTGCCGGGGGGTGCAAAGGTCATTGTTTTACGTTATATGTGTGTAGTAAAAACTTAACATCATGAAACATCTTCTAATAGGTGTCTTCCAAGTTTGTTCAAATAAAAGCCCTGGGGTTTAAACTGGCCCCTCTCCGGAGGGCCTATATACAGGTGAGCGACCTCTGGGCTATCATGGCCCTCTTGTTTATTTAAAGCCAGAGATAGCCTATACATTTCTATATTCTGCAATGTTTAAATTCTAGTAGTAAATACGTATTCATACATTGGAAAGTTCCTTATTCCTAATAATACATTTATATTATTTCTGCAGGTTAAAGGCTGGTATGCCTTTTTTAAGTAGAGTTTATAATAGTTATCTTCCTTGCATGTTTTAATTTTTAAATAATTTAAAATTTTTATTATTCTTTTTGACACATTAAAATGTGCTGCAATTTTATTTACTTTAAATAAATATATACTCTTCACTTGACAATTAAGAAGGTTTTTGTAAGATTGTTTTTAACATGATTATGTTTGGAACAATGGTAGAATTTTAATGACACAAATGATAATTTTATTTCAGAAACTTGGTAGAGATGGTGCTGTACCTTTAAGTAACAGCCTGAGTTTGGCAGACAGACATCGAATATCTCATCTCATACATAAAAACAGGGGCAAAGATATTCAAGAGTTCTGTCCCTTTAAATATGGTACAAATGCTATTTTACATTTTTTTATGCCCACCTTCGAAGAAGATGGGGTATATTGTTTTGCTAATGTCTGTCTGTCCATTGGTAGACCACATGGTTTCCGCTGATTATCTTAAAAACCATTTATCACAAAGTCTTCGTATTTCACATAGTGATTGGTCATAACTTTAAGATGACCCCTATTGATTTTGGGGTTACAAGGTCAAAGGTCAAGGTATTCATCACAAAGTATTCATATGTCACATAGTGATTAGTCATAACTTGTAGATGACCTCTATAGATTTAAGGGTCACTAGGTCAAAGGTCAAGGTCACAGGGACCTTGAATGGTAGTATGTTTTTAACTTATTATCTTGGTTATTATTTATCACAAAGTCTTCATATTTCACATATTAATTGGTCATAACAAGTAGATGACCCCTATTGATTTAGGGGTCACCAGGTGAAAGGTCAAGGTCACAGGGGCCATACATGTTTGAATGCTTTCCGCTCACTATCTTGGTTACTATTTATCACAAAGTCTTCATATGTCACATATTGATTGGTCATAACTAGTAGATAACCCCTGTAGATTTAAGGGTCACCAGGTGAAAGGTCAAGGTCACAGGGTCCTATGATTTCAGCTCATTTTCTTGAGAGCTAGTTATCACAAAGTCTTCATATTTCACATAGTGATTGGTCATAACTAGTAGATGACCCGTATTGTTTTTGGGGTCACTAGTTCAAAGGTCAAGGTCACAGGGGCCTTAAATGTCAGAATGGTTTCCTCTTATTAACTTGAAAACTATGCATCACAAAGTCTTCATATTTCACATACTGATTGGTCATAACTAGTAAGTGACCCCTGTTGATTATGGGGTCACTAGGTCAAAAGGTCCTTGAATGTTAGTATGGTTTCTGCTCATTATCTTGAAAGCTATTTATCACAAAGCCTTCATTTTTCTAATATTGATTTGTCATAACTATTAGATGACCCCTATTAATTTTGGGTCACTAGTTCAAAGGTCAAGGTCACAGGGCTCTTAAATGTCAGAATGGTTTCCTCTCATTATCTTGAAAACTATTCATCACAAAGTTTTCATATTTTTCTTTTTTCCATAACTAAACACTTCCATGTATCCATTTATGGCCAGTTTCTATAGCAAAATAACCAATAATGTGAGTCAGGGACTAGAAGGGGGGGCATATGTGTCGTTCGACATTTCTTGCTATATTTTAAAATATATTACCTATTTCAAGCATTTTATAAAAAGAATGAAAGAAAATAAAAACTATAAAACATATATAACTCAACAAGTTCTTTTTTTCTTGAACAATTGGTTTTCTGAATTTATTATCTTCAAGTGAGCAATATTTCTTTCAATGAGTGTATTGTTAATTACAAAATACAAGACCTACGTATGCAGTTAATATTTTCTCCCTGAAATTTATATACTTCCATTAAATTTGGTCCATTAAATTTGAAAAGTATCTTTATAGATTATTAATCTTCAACTCAATAACATATGTTTTTCAGGTCAGCTAGTCATTTCTAAAGTTTACCTGGGTAAAAATGCCAAAGCTTTAGATGAAAAACAGTAAGTTTACATTAATGTTTTCTCTTTACTTCCTTTATATTAGTATGAAAATTTGCCTTTTTTTGGTGCAATATGTAACTGTAATAATTGTTAGAAATTAGATTAACATTATAAAATTTTAATTATTGAAATTTATCACAGCAGTAGTAAATGGAAGGTTTATCTGTAAGCATATTATTTTTACAGGATTCAACAAAGTTCATATTCTAAGTTAGATGCTGTATACAGACCCAGGAAAATGTGTATCAATCATGATAAAAGTAAGAGTTGTCTATTTTGTTTCATTCATTCCTGTTTGATACTATGCTAGATTTTAATAATGAGGTCTCAAACAATGATTACATTTACAATACATATTTTTGAAAATACTTGAAATAAAATATTTATCTGTAACTTGAAGCATGGCCAAGGATTTTTAATCCTAACCTCTGTTGGTTTGAGTTCTAATTGGTAGTTTATTTTTATGTGAGGAAGCTGTCTATATGAAGAAATTTGGTCTTACTAAGTTGCTTAACTGTATAAATTTGTAATAGTGTACTTACTGCTATCTAGGCTGTAGATTTGTTAATCACAAAAGGTATGAGTAACCTGTTATTATTCTATTTCAGATATAATGAATATGGATAGTAATTCTTGTGAGTGTAGTTCAAGGCAGTGTGAATGGTACATATTTAATAATGATTTGGTGCTTCCAGAATACATAGTAGAGTTTGAATATATAACCAAGGTAAATATATAATGCCCTTATGTCAATTTAAATGATAAAATACCTAAATATAATTTATCTTATTCTTTTGATCACATTCATATAGGGATACCCTGAGTGAAGAAACTATGTTACATGTATATATCTCATTGTCATGAAAAAGAAACTGTGTGGAGACCGCTCATTTTTCTCTTCCCTGACATTGTCTCAGATACACATATGTATGTTCAATTTCTATTTCATCTAAAGAAAATTGGTAACAGACTTATAGTTTTTAAGAAATAGTTGAAATGAAAGCTCTTGTCGAGTATGGTTAAACTTGACACTTTAACTTGTCATCTAATTTATACCTTGTTTATCACTTTGGAATTTTCTCAATATTTCAATTATAAGGGAATTGGTGGGAAATGTCCAGGGAATTGCTTGCTGTTATTTATATATTGTTTTGATTTGTCTGTCATCAAGATGAGGCCAAAGTCTCCATTTGCTGATTTCAACCAAGTGTTACTAGATTACAAAGACTGTACCTACCCAAACCCACCTCACCAAGAAAATGATAAAATGGTGGATAGTGATGTTCTGAGCATGGAACCTCAGTGTAAACCAAGACCTAGGTTAGTTTTCCTTTATACATATAGATTTGTAATAATTTTATAAGGTACACAATTTTCTATAATGTACCAAAGGGATTGGATTTTGTGTCTTCCGTGTTATACACTTTTCTTGCTATGTGTGTTTATCTCTTTTACATTTTGGACAATTTGGATTAAGTGAAGGACAATTTAGATGTAATTGAGGACAATTTGTACAAGCATAGGATGATTTGGAATTGTTTTTGCTTGTTCCATAAATTTTTGTTAAACAAGGTAATAGCAAACTCATTACACACTAATGATTACTTTTGTAAACAGTAATCTTCGGATATCATAATTCACATTGGGTTTTATTTCAGGTTAATAGCATTGACAGATGAGTTACTGTTAAAGATAACAGGTCAAGAAGAACTAGATCACATCACTGTGTTAAATCTCCATGGTAATGGTCTGACTAAATTAAAATCTCTACAACCACTCAGGATGTTGAAAAGACTGATAGTCAGTTTTAATGAGCTTACTAGACTTGATGAACTTGCTCACATGGTAAAACTACAATTTTTCCATGCCAATTTTTTAGGGCAGTTTTTTTTTGACAGAACTCTTTTATAGTTTATTTTTGTAAAAAACTTTGTGATAACATAAGGCAGTGAAATACTTCTATATCTTTTATGTAAATATGAGGTGTTTGTTTGATTGGGTTTTTACGTCACATCAACACAGTATAGGTCATATCGCGACTTTCCAGCTTTACTGGTGGAGGAAGACCTCAGGTGCCCCTCAATGCATTATTTCAGGCTTGAATGGGCACCTGAGTAGAACCACCGACGTTCCATAAGCTAACTGGATAGCTTCCTCACATAATAGAATCCAAAGTCCCTGTCGGAATTCGAACCCACAGCGGTGTGGAGCAAGTGGTTTGAAGTCAACGACCTTAACCACTCGGCCATGGACGACCTAAATATGAGTTGAAAACGGAATTGATTTTAAACATTATTAGGTTTTTAAAACTTGTTTTTCTTACTGTTTAAATGTTACTGAGCTTCATTATCCTGTAATCAAAGAGTTGTTGAATTTCACTTATGTGCCACTTCATTTTATGTCATATATTTTTTCTTGATACAATTGAATAGTGATTTTAAAATGTAACTTCATACTTTTTATATTCAGGGAATAGAACAACTTGATGCCAGTTTCAACAAGATTGTAACACTAGAGGGAATAAAGGTTAGTGACCTCTATATTTTCTTTTAAATTTGTTTTGAATTAACACGATAGTATTGCATTTAGGCGTAACTATTCTAAGAATTAATAGGCTTATCATAGACACCTGGACATAAACTACTTTCATTAAGTTTATGGAATATATGTATATTTTTCTATATATTGTATTACAGAGTTTACATAAGTTACGGATGTTAGACTTGAGTTGGAATAAGCTGATCAATACCAAAGATGAGCTGTCTACACTGAGGAAACACACGCCAAATATCAATACCCTTGATGTCCGACATAACCCCTGGCAGAAGGTATATTTAACATTTTAACTAAAATAAACATTTGTGGTCTTTACTTTTAGTACAAAGAAAGCTTCTTACTAAACTAAGTGTGTTTTGTAAGAGTTTATAAAAATACAAAGTTTACTGTATAAGGGGTTAAATTTAGCAACATGGAAATATTTGCGATTTTTGCGAATTGAAATTATTCTCAAATAATTGATCACTCAAAAATTATTTTTTATATTTTATATGAAAAACTAATAAAGACTTAAGTAATCTTGAAGCAAAAGATTGCTCCTCTTAAATTTTTGTCTGAAGTGTTTATATAGATATTGATTATCAATAATCTTTTTATTATGCCCCAGGGCATATAGTGATTGAACTGTCCGTCCGTCCGTCTGTCCTGAGGTTAACCTAGAACGGTAAGTTGGATTTTTCTTAAGTTCTACCTGTACCAATGGCTGCTAAGTTTACACACTTACTAATAAATACAAAGTACATGATCTGGGCAAGTTACATAACTCTGGCTTTCATATTTACCAAGTTATTGCCCTTTTCAGCACTTAGAAAATGAATAATGGTTAACCTAAAACGGCAAGTTGGAAATATCTTAAGTTCTATCTATACTAATGGCTTTATAATTTCCACACTTACTGATCAATACAAAGTACATGATATTGCCAAGTTATATAACTGTGTCATCCATATTTCCCAGTTATTTCCCTTTTTTCACTTTGAAAATAAGGCCTTGTCTGGTTAACCTATTTCAGCAAGTTGGATTTATCTTAAATTTCTCCTAATTGCTTAATTTCTTTAATGATATCTTTCATAATTAGTAGGTGAATACCTTTGACGGTCCTCTAATTTTTTGTGGAGTAAGCGATCTCTAGGGTCAAGGTCAAGGTCACTGGTTTAAAAAATAAATATAAACATTTTTGCTCATACAGCCTTTATATTTTAGATGATGTCTTAGTTTAATACAAACATGCCAAGGGAGGTCCTCCTTCTTTGGGTGTAGTAAGGGGTCATTTGTATCAAGGTCAATGTTACCAATGTCAAGGTCACCAATGATAAAAATGGATTTTTACATTTTTACAGGTGTATTGACCTTATTCTATAGACAGATGTTATTTATAATTGATAGAAACATAAACTTTGATTGAGTTAGTGGTCAGTTGGGTCAAGGTCACCAGTGCTAAAAATAGATTTTTACACTTTTGCCCATACAGCCTTTATTTATTGACAGATGTATTTCATATTTGGTAGGAAGATAACTTACATGGTATTCTTCTTTTGGATAGAGTTAGAGGTCAGTTTGGTTAAGGTCACCAGTGCTCAAAATAGATTTTTACACTTTTGCCCATACAGCCTTTATTTAATGATAGATGTATTTCATATTTGGTAGGAAGATAATTTGCATGAAGTTGAATATTTTTCAACTTCACAAGTCAGAGCAATGACTTGGCAACTTATATTTTTCACAATTACAAACTGCCATGACTTTGTCAAGCTATATAACTTGTGTTTACAATTTTTTGGCAATTTTTCTGTCCATAACTGAGTGAATGGGTAAACATTTTTTGAAATATTGCTACTGACAAGAATCTGAGCCGGGGGCATTTGTGTTTAACAAACACGTTCTTGTTAATTAAGTTATTATTACATATTAAAGATATAAAATTTAATTATTTTCCAGCCTGACAAATTGAGGTTGAGAATTATTGGGAGATTAAAATCCTTGACAGTATTAAATGGTCATTCAGTGACAGAAACTGAATCATCGTCAGCACTCAGGGTGGCTGCTGGGTCTCGAATCTCACAAGTGTCATTGTTGACCCATGCCAGGACTGACCATAATAAACCAAGGTCACTAAGTCTCAAACTTACAGCACAGGTGCTCTCAAGTATAAGTAGAAATAAACCAGAGAAAGTTGGAGACCATGATACACATTGGTATTCCAAGGTAAAGATTTATATTATTGCAATTTTTTAATAAAGTTCTTTTTTAAAATTTCACATTATGTTGATTTTCATTTATATACTACATTTCTTCTTTTTTGTATAAATGAACTTTTTTACTGTTTTAAAATTTAGGCCCTTTTTCTGAATGCCAGCATATTTTTTCTTCTAGAAATTAATTTAATTTTGATAATTTGGAGTTAAATCATATGATTTATAAAAATTGTGTATTTTGTTTTGAATAACATTTTAAAAAACAATGTATCTTTGTGCCAAATTTTGGAATATTAACATATAGACTGTTAAGTTTTGCTAAGTGCACATACAAGTGTGACAATATTATCTTTTTTTCTAAATTGTGTTGCTTTGGAACTAAGGACAATGAAATTTTGGTTTGATTATAAAGTTTCTGATTTGTTTTTATCAATATTGAACACTATATTTCAGATTACCTCATTAAACTTAGATGATCAGTATATCACTAAACTGTCCAACATGGAGAAACTGGAGCATCTCAAGTTTGCTTCATTCAACAACAATGATATTACAAAAATTGAGGTATATTTCTTTCTATCTGTAAATTTTGTTGTGAACATACAAATACTGATACAGATTTTTAACCAGGTTTTCAACGAAAACCGGGTTATTGTAATGCCGAAGTCGGCGGGCGGGTAGGCGGACGCGCGGGCGTCAACTTTTGGTTTCCGCTCAATACTTTTAGTTTGCTTTGGCCTATTGACACCAAACTTGGTGTATGGATAGCTTATATCAAGAGGCAGCTTGGGATTGCTACCCAGGTGTCTGTGATCAAGGTCAAGGTCACTGTTACTAAAAATAGAAATTCAGTTTCCGCTCAATAACTTGAGTTTGCTTTGACCTATTGACACCAAACTTGGTGTATGGATAGCTAATATCAAGAGGCAGCTTGGGATTGCTACCCAGGTGTCTGTGATCAAGGTCAAGGTCACTGTTACTAAAAATAGAAATTCAGTTTCCGCTCAATAACTTGAGTTTGCTTTGGCCTATTGACACCAAACTTGGTGTATGGATAGCTTATATCAAGAGGCAGCTTGGGATTGCTACCCAGGTGTCTGTGATCAAGGTCAAGGTCACTGTTACTAAAAATAGAAATTCAGTTTCCGCTCTATAACTTGAGTTTGCTTTGGCCTATTGACACCTAACTTGGTGTATGGATAGCTTATATCAAGAGGCAGCTTGGGATTGCTACCCAGGTGTCTGTTATCAAGGTCAAGGTCACTGTTACTAAAAATAGAAATTCAGTTTCTGCTCAATAACTCAAGTTTGCTTTGGCCTATTGACAAACCAAACTTGTGTATGGATAGCTTATATCAAAGAGGCAGCTTGGGATTGCTATCCAGGTGTCTGTGATTAAGGTCAACCTTTTGACAATCAAACAATAAACTGTTATTGCTTAACGTTAGGAAATATCCTGGGGCAAATTCCAAAAAAGGGCAAAAATTTGCTTACATATAAGGAATTTTAATTTCACTCCTTTTTAACTTCCAGTTTTAAACTTATGAAAAAAACCTATTTGATTTGTCTAGTAATTTTTTAAACTTTGGTTCATTGACAAACTTAAAAAAGGTTTCCCCCAATTTGCGGTTTCCCCTTGTTCTTATCATTACAATTAAAATTTTTGCTTGTTTTTTTTTAAACTTCTTTCTTTTCAAATTCAAAATATATGTTTATTAAACAACAAAACCCGAAGAAAATTTCAAAAGTTTTAAAAGACCCATTTTAAAATTGGTACAATTTTATTGAAATTAAAATTTTTATAAAAATTTTAAAAAATTTTAAGTTTTTCTTTTGTAATGTCCCTTTTCCTTTTGAATTATTTTTTAAAAAGGCTTTGGTTTTTTTTTGCTCTTATGGTTATGATTCTTGCTTGTTGTTTAAAAATATTCAGTGCTATAAGAATTTTTGTTTTAAAACAGGAAAGGACATACAAGAACTTTTTATGTTTACATTTGTTTAGCAAAACTTATTGCTCCCTTTTTTAAAAATTATTGGTTTAAATTTCTTGTTTAAAGAATTCAATAATTTGAAAAAGAAAATTTTACTTCTATTAATCCAGGGTTTTGACAATTCTGCCTAAAACTTGAAAATTATTTTTTTGAAAAATAATGTATTGTTAAATTATTTATCAAAGTTGACCCCCATTCAAAAAGAAAACTAAACATGTTTTTGGCAAACTTTTTATTTAAACTGTGTTTTTTATATTTATTGGTTTTTTGTTTTTAAATTTTTGCCTGTTATTCAGTTTGGTTTAGAGAAGTAAATTAAAACTGAAAATATATACTGGATTCATGTTACAAAACCACTTTTGGAATATTATTGTTTTTTTGGAATAAAAATGACCAATATCAGGGTTGTTCCATTTAAATTAAATCATGAAAAATTTGTTTGGGAAAAATTATATGCATAGGATAATTGGGTTACATCAGTGTTTTATCATTTTTTACATGCGTTAACAATTAATGAATTATAATTTACAATTTACCCCTTTTAACTTTGTTGGCATAAAATCTTCCTGTGTTTATTTTAAAACAAATAAAAAAATATTTGTATTTGTTGCATGGATTTTTTCAATATAAAATTGTAAAATTTACTCTACAATACTTTAAATTTTTGTTTTTAAAAAAACTTTGGTTGGTTTTTAAATATACCCTCAAAATCTTGCCCCTCTTATTTATTGAATTCGTTTAATTCAAAATGGTATAGAAAATTTAAGGTATTTTTATGATTATAGTAAACTATAATTTCTTATTAATAGCCTCAGTTTGATTTAGTAAGAATGTTAGCAAAACTTCATTACCAGTATTGTTTTTCCAGGGTTTGACAAACTTGGTAATTCTGGACATGTTTGGTAATCCAGTGGCCAATGACAGTGATAACTACCGACTGTTTGTAATATATCACCTCAAAACACTCAAAGCTCTTGATGGATCTGCTATTGTAAGTTAAACTTAAATTTTTTCTATTTTGTCTAAGAATTCTTTACTTTTTTAGTCATTTGAATATATAACTTTCATTTATAGCTTGTCTGTATGAAGAATAGTGGGCTACTATGCTAACTAAGATATTGTTTTGCTAGCAACTTTATTTGCAACAACCACAAAAAATATTCATTTGAGACTTAAAGGCACATTATGCCTCAGAAACAAATAAATTTTTACTTTTTTAGAAAGTAGAAAAAAAGTTGGTTAAAGTAATTGGCGATTGTGTTAAAGTACACTTAAAATAAAAAGTTTTTGAAAAATAAAAGCATTTTTGGGGCATATGAGCCTTGAAAGAGGACAATAGTTGAACCTTTTTCCTGGGGAGAAAATAAAATTCACATGTATACAAGACTTACAAGATTAATTTATTCTATTAATATTAACAGGAAGCAGTCGAGGGTAATAGTGCACGGGACATGTTTGGTGGGCGATTGACACCTGACTTTGTAGCAGAGAAACTAGGTCACTCAAATTTCCTAGAGGTGAGAGAAATGGATTTACCCAGTAGTGGTATCAGGATTGTAGACCTTGGTCCTGGTGATGTCTTCCTTAACCTCAGAAGGTAGGAATTTACCACATTGTTCAAGTCTGTGAAATTATAAATGTCAATATAAATTATCATGTGTAGGTTTGCTTGTTTTATGATTGTCATAATTAAATACCAACAGTGTTTTTATTGTATATCTATAAAGTGTTTAACATATTTCACTTATCAATGAAAACATGTCCATTTATTTAATGGTTTCACTTTACTTTCAAATATTTTAAGCTTTCTTTTTTTTTTTTAAATCTCATTATTGAGTTATATATTTGGATACAGGACTGAAAATGGCTAGCTTAATGGGGTTTTTGTTTTGAAATAAACACATCTCAGAGTGTCAGTTATATATTTCTACATTTTCAGTATAAACTTAGAGCACAACAACCTCACATCCTTCAGTGGACTTATAAATCTTCCAAATCTCAGGGTAAGTTTTACAATTTACTGTATGGAGGTAACTTACATGAACTCATAGACAAAACAATGATTGTAACAACTGTCATTACATATAAAGTAGAATTTTAAAATATTTGGTGTCCATAAGGATGTCTGTAAGTTAATCTTTCAAATACATGTAGTTGTCATAACCTTTGAAAATATCTTTTTTTAAGTGCATACATGAATTCTTTATCAGTATTATAAATGAATGTTATAATGAAATGAGTGGCATTGTGTTTGTTATGTAAAAGCATCATTTAAATGTAAGTACTTGTATATTTCTGGTTTTGTTTGAGCCCAGTCTTAATAAATGCTTGTTTAAAGTTCAAGAAACCATTGGAAACTGTTTAAAATATGTTTTGAATCATTTTTCACAGGTATTATGTCTCAACCACAATCGTATTGAATGTATAATGCCAAAACCAAAGCAGCCAAACAAACAAAAGTCTACCAACAATGCTACAAATGCATTACGTAATGGTGTAGATCTCTACAATAATGACATGAATCTGTCTCCAGTGCTAGAAAACCTAGAAGTGCTACATTTAGGGTAAGTTTTTAGTATGCTTTTTAGGGTGAAATAAATTTACTGTATTTCTTCAATAAGAAATGTGTCACATATATTTGTTCTATTGTTATTACAAAATGTATGTTTTGTAATCTGTGTTTAAGAAATAAAAGAAATGTTCAGTTCTATTTCATGTGAAGTATAACACAAGTTTTCTGATTCTGACATTCATATATTAAGAAGGGAGGGGAACAATATCTGCACATTACAATAGATATTTAAATATTTATTAGTTCAGCAGAAGAAATAATAAAATGGCTGATTGCCCAACATGGAAATTAGATATTTGTAAGATAAGGATTTATGCAAAAATAATTACATTTTAGGTGTTTATAATGCAGTACACAGCCATTTTATGCCATTTTGCTTATTGAAATTATACATATAGAAAATGATCTAATTTGCTCGGGTGTGAAATCACTCTTGAAAGTAATTGCACTGCTGTTATGTTTATGGGAAAGAACCTGAAGTTAAAGATATACTGTGCTCAAATTTGATAATAGAAAATATTGATTATTGCTTAACAGTATCTTTGTTAATATAAGATAAACCCATTTTGACTTCACATAAAGTAGATATGTTAAGTTTAAAATTCTACACACTAAAAAAAAAGGTTCTCACAATATGAATATATAGTGTCATTAAAAAACTGGCAGTTTTTTAAAGAAAAAAAACAACTTTATTTGACCTGTAATAAGGAACACAGCTTCCCATTAATAGTTTATTCGTTTGTCTACCTTAAATTTAACATATTCCCGTAAGAAAATTTTTAATTTTAATAGATTTTTATGATTTTAAAATAATTTTTTCAAGAAAGAGCATAGTAAAAAATCATAAGCAAATTTTAAATTGACAATTTTTTTTTTTTAAAGTTTTTTTCCCAAACTTTAATAATTTCCCTGAAAAAAGTACAAAAATTTTTTTTCCCGAAATCCCGAAATTTTTGTCACTGGGTTAAATTTGGGTTGCATTTCCCGGGTTTCAAATGTATTTAAAAACATGGGGGGCTTTACAACTCAACCGTTTAACTGGCTTAAAAGCTCTTTTCCTTCAAGGTATGTTATTTATGTAATTTTCAAACAATATTATTACTCAATGGATTTTTTGCCATTTATAAATGATTAGTGGCTGCTAATAGTGAGTGGCCTAATGAATTAGCTTTGGCAGTGATGAGCTCCATTTATGAATTTTTCTTTAGGTCAGTACATTAAAGTTACTTTAGAAATTATTTGATTTTCAACACTAATTTGTTTTAATGTTATAATTAAATACCAACATCTTTTTCAACAACTTATGTATTTTATTAATTGTTATATGACAGGAAATGAGATACAGAAAGTTGAAGGTTTAGAAAGCCTTCATGATCTCAGAGAACTAGTCTTAGATCGTAACAAGATCAAAAATCTGAATGAAACATCATTCATTAACCAGTGGAACCTGCAAGAGTTACATATGGAGGAAAACAGACTGCGGGATCTCACCTACTTTAACTGCCTGGAAAATCTACATAGACTTTATCTGGGCTCGAACAGAATTCAGGTAAATTAATGATTTAAGGTTAGTTAGAGTTGTTAATTTATTTTTAAACTAATGGATGTATTATGTTATATCAGTAATCCATGCTATTATATCAAAGTTGATGGTTTTACTCAAAGACTTGTGATCTAGTCATAGTGTTTCACTATTTCCTATAAAATATCAACTTGGTTCTAATCACTAAAGAACAAGTCCTGATTTCTTATTTCTCAGTTCAAATGCATTGTAATATGTTTTGTTACAGAAATTTTAGAAGATTATTTTATGCAAACATTCTTGTATACTTTGGTGAATACAATGAAATGAAATATGTATGTATTTTTTTAAATCACAGATATTGTTTTATATATTTAAACAGGAAGTTGGGGAGTTAGAAAACCTGGACCATTTACAAAACCTTATTGAGATCTCTGTTGTTAACAACCCTGTAAGTTCTTACTTTATATAGATATTCTGCCATCTTAGTAAAGTATGATATAAATGCATATATTTTCTAGGTGAATATTTCAACAAGTTTATATTATATTATACTTACAGGAAAACTTACTTTAAAAAATATTGATTTTGTTTGTAAAATTATTCATAAAAACTAAGCTTTTCATATAGTAAATTTATTTTCTGTTAGAAATCACTATTGAATATCAAGTAAAATAATATATCATAATAATTGACATGACATGTTAATTTGTACAATCTGTAAACACCTTGCTTGAAATAAAGTAACCATGTTCTTTAAGTGGCATTATACCCATCCATATATAAATGATGAGTGTACACCTAGGTATAGGTCAAATAAGTTTACCATGTTGTCATAATTGTTTCTACCTTGAATGCATAACCAGTAGTCTATTTGACTTTTGAAAATTTCTGAATATTTCTTTTGAATTAATCTGTAATGCTCAAGTGATTAATAGAGTAGGGGCAATTCTATATTTACATTTTTATAGTTTAAACATTTGTCATTATTAACCCTTTACCTCATATATACGCGAAACAACGCACTTTCGACCCCCCCCCCCCCCTTTTTTTAGGCCTCAAAGAGTGAAAAAATGGCCTATTTAGGCCCCAAACACATGTTTCCGTTTGAGAAATGTTGCCAAAAAAATTGAGCACTTTTTCGGCGCCGCCCCCTATCCAAAAGATACATCAGGGGGTTGCCAGAAGGGGGATGTGCCCCCTTCTGTTAGGGGGGTTGGAAGGGGGGCGGAGTCCCCCTCATCGCCAAGAAAATTTTGGACTTGTGAGAGGCTAAAAATGACCCCAGGTCAATCATAATGAAACGTGTAACCAACCCTGAAAAGCCTTTGACTCTATCTCAATCCCTTGACAAGTTGCAGCACTTTGAAATAAATTTTGATGGAAAAAATCAAGGCAAAATAGTGATTTTTGGCAATTTTGAGATGCCCCCTCGTTGCCATGGTAACAGGAAATTTAAGACTGAGCATGTCGTTACAAAGGCAATGGTCCAGTCAACATTTGTGCCAAGTTTGATTAGTATTGAAGCATTTTTCATAGTTTCATAGCAGTTTGAACTTGTAACAGGAGGCTTTTCAGTGAAAACGGCCATTTTTCACAATATGCTCATGGGGGAAAGGGTTAAGTATGGTCAATAACTATTATAATAGATAATGTAATGTAATATATAGCTAATTCAGCTAAGCTTGTCTGTGGAAATTGAGAATAATGCTTACACCACCCAAATTCAAATACATTTTAAATGATGAGTTAATATTTGAGCCGCGTCACGACAAAACCAACATAATGGGTTTGCGACCAGCATGGATCCAGACCAGGCTGCGCATCTGCGCAGTCTGATCAGGATCCGTGCTGTTCGCTTACCAACCCTATTACAAGTAGAGAAACTGATAGCTAACAGCATGGATCCTGATCAGACTGCGCGGATGCGCAGGCTGGTCTGGATCCATACTGTTCGCAAACGCATTACGTTGGTTTTGTCATGGCGCGGCTCATTTAAATTTTAACACTTTCACCTTTAACCAATACCTATATGTTGTTTCTCTGTCAAAGGCTTGGTCATTTGTTAAAGTAAGTGTATAACATTGTATGATGAATTGGTCTTCTTTTAAACAAAAAAAAACATGCTCTGCTGTATATATTCATCTTTATGTGCCCATCTTCTGTTGGTAGAAAGTTCAAGTCATGTTTTTATACCATTTTATTTTTCAAAAACAAAACTTTTTACAATGTAATCAAATGATTGTGTAATGAAATATATAATCATAATTTTTAGCTCGACTATTCGATAAGAATAAGTAGAGCTATTGCAGTCACCCGAGCGTCTGCGTCGGCGTAACCACTTATGTTAAAGTTTTTGTAATAGTTCAAATATTTTCAAAGTCCATTGACATATGGCTTTGAAACTTTGCACACTTGTTCACCATCATGACCCCAACCTGTAAACAGGAGGAGGTAACTCTATCAAGCATTTTGACAGAATTATGCCCCTTTTTCGACTTAGAATTTATGTTCAAGTTTTTGTAATAGTTCAAATATTTTCAAAGTCCATAGACATATGGCTTTGAAACTTTGCACACTTGTTCACCATCATGACCCCAACCTGTAGACAGGAGGAGGTAACTCTATCAAGCATTTTGACAGAATTATGCCCCTTTTTTGACTTAGAATTTACGTTAAAGTTTTTGTAATAGTTCAAATATTTTCAAAGTCCATTGACATATGGCTTTGAAACTTTGCACACTTGTTCACCATCATGACCCCAACCTGTAGACAAGAGGAGGTAACTCTATCAAGCATTTTGACAGAATTATGCCCCTTTTTCGACTTAGAATTTACGTTAAAGTTTTTGTAATAGTTCAAATATTTTCAAAGTCCATTGACATATGGCTTTGAAACTTTGCACACTTGTTCACCATCATGACCCCAACCTGTAGACAAGAGGAGGTAACTCTACCAAGCATTTTGACAGAATTATGCCCCTTTTTCGACTTAGAATTTACTTTAAAGTTTTTGTAATAGTTCAAATATTTTCAAGTCCATTGACATATGGCTTTGAAACTTTGCACACTTGTTCACCATCATGACCCCAACCTGTAGACAGGAGGAGGTAACTCTATCAAGCATTTTGACAGAATTATGCCCCTTTTTCGACTTAGAATTTACGTTAAAGTTTTTGTAATAGTTCAAATATTTTCAAAGTCCATTGACATATGGCTTTGAAACTTTGCACACTTGTTCACCATCATGACCCCAACCTGTAGACAACAGGAGGAGGTAACTGTATCAAGCATTTTTTTTACTATCAAGCACTAAGAATAGTCGAGCGTTGCTGTCCTACCGACAGCTCTTGTTTGATTTCATTATATAGGTTGGACTTTTTAGAAATATTAATATGTATAATTATAATAATATAGATATTTTAGTAATCTTTGCAACAAAACAATAACAAAAGAGCACATTGACATTGAAAAGACATATGATTTTTAAAGAGGCAAGACTTTAAGATTGAATAATACTCAAGTGGGTGCTAGGGGGCAAAGATGGTGCGATTGTTGTTTTCATTGCTCCTGGGGTTCACCCCTTTAACGAATCTTTTTACAGTCTTCTTTTATTGTTTCATTTCTCTTCTCACAATATATTACATAATTATATAGGGTTGCTAAAATGAAATCTGTATAAATATAGATGTTAAGAATAAACATAGACTTGAATCTTTTTACCTAGTGTTATGCTGGAATAAATCATTGCAATGTTTTTGTACTGTGGTTTAACTGTTGTTGTATTCTTGTCTTGTTCAGCTTTAAATAACAGCTTCATGTGTGTTCATTCTTAAATATAATATTATCAATTACATTGATTCATATAATTCAGCATGTAAACAAATTGTATACATTGAACTTGTATTATATTAACATCTCTGCATTGTCTGCTTGTTTGTCAATTAACATTCCATCTTTCATTATATTCCTGACAATACAAAAAAATAATGATAATAAAATGAAAAAATCCAAAGGGTAGAAAAGAGAAAAATGTATGCATACTTTTATATATAGATAATGTCAGTGCTTATTTGTAACTTTCAGTGCACATAGCAATAGGTTAATGTTTTAGCTTGATTGGTAATCATTTGTAGCATCATATTTTCATTGTAACAAATTTTTATCATAATGTCTTGTATCCATGTACTTTTGAATTGATGGCTAAAGTCTTATTTTATGTTATATGTGATGTCTTGAAAGAAATTAATCATGCAATTAGAAAGATCACAGAAGATATTTGCTATATTTAAAACATGAAGCTTTACCTTGATAAAAAAGAGTAACATCTATCATGTTTCATTAGACTGCACGGCGGCACCTGCATCGTCCATTACTTGTGTTCCGGTTAAAGAACCTGATGGTGATAGATGGTATTCCGGTGACGGATGAAGAACGAGCCAAAGCTGACCTGTACTACATGGATCAACAGGTCAGTAGAGTAAAACATGTCATTGTTACCTCCCATCATTTATAGATGTGGCTTTGAACTGTTTTTTTTTAACTTTCATTCATTATCTCTTGCAGTTTGCAGTATTTTATAATTTGTTTGGTTATAGTTGCAGTTTTATGCATTTTTTTCATCAGATAGTATCAATAGGTTTGTTTGCAAGTTTGACATTTTATCAATGCACAATGAATCAGGTACTTTGTTATAATCATTCTAGTGACAGATCTACACTCAGCATTGTTATTTATTTGGATTTGATTCATACTTGCATATCAGTAACTTGGAACTTGTTACCAGTTCAATCAACCCTGTATCTAGTAGTCTGTTCAACAGTTATTATAAATGCAACTGATGTGAGGGGTGAAAATAGAACTCTTATGCTCCTCAATACTTGCCATTGCTTAATACATTGGTATAGACTGGTTGTTATGTACTCTGGTCTTTCCATTTCTCAGAAACTTGTTAAATTGCCTTATTTTGTTAATTACCTCAGTAATGAAAAAAACATTATTATCATCATATTTGATATACTAATATTGTTTTACTACCATGGTATTGCAGTGGAATCAATTGCCTATTATAATATCCAAGGTAACAATTTAATGTATGAATGTTGTACTCACAATAACCTGTTGATGAACATTATCCATGCATGCAACATATCTCAGACTCTACTAGGAATTTTAGAACCTATCTGTTAAATAAAAGCCAACATGTATAATATAATTGAGGGATAAAAGTAGTATTTGGAAAAAGAGTGTTTTTTAATTTATAGGAAAAGTAACACAGTTTAAGTATAAGAACCCTTCAAAAGGCATAATTACCTATATTTTTACTTTAAAAATTCCTACCCGTCTTATAAGAGGGTCTTAGCAAAATGTGCTGTTTTTGAGTCAAAATAAGGACCTCTGTCTTATAAGTGGTCGGTCTTATAGGCAAGTAAATATTGTATATATAGAGAGAGATTAAATAATGACAGGAGAGATTTTTTTTTTTGGTAATGATAATGAATAAATTTTAATGATCAATTTTAATTATTATAAACTATTAACAGACTGGAGAGATTGTTTAGATGGGTGGGGGATTATACATTACCATAGAACATTGGTGAGGATAATAATAGATTTGTTCAAAAAGTGGAGTTATGGAACACACAACATTGTGATGGGAAGCATGTTTGACACAAATCTAACAATAGAAATTAGTTAACAGCATGGTGTTTTTTATGTTCACAAATTTAAAATTACATGTTTGTAAAAATAAAAAACACTGCAGCTGAGTTGATACCAGTTCCTGCATGCCCTTTGAGATATTGTACACATTTTCTATCTATAACATACAGTAACTGTAAATCTATGACTTTTTCTGACTATTGTATATCTGTGGCTTGTATCACAGAAGGGTGAATTTCTCCTCAAGATATTTGTCTTTCTTTATTGAGAGCTGACCTTTCATCACTTTAAAATACAAGAAGTGTCTCTTATGATTAAATTATTGAAACAAGGTTGTCAAAATTTGTCTAAGTAAGAATTTTCTTTTTCCAATACTATGAATAATTCAGTAGGTGCAGTGCAGACAATATTAAATTAAGTTGTCTTCTCAAGATGATGAAGGTTATAGATTAGAACATAAAATTTGTGCAACTTTACTGTGACATACAAAAAACATCTTTACATACATGAAAAATTTGACTGTACATGAAGAAATTCAACATTTATAAATTACATATACTTTAAATGTAAGTGTATTACTTTTTTGTTGTGTATTGTGCTATAAAAATATCTATTACATTTCTGTACAAAAAATATATTTACATTTCTATACTAGGAGATAGACCTGACTTGGAAGGTAATTAGTTAGATACCTTGTAGAATAAAATATGTTTTCTTGTAGATACAGCTTTATTGTTATAATCCTTAAATGCTGGATTTATAGTAGTAGTTGTACATGTCTATTTTTAAAAATATGTTTTTAATTTAGCAAACTATTTATCTATTGCTGTTGATTTTAAGTCTTGAATAATGTCAAATGTAATGGATAAGTAATGAAAATTGCCAATAAATTATATAACTCTTAGCCTGCTATTGGCCATTGAATCTACCCATGTGACCAGTGCAGATTAAGTTAATATAGCAGACACATTTCATTCTGGTCTTCCCCTTTTTGTTTTTCAGCCAGTAAAAACTTTTAAAATTTCCCTTAATTTTTTGAATGGTTCTGTCCATGTAAGATTTTAGCATGATAGAGTTTAATACAAAATCTTGTTTATAAGAAATGGGTTAGTACTTTTTATTGTCTCTCCTTAAATAAGTCTGGGATTTTCTTTCACTGCTATTGACTGATCTCCCAGTTTCAGAATTTTAGCTAAATTATTCAGGATTTGGCATAAATACAACACTGAACAGAAATGATGTTAATATGTTTTAAATTGAAAAATTGGCATCAGTATGTTATCAAGTGGGTGGAATAGTTATCCTTAAATAAAAACAATGTAAATATGTAAATGAAAAGCAGACATATCAAATATATATCTGACATGATTGAAAAGTTAGAGCATAATTGAAATAGTAGAAAAGAGACAATATCTATATTACATTAAACAGAAATCAGATACCAATAAAAGGTAAATAAATGAACAAAGATTTGGAAAATACACTTATGAACAGAAATGGCAGATTTTCTTTACATGTTCATTACTCTAAATGGTCTTTCTTTTTTTTTTGTTACAAACATTTCATGTGGATTGAGTGAACTAGTGTTAATCTTTATATAGTATTTGGTTTGAATAGTATTTTATTATTCCTGTTTCTATTTTATATAGATATTTTTAAATCTGTTAGAAACTGCATGTACAGTATATTGATTCTTACTTCAACCTCTTTAAAATTTACATATTGCATGAACTTTGAAATTTTTTTCTTAAAATCTTAGATATAATTCAGACTCCTTTTCCTGTCTTAAATCTGTTCACGTTTTAAAGTTTCAGCCTCGCTATGTCACTACAATAGATGTAAGTTAGTCGTTGTTTCCTCGTCACTAGTAACTTCCAATAATTATTGTCACATAACCTCTCGTACAAACTGTTCAAACATTGAATCTGAGTGAAGCCACTTGGAATGCCTTTCTGGCCTTTATATATAGTCATTAACTAATATATATATATATATATATACCAAATTTCTAAATTGATCTTTACTTGATCTCATCGAGAGCAGTCTATTTGATACTTTGTCTTTGGTATTGAAACTTGTAGATTTGAACAAATTAATATTTTTAATCTTTCAGTTTGCTTCTGTAATAAAAAAAATTCTTTAGTAGTTACAGACTTTGTTTATGTACTTGTACTAATAGTATATACTTAATCTGTAGTGATACATTTTAGAGGTTTTTTTTTATAGAAATGCTATGCAAAGACTGTGGCAGTCTGTAAAATCTGTTCATTTCCTGTGTCTGTCTTTTAAATGAAATGAGAAATTGCTGAGCATTTAAAATATTTTCCCCTTCTGGAAAAAAAATGGATTGGTATTGTTTGAGTGCTGTATGTCTCTTTTAATATGCATACTTTCTTACAAACATTTCAATTCATATTGAAAATACTCTGACCACAAGCTTAAAAACAGAATGCTCTGGACCACTGATCAAAGATCCATTGATTCCCTGACAAAGCTGTCAGACTAACAGTACAGTTTTCTCACCAGTGCTAAGGTCATATTCATATTGAAATAGAATAAAAGAGTAGCTCAAATCATGTATGTCAGCAAGGTCGTTCAAATAGAAATCTTTCTATTTGAAAGACCCTGGTGTCTGTGAGTGCAAAGATATCATACTAGGCATTAAATTTGACTATAATAAATATTCTAGATAACCAAAGGCAATTCTATTTTGTTTTTAAAGTCTCTAGACAGTAGCTTAGCCAAGTAATCAAAATAGACTTGTCTCTATTTGTGGGCCAGTTTAGAAACATATTGATTTTGCAATGTTTAAGATATGCGAGTCCTAGACATTCACAAATATTTCTTGAATTACAAAATAGAAATGTGTTTTGTGTACATATATATTATGATGCTTATATACATTGTACAGTGGCATCAAAGAAATCCAAACGCGGCACAGGTAAAATGATCGTGAAGATGTTTATCTATGACAAACAAATCTGTCTAAGCTAACATATACATTGTACAAGAATGATCACATTGTTTGAATCAAAACTTTTCGACATGTGAAATGTTCAAATAAACAACACTGTTATAGTCACAATCTGATAACGTTCACAGATTAAAGTATGAAATTATCATGTAATGTTACTATAAAATTGTATAAACATTTTCAGGGGAGTATTTTGGGCACATTTGAAGTAAGTTTTATAAGTGAGTTTGCCACCATTAGTGTATTTATTTTACATTCATTATATTATATATCTTTGTTCTAGCTCATCAAACACAAAGAGTTTTGTAAAAAAGAAATATGTTTTCATTTCCTTTCATGTTTATTTCCACTTTATTTGATTAGATATTTTTAATCTTGAACTTTTAAAGATTTCAGTACTTTCTCTTTCATAATAAAGAATGGATTATTAATGAACATGGAAATGATTAAATAGATTATAGAAGATAGGCATTTCACAATGTCTTACTGTTAAAGCCAGCTTAAAATGTCTACAGTTGGTAAAATAAATGGTTTTACACCTTGGTAATATATCAGGTCTGAAGGATTGTTTAATTAAAAACAGCATGTTTGAATCATTTGTACTTTAAATCTTGCTGAATCATCATTAATACAGTGTCACGGTATATACAGGTAACATGATTTTGTACAAGACACTTATGTAAGTTACTAGTAACTGTTCATCATTAAATTGTTGTGCTGTTTAAAAAAAATCTTTAAAAAAAAAAGCTACTGGAGGGAATTGGTTGAAAACTTCACACACTTATTTGAGAGCACAGTAGGAGGTCACTGCTCAAGGCCTATAACTTTTACATGGATTTTGACAGAATTAAGGCCATTTTTGAAGTTTCTACATTATCCAGGTTCTTGTTTTATTATCAAGCACTGAGAATAGTTGAGTGCTGTCCTACTAAAAGCTCTTGTTTAAAGAAGTTTTAAATCCAGGTGTTGTTCTATCTAATTCAAGACAAGGTTGATGTGATTTGAATTAAACTTTGTAAACCTGACATACACTATGATAATATAACCAGAAGGTTATTTGAAAAATGAGAAGTATTACAAGAGAATGATTATAAGACCCTGCATCCAGTTTTGTCAGATTTATATCTGCTACCTGCATGAAGGGATTTTGGTATTACTTCATACAAATGTCCATCATTATGTATTAGATATGTAGGCCAAAGGTCAAGGTTATATACCGACAGGTCTGGTGGAAAAGCTTGTGTGGAGAAAAAAAACATTTCAATGCATTGATGTTTTTTAATATAACTTGGATCAAATGTTCACAATTGTGAGGCTGAGTGGCAGGTGCAAGATATAGTGTTGTGTTCTTGCAATAGGTCAAAGGTCAGAGTAAAACTCGTAACTTTCAGACCCAGTGTAATTTCATGTACTTAAGACCTGATATAAAGTCATGACCACTTGTAATTTTGTGATTGGCAAATTTTTTGCCAAATTTTGTAACTTTTGTTGGCTTTTTATATATCGCACATTTCCAGTGATAAGTGTATGGAATGACAAATGAAATATTAGTTTTCAAAATATATTTGTTATGATAAGAAATACATGTATGTTTAATTCATTTTGAACATAAGGTTGGGATGATATTCTTCTTGTTTTATGTAAATTTCTTTTCTGCTGTTCTCCAGCATGCACCTTATGTTTTGAGCCTTGACAGGTAACCATTTATACCTTCAGTTTACAATTTTGTTACATCTAGTAGCTTCTATAACATACAAATCCATTTGGGTTTACATACTCAGACATCAAGAGAATTTGTTATATTTTAATAGTTTTATTTCTCTTTTAAGTTTTTTTGTAGGTAAAGTTTCATTTAATGATTGAATTAGAATATTGAGTTTAATTGGTATTTTCAACTTTTTTTTATATAGGTGCATGGTTTATGTAGAGGTCTTAAATTACTGTAAGGAGACAAATAAATTAACCCTGAAAAATATTATGGTTGTGGTTTTTCCATAGGAATAAATCTGTTTATTCAATCCATCAGTGTTGTCATGATATTAAATGTATATTTAAATTAAGTTTAATATCAACTTTATTGTTAGTGAACATTCAGGAAGTACAAAATTAACTGAAAAGAGATTTTATCTTTTTTATATATAAAATGGATGTAAGACTTGTATTATAAATGCTTCTTTAGTTTCACAAAGTATTAAAGTTGTGGTTGCACATACCTTGTTCACTATTATACTAGTATCACTGTACACAGGGTTTCTATTATTCTTATCCAATAATAGGATTTTATCAAATATACTTTACATAATTGAGCCGCGCCATGACAAAACCAACATAATGCGTTTGTGACCAGCATGGATCCAGACCAGGATCAGGATCCATGCTGTTTGCTTACAAACCCTATAACAAGTAGAGAAACTCAGATAGCGAACAGCATGGATCCTGATCAGACTGTGCTGATGCGCAGGCTGGTCTGGATCCATGCTGGTCCCAAACCCATCATGTTAGTTTTGTCTTGGCGTGGCTCATATTAGTTCTTTACTGAAAATTAGATAATTCAGAATTATATACTAGTATATTAAACAGTTATTATCAATTGTTGCACTGTTATGGAGGTTTTTCATGACTTAGACAAATATTTAATATATCATTTTTATATATATATATTTTTTTTATATATATTATACTATATTTAATGATCATATAAACTTTTTCTCAAGAAATCAGATTAAGACTGTATTTTAAGATTGTATTTTAAGATTGTTTTTATTTTTTATTTTAATCATTTTAAATTTAGATGAATGATGTATAGAAAATGTGAAGGTCATTCCTGTAATTTAAGGTCAAAGGTTAAACATAGTTTCTAGTTTTTTCTATATAACTTGCAGTATACTAGTTAATTTAATCCCACCCAAATTCTTGTATTTTATAAGAAGAAAAGCCTTCACTTTATTACTCTTTTGTATATATCCATTGAAAATATGAGTTAATTGTTTCATTCACAACATGTTAAGGTTCTAGTACATTTTTAGGCAATTTTCCAAAAAAAATTTTGTGATTGTATAATTAACTTGTATATTTATTGCTGTTTTTCACATTCAACTATAGATTTTTTTTTGACTCATGAAGTAAGTTCTGGCAATAAAAATGTGTGTATTAATTAATTTGGTATGAAAAAAGAAAGATTGAGAGACTTGGAATAGTACTTGCTTCAAATGAACTATAATGACTGTAACAGCATCCAGTTATTGGCTCATCTAGGCTATATAGTCATAGGAATACTTTTGACTCTGATTGATTATAAATGTTGTTTTTTATTTCAGCCCTCAATTGCCAATCAAGGGGCAGCGGATGGCTCCCTCCCGGGTATTGGGCAATATAAGACCCAGATCCCTGTCAAGGTCACCAACATGCAGCTCGCAACCTCACCGCTCTGGAACGGCTCAATCTTCTATGATGATGCAACTGCCCAAGATAACTCTCAAAGAGGTACACTCTTTTATAATTCATGCTTTTTTTTATCTATTGTGAGTTACACTTTGAATTTGTATGTAATTATATTATGCCTTATAAGCTGTTATGCCTAAAGTAACAATTTTGAATATTTCTTGCTTCTTCTGTACTGCAAGTGAGACTTTAAGCATTTGAGCTAATAAGAATTTATCAGTTGTTCATTCCTTAAAGGAAATCACACGCTATCAGTATGGTATTGCATAAAATGTCTAAATGTCTCGCACATTGCTAAAAAGGAAATTCATTTAATGAAACTTAAATTTGATCAGGTGGAGGTAGAAGAAAATCCAAACAAGGTAACGGAGAAAACGGAATGCCGGCCCCACTCGGAAGGACCAACACCATGTACCAACAGCCAAGCACAACAGGGTATGGGGGTTTTGCGTACACCACCAGCGGGAACCGGGCACAGTTCTTTCTGAATCAAATACCTTATGTTGCTGCACAATCTTCTCAGACTGCCGAGTATGTTGAGTGGTTAACAAGGTAGAGATCCTTGTAGCTCGTCTGAGGGCGCAAGCAGAAAAATTACCTCAAATTTCTAAAATATAAAACAACCCTAAAAATTAATGACAAAAAAGAAAAGCTTAGCACTGGTTTATAAGGTATCTTATGGATCTTTGCCTTGGGGAAATTTGTTAGTAAGGTATCAATATATTTAAGTTCATTGTGGTCATAATCTGGTACCTACAAAAATGTCAAATAGTAAGTGCTTGAAAATTTTTGTTTGTACTTTAAGTATAAAAGATGTATAAAGAAAATGACAAATTATAGTTTAAGTTGTGTATGTAGATGTTAGGTATAGATCAGACTGATATTTAAGAGGTTACTTTAGAAAATGTAAATTTTTGTAGAAACAATGCTGAAAAAAACATAATCATTACAATCTTATTGTTGGCACATTACTAGGAAATACCAAGTTATTGAGGAAATGTATTGATTGATTGGTAGAAATACCTTTACATCGTTTGTTCCAGATATTTTGCGAAAACTTTGACTAAGCCTTAGTAAGTTGCTAAGAATTGTAAAACCATTAACTGCTATTTATATTTGCAGACAGTTGTTGGATTTGCTTTGAATTGTTTGGGCTTGTACATTCTGAGAAAATAATTTTGTCTTCACATTTTGCATGAGAGAATGCGTATGAAATGATTGAAATTTCTTGGCTAGCTTTTTCTTGCAAAATATTTTTATGACATTAGAAGGTTCAGATCCATAAGAAAGCTTAGCATTAACTCTTTCACAGCTGCAAAAATGTGTGCCAGTTGCAACTAAAAATACATAATGTTGTTTGTTGTTGATAACATTTATATATTTTACATCTCTTTTGATACAGACTTTTATATTTGGAGTATTTCCAGGATTTTTTTCCAGAATATTTAGTATAAAAATAAAATCTAATTATTTCCCCTCAGACTTGCTGCCCTACCTACCAGCAGGTGGCGCTTTTACTGCACCCGGCTTGTAGCCGTAGAATGTAGATTTATTTATGTTGTTGTTTTCATTGTTTATTTTCAGTGTGTGTATAAATTGTAAAAAAAGCGTAAAAAGAAATCAGTTTATAATCTAACAAAAGTCCCACCAAAATGTGTTGGGCTTATCATTTTATTCTGTTGAATATGTAAAAGAAAACAAGTAAAACACACTGATGATTTGCAATTTTTGGGGGGTATGCACAATAATTGTAGTATGTAGTCTTTAATAAAAATTAAATGCCATGTAATTTATGATTAATGAATATTCATTTTACATAATTATATGCTGCATTTATATTGTACCTTGTTTTATTTTGCTGCTGTTTCTGATGTTGTTGAAATATGTACTTCATTCAATGTCTTGCATACTCCATTATAATATATATAAAATAAACTAATTCTTTAGCTAAAAAAATCTTTACAGTTAAAGATTCAAAGAGGAAAGGAAATTGTTTAGCCTGTGAATACAGTATCCAGCATGAACAAAAAAATATTCTATATTTATGTTTAAATGAATCAATTTTACATAAATTATCATGTTTTTAAGAAAATTTATAAGGGATTTTGCCATTTATAGTAAAAAATAATCAAAAGGCAAATTATATTGAACTTTCACGAAAGCATATTAATTTTTTTTAAACTGTCTATTTATTTTCTGATTGCATGTTAATCACAGGGATAAGAACTCTGCCATGATGAGACAAAAATGATTTTTAAGAATCTCTTTAAGTCCAAACTGAAGTCTGGTTAAATATTCCTATATGCACAATTATCCATTTTTGTTTCATTTGTTTCTAAGGGTGGACATATCATTCAGGTTTGATAAGTGTTCAAGTTGACCTTGAAGTCTGTTGAGTCTATTCAGTTTAACCTGCATGCCAACTTGAATCTGACTGCATGCTCAATTTGTTTGGAGAATGTAACCTAAACTAATCTTTAAAGACTGTTCACATTTAATGTTATTTTAGTTCTTAAAATGAGAGAATGATGCAAAATAGTTACCATTTATATTCTTTATTTCATAATACTAAAAACAATACAATAAATTAAAATGAACTTTCACTGTAATACCTTTAGGCAATTTGATTTAGTTTGCCATAAACCTAACTAAGTACTCTCAACCATATTTGGTCACTTATTTCAGTGTAAATCCCATTTTTTCCCATCTTTTAATGTTTAATTGCTCTTGATATTTTAAGGAAAATATTGTATCCACATTAACTAATTATGTAATTAAAATTTGTACCATAGATTTGCTCATTTGTCTTTAAAATTTTACAGATATAACATTAATATTGAAGCCAGGTAATATGATAGACTAAATAATAAAGATTTTATCTTAATAGTAGGCACACATTGGTCAGTCTCACATACATGTATTAGACAGGTTAATATGCATGATAATACTTCATATACGATTAGACAACCAGTCATTCTAGTGTTTTAGATTTAAAGTAATCCATCCTGTAAAAGTTCTTGTACATATGAGCCATGTCACAACAAAACCAACATAGTGCGTTTGCGACCAGCATGGATCCAGACCAGCCTGCGCATCCGCGCAGTCTGATCAGGATCAATGCTGTTCGCTATCAGTTTCTCTACTTGTAATAGGGTTGGTAAGCGAACAGCATGGATCCTGATCAGACTGGGCGGATGCGCAGGCTGGTCTGGATCCATGCTGGTCGCAAACCCATTATGTTGGTTTTGTCATGACACAACTCACATTTTTTTGTTCATTTTATGCTCTGTTAATTGTCAATAAAGTACTGCAAAATCTCTAGTTGGGCAGTAATTTTCATGGTTTTAGTGGATAGGTAAATCAATAAATTTAAGATACAAGGAAATTTATTTTGCTTGCTACAAGATTACTTTGAATTACATTCAGATCAATTCAAATTACATTTCCATTTAACTTTTGTGCAGACAGACAATTCTCAAATTATGATGACAATAATAACAATAATATAAAAACAAAACAAAAAACAAATAAAAAAACAACAACAAAACACGAAAATGTTTTTTTTTTCTCACAAAACCATGGAATTAAGTTAATTTTCTATTACAAGTGGTACAATTTGTTTGGCCTGTAAGCAACAGCAAACAAACCTTATTTCAATGTTGGCCTTATGACAAAAACAGATGTTAATATACTGGTAAAATGGATAATTCTGATGAAAAAAATACTGCAATTGTACAAGGTATTGAAGGATGGAATACTTTAATTATGTAGGTAGCTCAATGAATCAATTAATTATAAATCATCTAGGAATTATAACAGTGCTTTATCTGAGCTGTAAAACTCTACTTGTTTAACATAGTTTCATTATGTTTTTTCCATGATCTTTTCTTAAAAGAAAATATTTACAGATTGTAAATCTTTAGAAAAATACCCATAATCTTCTTTATTTTGCTGTTTTGTTTGTTAAGAATGAATGATAAATTTACATGCATAAATTTGTATGATGAATACAACTATGTCCTTTATCTTCAGTTACATATCATGTAAAAAAATTGTAAAAAGATAATTTACATTTTTTTTACATATTTATATAATTATATGACCTTGTCAGGCAATGTAACAAGGAGAAAATATTTAAACAAATTTAATTTTTGTCAACAATGTTTGTCCAAACTGTGTTATTTAAAACCAGGTTTTCAACAAAAATTAGTTATTGTAATGCTGAAGTCGGCAGGTGGGTGGGCAGACGGGCTTCAACTTTTGGTTTCCACTCAATAACTTTAGTTTGCTTTGACCTATTGACACTAAACTTGGTGTGTAGGTGCTTATATCAAAGGGCAGCTTGGGATGACTACCAAGGTGTCTCTGATCAAGGTCAAGGTCACTGTTACTAAAAATAGAAATTCAGTTTCAGCTAAATAAATTGAGGTAGCTTTGGCCTTTTGACACCAAACATGGTGTATGAAGAGCTTATATCAAGAGGCAGCTTGGGATTGCTACCAAGGTGTTTGTGATCAAGGTTAAGGTCACTGTTACTGAAAATAAGATTCAGTTTCTGCTCAATAACTTGAGTTTGCTTTGGCCTATCAACACCAAACTTTGTGTGTAGGTAGCTTATATCAAGAGGCAGCTTAGGATTGCTACCAAGATGTCTGTGACCAAGGTCAAGGTCACTGTTACTAAAAGTACAAATTCAGTTTCAGCTCAATAACTTGAGTTTGCTTTGACCTATTGACAACAAAATTGGTGTATGGATAGATATGAAGAGGCTGCTTGGGATTGCTACCTGGGTTTCTGTGATCAAGGTCACTGTTACTAAAAATAGATATCAGTTTCAGCTCAATAACTTTAGTTTGCTTTGGTCTATTGACAACAAATTTGGTGTATGGGTAGCTTATATCAAGAGGCAGCTTGGGATAGCTATCAAGGTGTCATTGGTCAAGGTCACTGTTACTAAAAATAGAAATGTATATCTGCTCAATAACTTGAGTTTGCTTTGGCCTATTGTCACCAAACTTGGTGCATGTATAACTTATATCAAGAGTCTACTGGGGATAACTACCCAGGTGACTATGATTGAGGTCAAGGTCACTTAATTGCTAAAATTCTTGCTGAAAAACTTGAGTTTGTTGTGACCTATTGACAGTAAATTTAGTGTGTTGGTAGCTTATATCAGGACACAACTTGGGATTGCTAGATCAAGGTCAATGTCAATGTTGCTAAAAATAGAAATTCAGGTTCGGCATAATAACTTGAGTTTTCTTAGACCTATTGACACCAAATTTAGTATGTGGGTAGCTTATATGGATTGCTACCCAGGTGTCTATAAACAAGGTCAAGGTCACTGTTGCTTAAAAAAAAGAAATTCAGTTTTTACATAATAACTTGCTTTGACCTTTGACACCAAACTTGCTGTGTGGCAGCTTTGCATTGCCACTAAGAGATCTGGGAGCAAGGTCAAGGTCATTTGCTTACAATAGAATTTTCAGCTTCTTCTCAATAACTTCAGTGCACTTTGACCAATTGATTGCTGTCCCATCAAAATTTGGTCGTTGAAAACCTGGTTTTCGTCCCATTGTGGCGCTTCTTGTCATTGAATTGACTAGAGGTTGACAGGTGTCTGCTTGTACATGCACATTTATAAACAGAGCAGCATGTTTAGTCTCCCTGAACTGTTCAAGCTGGAATGTTGTCATATGTCCTTAACAATATCTGTATGACTTAAAGTGGCCTTCTGCTTTTATTTTCTGTTGAAAAACAATTCTGTGTTGTTTCAAATTCAGTATTTCAGTAATTTTATCTTGAAAAAGTGCATCATATCACTGTAAAGCCTTCTTCAAAATAGCTTCTCAAGAGCTATTTTATAACGTGTCAGTGGTGTTTGTATCTAATAATAGAATACCGGAAACAAATTGTCGGCTTTAGTTTACTAATTTAAATATAGAGCAGACCAGTTGATTAGAGGTATCGAGGGGTTTCCTTATTGTTTATGTGCTTACAGTGAATTGAAACGGACAAAATTAACTCAGTTTACAAGTTGTGATTTCTAAAAACATATTGTTCAAGCGTTGTTGGTCCTAACTATTTTTCAGTTCGGGATTTTGTGAAGAAAAAGAATTGAACCAAAGGTCTTGTCCACTTTGGTGGCATCAGTGATGTTCTACCATTGTCCATTTTTCAAAACCATTTAATTTTTTCTCTTCAAACATAGAATACTACAAAAAAAATGAAAATCAACTTCAGAAGGGCCATTTAAACCTTGCATCCATTTTTCCAGTCATTTCACAACTTATATTTTCCTGTAGCAGTTAAATGCCTATATATGGGTCAATATTCAATGGTACCAACTAAAATCCATTATACTGACTTGGAATGAAGTTGAAATGTTTACCCTAATTTGAACTCCTAAGTAAGGTTATTGTTGCACAATCATATCAAAGAAACACATCGGTCATTTGAACTGAGTTCCAGCCCTTAGTAAGGACTATCAAGTTCAAGATCAAATTTTGATGCATTCGGTCCCATCAAAAAATAAGTGAAACTTGCCATATTAGAGACAGTTCTTGTTTGTTTTGAGATTTCAAAATTTTTTTTGCATGAGTGCTCACAACTATTATAGCAATTCTGTCACTCACTCAATACACATTTCAACTTACTTTTCAATACATGTAGTTTGTTTCTCTCTAAACATATAGAATTTTTCTCTGCTTGACATGAATACATTAAGATTTATTCCAGCTATGGTTTGTTTTTAAACAAGAATATGAAATCTTGATCAGATCCTAGAGTTATCTAGTTATCAGTTATTTCTTTATAAATAAAGATCTAGTTTTGTCTTTATTATAAAATAAACAATAATATCTTAACAGAAATAAATTTTTATGATGCTATAATTATATAATCTTAAGTTTGTTTGTTCATTTTATTTAAAATATTGAACATTTTAGAAACATCTCTTTTGCATGTATTAAAAATAAGATGACTAAGATAGTAGCATTAATTATTAAAATATCATACACATACTTTAAATTTTTGACAAACAATATAAAATAATTTTTTTTAAATCCTCCATACTTCATATATTCTTAAAAAAGTAAGAAGTTATTTTAGAATTGGTCCTTTGATTTTTACACATAGAATGTGTATAAATTCTGTAGTGCAGTATTGGCCTTATGACTGGCAGTATAAATTAATCTTGTTCCTGTTAAAATTAATAACATGATATTTTCATTAACAATACTATTTTTGAAAAGTACAGAATTTTTATTCATTATTTCTATTTTTCAGAATGAATAACGGTCGTAACAATAGAAAATGACCAGGCAACAAAGAGAGAGGTTAGATTAGTGGTCAAGTCCAAGGATGAAAGGAAATACTTCAAATACTCTTCAGGCATCACTTCATAATATTCAAGATGTACAGGAGATTTGAAGAGTTTTATTTTGACTTTTACAAGCAGTAATATACATTGTATACATGCTCAACAGAATAGGTTTTCTGGAAATACCATCATATTTGGTCATCAGAACAACACAATATTTAACGAGAGTGACAAATGCTTTGAAGTTTACATTTGATTTGTCTTTCAAGTATTTCATCAATATGGTAAATATTTAGAAAATGAATATTGCTTAGTATGTTGTTAAGTTATTAAGAGAACATGAGTTTTGAAGAATCATGATGAAGATGTGTTTAAGTTATTATTGTTAAGTTTGACTATTTCTGTATTTATAAATGTTCTGTCAAGACCTATAGATCATATTGATCTATAACCAAATGTTTCAATGATATTGGGTAAAAGTTTCACTTTGATATTCATTTTTAGTCAATTATTCACCTGTTAGCCTTACTATGTTGCCTCTTTAAACAAATTCTTTATTGTTATCATTAGATTATGAAGAGGTCCATATGAGGACAACTTCCATGTACTTAGTCTTAGGTGAATTTCATTTATATTACTGAATAAGTTATGAAGTATTGAGTTAGAATTTTGTTCTGTGATATTTTATATATTGTTCATATATTTTTCATCCGTATACATATATTTTGATGTCCTCAATGTTGGTTAATACAACACTGTTTACTTAATAAACCTGTAGAGTAAGTAACAGCTATGTTGGAGGAATACCTTGAAATGTTCATCTGTCTATCAGTTCATTTTCTATACTGACAAAGTTTTATTAATATATCCTTACCTGACTATCAGGCACTGTTTTGTTTTTCATTATTTTTTTTGTTATTGCTTATTTATCTAAAAAGATATTAGTTTTTTAACAAGTGGGAGTGTAGCTTACTATAGGGTCACTGAAATATTCAAAAGGTTACTGATCTATAATATGGAGTGAGTCTTAAGTGGATGGTTACTAATTATCAATGCAAATGTACAGTTATTGTTTCTCCAAAACCATAATAGAAACCTCATAGGTACTAAAGCTGTCAATGGACTTCCATTTGTTATACGTTACAAAATATGTACCTATGTTTTTTTCTTAATAACCAAGAAAATGAAATCTGTATATGTTTCTTTAAAAGTAATTTACTTTAAATGAACACTGAAGATTGTTCAGCTATTACTTTTAAAGGTTGTATAAAGGTTATTGATCTATTTTTATTTTGTACATTAATAATGCTCTGTAATATATAATAATTGTATGTAAATATTGTATAAAAAGTTTGTAAGTTGTGCAATGTAATCTTCCGTCCATGTAAATAAAATGTTTTTATATTTAAACAAAATTCACAGAATTATGTTGCATTTCAATCAGAAATAATAAAATATCACAAATTGAACAATGTATTTGTTGTATGAATGTTGCAATGTTTGATTTTTGTACAAACATTTCTTTAATACATGGCTTGCAGGGTCAAGGTCAATGATAGTTGTTACTTTTGCTATTTGCTGTATCCCTTGTTCCAACAATACCACTAATAAATGTTTACAGGTTCAGCATAATGTAGGAAGACCTGCAGCTTTATGCCATTCTAGGTTAGGAGAAAGAAATCCACTGCTGAAGAACACTATTGAGATCTTTCGTGTATATTTAAAAGAACCTCTTTTTATACACTCATTTGAAAATGGGTTGTATTATAGTTCACCCCCACCCCCTGGCGGGCGGGCAGCATCCAATTTTTGTCCGGAGCATATCTCCTACACACATGGAGGAATTTTAATGAAACTTCATAGAAACATTCACCCTATGAGAAGCTGTGCACTTACAAACTCACTTGCATGATTTCAGTCGGCCATATAAACCCTAGTCACGAATGATAACTCGTGTTTCCCCTGTCTAAAATTACGCCAAATTGTTCCCCTTTTAAATGAACTCAAAGAAGGGACTTTTTCTAAAGACTTTGCATTTATTTATTCGATTTTTAGATAAGAAAGTGACATTTTTTCCAATAATCTTATATAATTTATTTTCTATCTATATATGGTTGCTATGGTAAACATATGAGTTTTGATGGTAAACATATGAGTTTTGATGGTACAAAGGAATTTTCTGGACCGGAAGTAATCTAACACAGCGTTTGCCTGCTAAACTAGCTGTCATCACATGTAAACAATATATTAGATGGGAAAGAATATTGAGATATTTGTTTTGACTATCAGTTTAAATGCAAAATATTAATATGGAAAACAACTATGTGTAGTTTATAGGTGTTGTTTTAATTTGTTTGACTGATATATTAGTTGTGAAAGCCATGTACACTAAGTGTAGCAGCAGCTGGACACATGGTGCTTCGTAGCAACCACATTGAAAACATGAACGTTAACTGAACGAGACATGGCAAAGCACATGCTCACTCACTGACTTTCGCTCTATCGAAATATTGCATATACATATAGTGGAAAGTGCTGTGTGCCGCACACGAATCAGGTCAAAGGTCAAGGACACACTTAGATGTTACTAAAAAACGCTTGTCCCAAGAAAAACCTCTACATACCTAGAGGGATTTCAATGTACCTTTGCACTAATGTTCACAATTGTGAGGCGGAGTGTCGTATGCAGAAATCGGGTCCCGGTGGCCAAGGTTAAGGTTACAAATGGGGTCAAAGTTCAGATAAAAATATGAAAATGTGTATTTGAACCATTTAGTTATCATTTATAGAGGAATAGAAACACAAATGGTTATTATAAAGACTACTGGTGTGAAACATGTAATTTAGGTTAATATATGCAAAGACCAGGTCACTAAACATAATAGTGAAGGTCACTAAAGATGATAAAATATAGAGATTTTGTCCAGATCATATCTCCTGCATCAGAGGGATTCTAATGAAACCATACAAATGTTCACCACTATAAGAAGCAGTGTCGTGAACATGAACTATGTCTCCAGGTAAGGCCCCCACGATTACACGTTTAAACGGATTCGTTTCGATTTTCTTTCATAAACGTTTATGATATTGTTTACCGTTTAATCGAAATTACCATATTGTCTTACATAATTTCTTAATCACTGCCTGTAATCATGGATTTTATCAATTCTAGTGGTTTATTCCAAAGTAAACAAACTGAAAATTGGTGTTTACAACCCTCCACACAGCATTACCGTGCAAAATTGCTCGTGACATAATACATTTTTGGTAAAAGATGGGGTTACAATGCAAAAAAATGTGTGCTGACTCAATCGTGATGAGCCTTGCACATTTTTTATTTGTACATGTACTAAAAATAGAAAGAAAGACATCCTTTGGCGACTCAAATACATGGTGTGTATAGTACATAGAGGTACCACCGTTTAAACGGTATTGTTTCGGTTCTTAGCAGTCGTGTAAACGTTTACAAAAAATTGTAAACGTGGGAGCCTTATCTCCAGGTCAAAGAGGTAATTGAAAAACGCTTGTCCGAAGCAAAACTTCTACATGCATAGAGGGATTTCAATATAACTTGGCACAAATGTTTACCATTGTGAGGCGGAGAATCACATGTAAAATTTAGGTCCATGTGGCCAAGGTCAGTCGTACATTATAGGGGTCAAAGTTCAGATGAATATGTGGACAATTTAGTCATCATTTATGGATTGAAACACAAATGGTCATTATCATAACTACTGGTGTGAACATGTAATTAAGGTTAATGTATGCAAGGTCACTAAAGATGATAAAATATAAAATTTTTGTACAGAGCATATCTCTTCCATGCATGGTCTGATTCTAATGAAACTTCATAGAAATGCATTCACCACTATGAGAAGCAGTGTCATGTGTATGAACCAGGTCTCTAGGTTAAAGGTTAAGGTCACATTTAGAGGTCAGTCATTGAAAAATGTTTGGTTGAAGCAGAACTTATACATTCATCGGGGGATTTTAATGTAACTTGGCACTAATGTTCACCATTGTGAGGCTTATTGCAAACATAATCCAGGTCCCTACTACCAAAGTCAAGGTCACATAGATAGGTCAAAGTTTGTGTATGGGGACCATTTAGTCATCATTTATTGATGGATTGTAACAAATGATAACTATCATGACTACAAGTGTGACTCGTGTAATTTAGGTTAATATTTGCAAGGTCAATAAAATATCCAGATATTTTCTGGATATTGCCCAGAACATATCTCCTATATGCATAGCTATAAAGCCCACATCTCTGTCAAAAGCTTTTGTGACGGGCTTATTTTGCAACTATGTTGCCCTTGTTTTTTTATGAACAAAGTCCCTCTATTTTAAGTGTATTACACGGTTTATGTAGCACGGGAATATTTGACCTCCTTTGAAGACAATATTTCAATAGTCATTCAGTAATGGCAATATTCTGAAAATGACACAGCAATTCAGTCCACCATGATGGATATGTTTGTGATTTGTAAATGTGTGCAACAATAAATTATCTTGCGCCAGTTTTTTATATGCCCCTCATATTTCAGAATATGTTGTGGCATAGACCTACATTATCTCTTGTTCTCTACTGCACAATAACTATGGGTTTATATTTTAATTTGCTATGCAAATATATAAGAAACAACAGGATATGTTGACTTTGGACAGATCCTGCCAGTATAAGCAGAGTATTTGTTCATGAAACAGTATCTTTTGAAAAACTCCATACATTAATTCCATATCGAGTATATAATCATAGTTTGGACAGTCCGAAAAAAAATGGAATGGGGGCATAGTTTAACAGGAATATGCTGCTAATACATACAACTCCTTATGTTTCAACTGGTGACTATATCTGATATACAACCACACTGCACAGTTTAAAAAGAAGACAGCTTCTGTCTCTTAAATTGACTAAGATAATCCTAGCTAGCACTGCACTGCACCTCTCTTCAATGAGATCTAACCTTCTATAAAGTATCAAGTTGACATCTTTAATACTTATTGAGTTATGCTCCAGACAGAAAATAAGGAAATTTACAAAGGTCAATAACTTGAAAATTATGCCAAAAGAATTTTTTTGGATTTTCTCCTTAATGAGACCTTTACAGCTTGATACCTCTATTACCTTTCCAGAAATGCCCTACACTAAAATTCAGAATAAAAACTTGCAAACGGCAATTAAGAAATGCTATACATGTACATGAATATACTGGAAAAAAGTCGAGGGCCATAACTTCTGTATGAATGGGAAGAATCAAAACATCTTTTTGGTACATCTACATGCTAGAACATTCAGCCAAGAAACCAGCTCAAGCTGAATTCGATATACCCCTTTAAAACTTCATATGCAAGGGTATAACAAGGAGTTTTAATTGAACAGTCATGTCTTTCTTAACAAATTAACTTATATTGACCTTCGGATGTAAGCTGTAAACAGTAAACTGAATAAAATGGTCCTTCCATAGTAAATATCATCCTGGGAGAGAAATACACAGTCAGTTTACAGTTTATATAATTGCTTTCAATATTTAAAACAGACAAATTGTCAACATTTGTTGTGAAATCTGGCGTATGAAAGAGATATTGTCTTTGTCATATGTTTATGTTTATTTTGTTTGATTGGGTTTTACATCACACCGACACAGTATAGGTCATTTGGTGATGTTCCAGCTTTACTGGTGGAGGAAGACCTCAGGTGCCCTTCCGTGCATTATTTCAGGCACAAACGGGCACCAGAGTTGAATCACCAATAAGCTTTCTGGATAGTTTCCTCACATGTCCCTGTCAGGATTCAAACCCACAGCGGTGAGGGCAAGTGGTTTGAAGTCAACGACCTTAGCCACTCGGCCACGGACGCCCCTGACATATGTTTAAACTGCACCACTCTACGACAGCACTGCCTTGCCTGGTATGTTAATGATGGATTCAAAAATAACGGTGAACAAATTTTATAAATGGTGTATTGGAATCTAGTATAATAAAATTTTAAGAACAGAACAATTTTATTTCTAAAAATAAGGCTGTATACAAAACAAAATGTATAACAAAATGTGAATACAAATATAACAGGTATAAAAATCATGCACAGTGCAGCTCCAAACAACAGAATGGAGAAACCCTTGACCTGGAATGTTTTATTGCAAGGAAATAAAGATGTTAATTTTACACAAACAGAGCAACTGAGATAGATTTTTATTGAGAGTAAATAACTTCGTGACATGGCCATGTGGTCAGCACTTTGAACTGGTAATCTAAGGATTGCTTGCGTATGGGTTCAAACCCTGTCAGGGACAAACCATTTTTTCTGTGAGCAAGAAACTTTGCACTTATTGCTTAGTACTGATTTGTCTTTGGAACAAATTTCAGAGTGTTTTAATAAGGTTATAATTTCCAACATTAATTCTGTATAAACTAACTTGAGATGTGTGCACTGCACTAATCACTGTAATAAACCATTTCAGGTCAG